TTGGCGCGTCAACTTCAGACCGAACAGGGCTGGCAGAGAGACGAAAATCATTTTGTTAGCATTTCACTTTGCTACTGTTACTATGACCCGATTTCTTCGTAGACTTAAGCATTCATGTTAATTGTAATCATGGGGCCCGATAACCTTTGGATGGAATTGAACTGTGACTTTATGTGACTGTCTATATGAAAATACAGGGCCGTGCTGTAAGTAAATTCCTATAAGAACTAAAACTACGTACTTTTACATATCGTTTTTTTACAAACTCACAGTCAACCTAGTGTTATGTGGTTACCGGAGCCCATAGACATCTACAACGTAAATGCCGACACCCACTTTGAGATATGAGTTCTAAGGTCTCAATATAGTTACAACGGCTGCCTCACCCTTCAAATCGTAACGCATTACTGCTTCACGGCTGAAATAAGCAGGGTGGTGGTAGCTACCCGTGCGGATTCACAAGAGGTCCTACCACCAGTAATTACACAAATTATAATTTTGCGGGTTTGATTTTTATAACATGATCTTATTCCTTCACCGTGGAAGTAAATCGAGAACATTTGTTAAATAGGTATTTCATTAGAAAAATTGGTACCCGCCTGCGGGATTCGAACACCGGTGCATCGCTACATATTATACGAATGCACCGGATGCCTTATCCTTTAGGCAACGACGATTTCATATTGACTGGTCTCATATAACACGGTTTCGCACAACAAGAGACTTTGTAGCAACGTATCTACCCTGCTAGGGGAGGGTTAGTTGTATATATACATATGTATATTCTTTTTATTTACCCCAAAGTCTTATCTTCATTTACCCCAAAGAGCAATGGAGAGGGCTATGCTCGGAATTTCCCTACGAGACCAAATTAGATATGAATAGATTCGCAGAAAAACCTTGGTAACCGATATAGCCTAAAGGATTGCGACGTTGAAGTGGCAGTGGGCAGGGCACATTGCTCGTAGAACGGCTTGCCGTTAGGGCCGTAAAGTTCTTGAGGGCGACCGCGTACCGGAAGACGTAGCATGGGTAGTCCTCCCACAAGATGGATCGACGACCTATTGAGGTTTGCGGGGATCCGCTGATACAGGCAGCGCAGGAACGGTCGTTGTGGCGAGGCTTGGGGAGAATTCAGCAGTGGACGTCTGTGTGCTGAAAGGTAGATTGACGAAAGCCTGCCTTTTTACATTTCGGTTAGAAAGTTAATATTGTATTGTAATAACGCCTAAAATCAGAAGTGCTCTGAGCACCAAAAACAGGACGTGCCATATTTATACCAGCTGTCCCTTAAATCGTTCCTCGTTTCCGATCCGGTGGTAGATTCTGCGAAGCACGGCTTCTGCTAGGGTTCGTGTTAGCAACATAATCAGGTTTGAGCCCCGTGAGCTCATCTACTAATTCACGACACTTTATTGCTTAGATGGGTGGACGAGCTCACAGCCCACCCGGTGTTAAGTGATTACTGGAGCCCATAGACATCTACGACGTAAATGCGCCACCCACCTTGAGATATAAGTTCTAAGGTCTCAAGTATATTTACAACGACTGCCCCACCCTTCAAACCGAAACGCATTACTGCTTCACGGCAGAAATAGGCAGGGTGGTGGTACCTACCCGCGCGGACTCACAAGTGGTCCTACCACCAGTAATTACGAAAATTATAATTTTGCGGGTTTGATTTTCCGTAGAAAAAAATATATATTTCCGTTATGTTCGAAGTATATATTATTTAATTTAACTTTGTTTCTTTACTGTTATTAATTAACTCGCAGCCCTGAACTTGCAGCCCATATTTATGACACAAAAGAGTGTGGTTTAAAAACGTTGAATACACACCGCCGCACTGTCGTTTTGTTACACGGTAATGGATTACGCTGAGCCCGACCGCAAGGTAATTTAAGAGCTACGATAATTACTTTTTTTTTTTTTTTTTTTTTTTTTTTTTTTTTTTTTTTTTTTTTTTTTTTTTTTTTTTTTTTTTTTTNGTACCACGAACACAGAAACAACAAAAGGAAACAAAACAAATAAAAACTTCCAGAAAGAGCACTTAGTCGGCAGATGTACCACAAACACAGGCCGCGCGAACAATGGCCGGGCTAACAAAAGCCGGGCGAACAAAGACCGGGCGATCGAGTGGACGATGAGCACGTCCGCACGTGACGGGTGCCTCTATCGGAATGACGATAATTACTACGTTATGTTGTTTTCCTGCTATGACGCTCATAACTCAATGGCATTGCAAAAAATACAAACTAATCTATGAAAAACAAAAAGTTGTTTGGCTTAAAACGCGAAGTTATAAATAAAAATAACTAAAATATTTCATACAGTAATCTGTTTATTTTGCATGCGAAATCACAAGAACTTGGATAACTACATACCATACATAACAACATCTTATTTAGAATCAATAAAAATTAATGAGGGTGACTTTGATTGTATACGCGTATTCCGTGCGTGCCTGTTTCTGTGTTGGTGAGTGTGAGTGGGATAGCTATAGCTATCAGATTTTTTTTAATTGCCTATATAGGCAGACGAGCATACGGCACACATGGTGAGTAGTTACAGTCACCCATGGACTTCAGCAATGCCAGGGACAGAGCCAAACCGCTGCCTACCGTTAAGTACTCTCCACAAGCCCCGCTTGAAGAAGGACATGTCATAGTGCTCGGGAAACACTGTAGAGGGGAGCACATTCCAAAGCCGGATGGTACGTGGCAAAAATATCTCTGGAAACGTACTGTATCCACATCCGAACACATTGGTTCGAGGTAGTATGGATGAACTCTACTCCGGTGGCGGGTGGTGTGATGTTAAAAACGAGTTGATGGTATCATCTCAAAGAATTCCTCAGAGCACTCCCCATGGAACATACGGTACAAAATACAGAGAGAACTGAAGTCCCTCCGGAGACCCAGAGGTTCCAAACGATCCGTGAAAATGAGATTATCGATAATCCGAACGGCCCTCTTCTGTATGAAGTCAAATGGAAGTAGCTGGTATTTGAAAGCCCCGGCCCAGAGATGGGAGCAGTACTCCACGCGAGGCCGGACTTGTGCTTTATAAAGCAAAAGCCTTTGTCCAGGCGTGAAGTACCGCTTCGCTCTGTTGAGGACTGCCAGCATTTTGGACGCCAACTTGGCTTTGCCTTCCAAATGACTCCGAAACTGGACGTCGCTCGAAATGTCGACCCCAAGTATCCCAATACTCTTGGAAGGCTGCAAGGATACTCCTTGGAATTTCGGCAAATTGGCAATGGGCATGACAAAGGGGTCCCTCTTCGCAGCGAATGGAAGGAATCCAGCTTAAACCTGAAACGCGCTAACGATATGTACAGTACACGAGTTACATATTGTGTACCGATCCCGAACATTCGGAGTGTCGGTCTATCGAGCAATATCATCCGCTCGTCAGAAGATCACTACTTTGTCGTTATCCCGAAACTATGTGCCTATGCTTACCGTAATACATAGGAGAAGGTTTCCGGTATAATAGCATCAACGTACTATGGGTCGCCGCACACGGGTCACTAGCCACATCCACAATCGCCGCCTCTTGAAGTTAGAATCGGCTACAAAAGAAGCTGACGCGTGCGACAGCGCCTTGGGTCAAAGTTGGACACTTGCGGTCGGTGACCGCTTCTTTTTATAAGCGTGCTTGCAGTATCATAATGGACTCCGACGAAAGAATGAAAGGAGGTGGCTGCGTTTTGTGATTGTGGCTGGTGGCCCGTGTGCGGCGACACTATATATGTGACACACAAGTCATTGCAAAATAATATATGTACCACACATCATATCCCGGCACAACCGGGACTCTCTAGGTTACTAGACTCTAGGTCTAAATTTCATTGAGATCCGATCATTCATTTGAGATCTCATTTGAGATATTCTCTTCTCGCATAGGCCTAATTAAGTGAAACCATAAAGAGAACTTTTTTACGCCTACCACTAAAAAAATACGGAATTCCTGTAACGAAGACGTGGTCTAAACAAATAGAACAAGTAAGACCTGCCGTCTTACCATTCTGCCTCTTCCTACCACAAAGCAGTCATGCGTTAAGGTTTTAAGGGCGAGGCAGTCGTTGTACGATATAATCGAAACTTGGATCTCAAGAGGAGCAGTGATTGCATTATGATACCTATGGGCACAGGTAACCACTAAGCATCAGGTGGGCTATGAACTCGTTCACGCACACAGAAAAATATGTTCCATAAATGAATGCAGAATGAAAACAATTAACTATAATTTGATTTTATTCAGACGTCCGGATATGTGTGGGGGGGTGATAATTGAAGTTAAAACATCCAGAGATAAGAAAACACACAAAAACACAAAAACTAATAAAAAATATATATTTTTTTTTTTTAAATTTAGGTATTGTTGCACAAAACAAACTTCAATCATTACAGTACATATTAGCTAAATCGTACCTAGATCCAATCTGGATTGCAATCTAAATGGTATGTGCACTCAGCAAATCCATATTAATGTAAATAGCTTTGGCTATTGAAAACAAAATTACAAATATTGATAACTAGCCATATAGGTATTAAATAGAATATCCTTCACACATCTGACAAATTCCCTGAGTCTAGGTTCAAAGATATCAAGGTCACCGTGACATTTATCCAAATCATTATACTGCCTGACCATTCTTACCATAGGGTTATAGTATGATATATATTATTTTTTTATAATAATTTAACTATCACTACATAGCATAAAACAAAGTCGCATCTCTGTCCCTATATCCCTATGTATGGTTAAATCTTTAAAACTTCGCAACGGATTTTGATGCGGTATTTTTTAATAGATAGAGTGATTGAAGAAAGAAGTTTATATGTATAATAACATCCATTAAATAGTGGAGAAATTAATAATAAATTACAGTTTCCAAAGAGAAGCGAGGGCGGATCGCTAGTTAATTTATAAGATCCGACAATACGCTTTCCGACTGCCAAAATCAAAAGATGAATTATTATAATTTGTTACAGTGATGTCCAGCACTAGCAGGCAACATGGCAGGAAGACGGCAGCTACGACTGCTGCTCTGGAAGGACTACCTCATAAGGAAACGGAAAATTGTACGTTAAATACTATTAAAAAGATAACTTTAACAAACATTGATGCTTTTGTCAGCAACTAATGATTTATTTCAACTGGATATACAGCAATGTAAATTTAAATATTAAAAATATTGTAATGACTTTAACTCGAATGGCAAATCTCCTCACCAGATAAAAGCGAACCAACGAAATAAGCAGGTGCTAAAATATCGGTTCGGTAGGCAGCGGCTTGGGTCTGCCCCTGGCATTGCTGACGTCCACGAGCAACGGTAAACACTCACCATCAGGTGGGCCGTATGCTCGTCTGCCTATACAGCAATAATAATAAAAAAGTATTTCCAACGAACTAGATATAAATATTATTATTGGTGGTAGGACCTCTTGTAAGTCCGCATGGGTAGGTACCACCACCCTGCCTATTTCTGCCGTGAAGGAGTAATGTGTTTCAGTTTGAAGGATGGGGCAGCCGTTGTAACTATACAGAGACTTAGAACTCATATCTCAAGGTAAGGGGGTCGGAAGAGGGCGTTTGTCCAGCTCCGGCCCCTATGAGAAGGTAGTCTCCTCCCGGTGACGGTCGCGGGGCGACCTAAGGGAGTTGAGGCTGCGCCGCACGTTACCGTCACTCTAGTGCGCTGGCACCAGGAGGACGCGACGGCGCATCGGCGGCTGCGGACTGCGATGCGGTCCGCATTTTCGTCGTCGCTGTCTTCGCCGAACCTACTGTGGAAGAGCAACCCGGTCGGCGGTGTATCGCGTTCCGACCCGGCAGGCTGGTTCTGGCCCAGCGGGGTATCCCGGAACACCAGCGGCATCACCCGGGCGGCCTGGTAGGGCCGCCGTACCGCGGAGACCGACGTCGTTGGTCGTCGACTATCGCATCGACGACCCGTCGGTCGGGCGTCCTCGGGGTGGCACCGCGTGTCTGGTTGTAGTGCTGACCGCGGGAACCCCCCTACTCTGATCGGGTACTGACCCCGGACGGAGATCGGACGTCGGGTGTAAGAGTGCAGGGGAGTCGTTTAGTGGGTGGGCCCTAAAATCCTTGGGCCCGCGATCTGCTCTCAACACCTGCAGATCGTTGAGTCTCACATACCCCGCGCGCCCCCTAGGCGCGGGGACCTCGTAGGAGGTGCGGCCGCTGGCCCGAAAAAAATAAAATAAAAAAAAGGTTGCGGCATTTACGTTGTAGATGTCTATGGGCTCCGGTAACCACTTAACGCCAGGTAGGCTGTGAGCTCGGACATCCATATATGCAATAAAATAATAAAATAAAATAAACTTTCCTTAATCACTTCCTATTTCTAGGAAATACTCTACGCGGCTAGTATAGTGAAGTTTCTCAGGCGCACACAATAAACCCTTTTCTATTTTCAGGTGACACTAGGAGGCATAGTATGGACCTTGAGTATCATGATGATGCTTTATGTAGTCAGGATCAACGTGGATAATCAGGATTTTCCGTCATGTAAGTTCGCACCATATGCTCGTTGCCATTTCCGCAACAAAACAGTCACTTGTTCAAGTCAAGATAATATAATATCCTAATCCATTTGAGGCTTAGATCTCATGTTTCAAGGTTAGCAATGATATTTACTTTCTAGTGTATATAAGCATAGTTAACCGCTTGGCTACTCCAATTCGTCCAATAAGTCGTGGATTATCTTAAGACTCTTTATGTATCTGTGTATCTATATATTGATTAAGTAAAAAGAAACTAGTCTAATAATGATGGGGCCATGAAGTAATCAAATTCAAATCAATTGCAATGGATCCAGAGCTCTTAAGGTGCTCTCGGAACCAAAATACCTGAATGATCAAAGGTGCCAAACCGCTCGCTTCAACACTACCCATACCAAAACATTACGTCCATATGTATGTACTGGTGGTAGGACCTCCTGTGAGTCCGCACGGGTAGGTACCACCACCCTGCCTATTTTTGCCGTGAAGCAGGAATGCGTTTCAGTTTGAAGGGTGGGGCAGCCGTTGTAACTAAACTTGAGCCCTTCGAACTTATATCTCAAGGTGGGTGGCGCATTTACGTTGTGGTTGTCCATGGGCTCCAGTAACCACTTAACACCAGGTGGGCTGTGAGCTCGTCCACCCATCTAAGCAAAAATATATATATTTAAGTACACACTATGTCATGGGCGTTGTAGGTACATTCCCCGCCAGAGCCCTACCAAGTGCTGGGACAATCACGTTCCTTCAGTCTTTCATATGCAGCGTCAACAACGAGTGCTCACCCATGGATGACTACGAGGAGATTCCTGCATATGAAAATTCAAAGTAAGATCTTTCAAACAATACCTTAGCCAATACCATACCAACCAAAACCAGAGCTTTGGCCATAGAACATACGGTTCAAAATACAAGTAGCCATAGTAGAATCGCAGCTTCCAGACGATCCATGCGAGTTATCGACTGCAACAGTCCGACTATCGGCACTGTGATTGACATACTTCTGAATAATAAACAAACGGACAGGCAATAGTAATAGGGAGAGCCCTAAACATGTCATTACGGGTCCTCCCGATCCATTAACGGTGCTTTTAGGTACCACAAGCACCGGTCACCGTCCTCGTCGAACCCGTCGCTTGCGACGAAGGGCTCGACGAGTGAATTAACCCATAGACACGGCCCACTGAGTTTCTCGCCGGATCTTTCCCAGTGGGTCGCGTTTCCGATCCGGTGGTAGTTTCTGCGAAGCACTGCTCTTGTTAGGGCCAGTATTAGCAACACACCCGGTTTGAGCCCCGTGAGCTCACTTACACGTTAAGGAGAAGCTGAAATAGCCTCTCAAGGCTATCAGCATAGGGAGTAAAAAAAACGCATTAAGTACTACTGCATACTGAAATCAGTACGCATTTTACTGTCTTTAAGTTTTTTTTTTTTGCGTAGCGGGGTGTAAATTCTTAACGCCCATCTTTTTTTTAAGTTGTTGCTGGGTCCATGGATATAACAATGCGATTTCCCGGGATGCCCATTTACAGTGAGCACAGTGAATATAACGATAGTCCCATCCTTCAAACCGAAACGCCCGATATATAATAGAAGGACTATCTACCCGTGCGGGTTTAAATTACGACCTACCACCAGAGAATGTCTCTTGGCGATTGCCACACGATATAATCTATACTAGTATATAAATCTACAGTGGTGTTTACGGATGTTCCGTTATAACTACTGAACCATGCATCCGATTGACTTGAAACTTGGTATCCGTGTAGAAAATACATGTACTTAATGGATAGGCTAATATTTATATGAGTCTTGGACTCCCTAATAATAATGTTAATTTTAAATGCCCAGCGCAGCGGGCGAGTACGGCTTGTATGCTATAATACAGAATAGCACGTTGCATCGTTTTTTTTTTTGTCTGTCCTAAGGTCACTTAGGTCCTTACGTCACTATTCAAAACAGCCATGAAAGGCTGGGCTGGTCTTATTCTAGGATGCCACTGCACAGTCAATATATCACGGATGATAAGTTCCATTATCATCGTCCTAACAATTTTTTAACACGATACTTTGTATATTTCTACAGGTTAAGTCAAATAAGAAAGAAGTTGGCTCCGATTATGAATGAAACAGTTCTGGACGTTGTCTCATCAGTACCGGACGCTTTAAAACTGCTTTCGACCCTGGCAGACGTGGCTGATGAACCCACTTTCGTCAATTTCACCAGTGAGTTTCAGTGTAAAAAAATCATAAGTACACTTATATCTTTGGGTGTTATGTACTTTTAAGTTTTTATAATAGTCATAATTCTTCGTATTGATATCAGAAGCGTACGGTTGATTCTACTTTTTTTAAATTGATTTGTAATTAATTCAACTCGACTTTGAACTTTTATTTAAGATCAAGCTAAGTTAACTATTGTCTCGTCCCATTATTTGTTCGCACAATAGTGGTCTTCTCCCTATATTATTCTGATATAAATAATCTCTTACGTCACCAGTGCAAATTATTAACTTTCTTTAAGCAGCCTTTGAATTCCTTCGGCGTGTGCATTCAAATTTAATATTCGCTTCGCAATATGTTCGTAATACTTCTGTCATACGTACTCTATTTTTATTTCCACTTACGACGCATTTTCACTAGAAGGCGCACTATAATAGCCACTACTGCTGTAGACGTTTACTGGTGGTAGGACCTCTTGTGAGTCCGCACGGGTAGGTACCACCGCCTATTAATGCCGTGAAGCAGTAATGCGTTTCGATTTGAAGGGTGGGGCAGCCGCTGTAACTATACTGAGACCTTAGAAATTATATCTCAAGGTGGGTGGCGCATTTACATTGTAGATGTCTATGGGCTCCAATAACCACTTAAAATCAGGCTGTGAGCTCGTCCATCCATCTAAACAATAAAAAAAAATAAAAAAAGACGGAAGAACCCAGCATTTTTGTCCAAGTATTCTTTATAACTTATTTAATAGAACCTACCACTAATTCCTACGCTACGCTTTGCTAATCCTGTTATTGCCAGCGCCAGACAGATAGCTAGAAGTGAAACTGTATTTCAAATTAAACTACAATATGCCCACTTTAAGATTCAACTCCAATAAAAATAACTCCACTTATCATTGTTTTCTTTTCACCAGAAAACGGATTAACAGTGCAAGATTTATTCACAAACACAGCGAGAGTGAAGAGGTACGCAGTCAGTCACTTAGGCATCGACGCTGACGTCGCACAGAGTCTCATGAATGCTCAAATTAAATTTGAAGGTGTAAGTTTTCAATTGTTTTTTTTTTTATATTGGTTGTCGAATGCATTTAGAGCATACAGCCCACAAGATGGAATAGAGTTTGCTAGTGGCATGTTCGGGCGGATCTCAAAATCGTCGTGGACTACAGCATACGATGCCCAGCACGCTCGTATCGAGCAAAGCAACTGTGCTGATGTTCAAATCCCGCGATCAGGCAACCGATTTTATAAAGAAAAACGTACTTAAAACATGCTCTCGAATAATATCCAGCTTCACATATTCGACCTAATCTCAACTCGATCTCATACCTAACAACATATTAGCCTGATAAAATAATAATAACTTATTTTCCAGATACTTAAAGGGAATCTGAGAGGGTGCAGTGAAGAAACAATAGAAAAAGTACTTTTTGTGGGAAATAAAAGTCAAATAGAAGCGATCGCTAAAGGATTGTGCTCATTAACCGACAACGAAATGTATAAAATATTCATGGATTTAATAATGGAGATTAATTTTGGCAAATACATTAAAATGGTAATTGGATTTAATGTTTTTAATACGCTTTTATTAGCTTCAGACGTATGTATGTATTTGTAACGGAATCTTTGAACATGATTTTGTCCCTCTTCAAAACGTCGGATTAACTTGAAATTTGGTCTACTTTTTAAGGACCGATAACAATTCAATATTTAAGAAAATTGAAAAAATTGAAATTCAACTAAAAAATTAAAAATAAATCTATATATATAAAAGAAAGTCGTGTTAGTTACACTATTTATAACTCAAGAACGGCTGAACTGATTTGGCTGAAAATTGGTTGGGAGGTAGCTTAGGATCAGGAGAAGGACATAAAATACTTTTTATCACGTTTCTGTGGAATGTGACATAAAATGTGGTATTACAAAACGCAACAGATATGGAATAACAAAACGCAACTGACACCTAAACGTAATGTAGCTTATGGTTAATTATAGTAGAATTTTGAAGTTGACCGGTTGATGTGTTTGTTTCGAGTTTCTATTAGCTTATTGTGCCGAGATAGGTAATCATTAAGAAAGCCATGTCGGGACCAATACGATCAAATCTTTCCCGACGAAACCGTAATGCAACTAGGATTCGAAACTTTGCGAGTGAAAGGACTGAAGAAGAACAAGAAAATATAATAATAATAATTAAAATACATGGCTAATAAAGAATCATTAAAATACTTGCTTTTTTAATTTACATTAATTATCCAAATAAAAAATTTGACCTTGATCAAAAGTCTGCCCATTTATTGCCTCTAAGGCGGAACAAAGTTCGCCGGGTTCGCTAGTAATAGTATAAAAAAACTAACAAAATACGCTTTTATAGAAAATCCAACTAAAAAATATAAAATAAATTTTAATAAATTTGAATTAAAAATAGTGTAAGAAAAAATGATTTTATTGTAAAAAAGCGTGGGGTGCTTTTCAGAATATTATCAAAATAACCCTTCTACTCATACCTGTTCATAAAATATTTATAACTACTTATACCATAATCGGAAAGGATCTAAGTCTCTAAATTCGTTTTCTTGTTTTTCATATTAATTTGAATGTAATAGTTTGCATTTCGACAACTTCTAGTTTGGTGGAATGTACTACAAACTGTCAGGAGACAAAAGCATCACGCAGCTTGGAGACATGCTCACATCAGTAGTCCGTATGATCAACCTGAAGAACTTCTTACCCCAGGAGATCATAAACATCGCCTACGGAGATGGAGACTTCAGCTATTTTGATCTAGGCTTGTAAGAAATTTTAATAAAAGTTTATTCCGCCTAATCCAAGAGTTTGCAAATTTAGATTATATTATATTTCTATTTCTTCCTTTAAAAGAAATTGGAAATGAACTAGTAGGAGGACTTGAGAATTACGCTAAAAATATGGTGAATACAAACAAAGGGACGATGAGAATGTTGACGACAACTAAATAGCCTGATAATTTAGCTTAAAGATTCCATTGTCCGACATAGTCATTGATTTTTACTAATGTGCTTTGACTCAATAATACGTACATCCAAACAAAGTTACTCTTTGTTTCAGAATAACAAAACTAGTAAATCTATTCGAATCCACATTCGGTGAAACTCAATCGTTTAAGTCTATAAAAGAATTCGCGGATACAGCCATAACCAGCATCAAATATTTGGATAAAATAATTTCGAAACAATTCAGCACTGATATCACAAGCATTGATAACGAGACCGCCAGTGGTTTGAGGAAAGTCTCCAACATTCTGGATGGGGCTGTTAGTATATTCGAAGACGATATGAAGCAGAATAAAACAATAGACCCATTTAATGTGTGAGTGTAATTTACAAATTTTATTTAATTTAAATTCCAGTAAGCTTTCGAAAGTAGGGGACCCTTTTTGGGGACCCTTTATCAGAAAGCGTTCAACTTCTAACTCTGTACAAATTGACTACGAAACTTTGGGTCCTGCATCTACAGTGTTCATCAATAGAAAATACCACGGCAGTTATCGTTTTAGTGAATAAGCAATGATAACGATAATTATAATAAATTGACAACGATAAAAAACGCATTCAGCATTTTTTATAGTTTCCAATTATTAATATTTTTTTTCTATTAACAATTTTCAATTTTTTTATGAAACATTTTGATTATGATCCAATGATTATTTATTAAGAACTGATTTCACCGACATTTTGTCTCTAGAACCAATTTTTGCTACGTACCAGCTGAATCTAGAACAAACAACTTTCAACCGTCTTACCATAAGCCTACATCTGCCTTTGAAAGCAAGATGAAAACAACTGTGACAATCAAAGAAGAATACTTATATTTACCTACCTACTTATTGGTCTCATTCGCAGAATTTCTCAACTACTATCATTCGTTCAAAAATTTCTACCAGCGAAACAGAAGCACGACATACTGTTCTATTCAACATTAATGTCAAAATTAATTGAAGGCACGCACAAGGTTATTGACATCAATAGGCACTTGGAGAAAATCACGTATGACGTCACTCTTAGACATCCAGAGAGTGTGAAAATCCTCCTATCATTGCCGCCCTATATTGTTGGCAAAGCTTTTGAGGCTCTCTCGGATGCAAACAGAATACAGGTAAAATCCTTTCTAGCGTATATAGTAAAAATTCACGACAATTTTGATTAGAATGACAATAAACTTAGTCTTCAATTATGAAAAGACTTTGTATACAATGCTTGCTTGTAAATGTATCGGTTTTAAAGTAATCCTGTTCCAGATTCTCACATCGAAAATTAATTTCCCGGGCCAAATGTTCTGCGACACAAATAAAATAGCTGAATTCTTTGTGATCTCGAAGAACGAAGCCAGCACAATAAAGAAACAACTTTGCAGCAACGCTTGGAAGAACTATGTATCGGATTTAATCAAATCTTTTGGTATTTTCGAGGTTAAAAATAATGTGAGCAACAGAAGTATTTTTATTATAAATATTCAACTAAATTTATTTTACTATTATAGCTACTGAACGCGTTCTGTCTATCATGAAAGCGTCTACCGCAGGTCCGGCTTGCTGTGCTGGTGGTAGATAAATTTACATCAAGCCACACGAATCGGATGCTTAAGCTAAAGAGCGACAAAGCTATTTGGTAGCTCTACTAAGCCCTTTTGCAGCGCTAACATATTTTAATACCACGAGATTATAAGATATTGGCGTTATACTATACAAAAAGAAAACTAAGATATTTTGTGTAGATTTTTATTAGTATCGGTTATGAGTTCCTCTTGGCATTTAATGCTTCCTGGAGTATAAACTCCAGGTACCACGCCACCACTTATCTTAAGATTTGAGATCCAAGTATCCAAGAGATCCAATCCGCTTGTGTTCAATCATGGTTGTTCCACCCTTCAAGCCGAACCCCATCATTGTTTCGCGGCAGAAATTGGTAGTTAACGATACCTACCCGTGCGTAACCCGTCCTACGTCTAAAAATAAATTACGGTAGACTTTTTGAGGATACTGTACTTACTACACGGGTAATGATAGGAAGCTTTTCATAATGGTCTCCGCTGAATTCCTTATTGCCTTTCACGACACCCACTGGTAGAGATGGATGCTATTTTAGGTCATTTGGCGTCATCTAGTTAAAATTGGTATCTTTATTATGCTTTTGTATTCCAGATCAATAACTTAGCTTCCTTAATAATTCAAGAAACTCTGGGGCAAGACACAAGTTCTAAATTGTATTCGATAGAGAAAGACTTCGAAATTTTGAAGAATTTTACGAATACTCTGATAGGTTTTGACGAAGAAAAGAAGATGGAAATACAATGGAACAAGATTTTTAATTTGCCCGATGATTCGGAGTTCATGACCGTGGTCAAACAGAAAAGTCATCTCGGAAACCAGATCTTGTTAGTACCTTCATCAAATTACAATTGTTGTTTTCAAATTACGACCTCATGTCTCAAGGCGGACGTTGCGTTGAGAAATATTTATAACGTTCACCCATTTTGGGTATATTTTTTTGCCATAATTAGTTATAAAATTAAAACTTACAAATTTTTACTTTCATTATTACCGAAAACTCAAATTTAAACCACCATCCCTTTCATTTCTACATTATAACTTTTCATTTTACTAGAAACCTCGTAGTTCAAAAAGATAACTCTGAAATTCTATTTTCAACAAATAACATTAAAATTCGCAGAATAACCACCCACGGTGCTTTAGCCAAAGAAGTCGTCAAACAGAATCCAATACTTGAACTCAAAATAACTCCAATATTAATAGACATGACCGCAGTGGTCGAAGCACTTAACGAACAGATTGGTAGCGCTCCAGCCCAAGTTGTCGCAGCCTTGAAGAACTTGTACGGTGACATTGTTATCACCGTTATGAAAACTGCTTTAAATGAAGAAAAGGTGATTTTCTCTACATTATGCTAATGGACAAATAGCAGGGCAAACTGATCGCTCGAGAAGCATTGATTTAATAATTTTACCAAACATCTTGAATTTTGTGTATGTTTAAAACAACAGCTTTTGACTAGCTGCTGCCCGATCATAAAAATGAGAACACGTGATTTCTCTTGGTAAAATTTGACTTAATAGTGGTATCCACGTGTGCAAACTCATAGCACTGCAACAGCTACGTAAAATTATTCGTCGTTATTTTTTTTTTAAATTGCTTAGTGGGCAGGAAGACTTTGAGAAACATAGTGCATCGACTGATCAGCACTTCAATCTAGACACGACCTTCAGAAATAAAGAGCCCGACTAAGTAAGGAGACAGAGATGGGTGAGCGAACTCACAGCCCACCCCGTGTTAGGTGGCTAGGTAGACATCACAACATCAATGCCGCCACTCACCTTGTCCCACGTGAGATCGAAGCCTCAATTATTTTGCATAACGGCTGTCTCGTCTCTCAAACTTATTCGCATTAGAAATACCAGTTTGCCCACGTAACCTTATATAACACAATTCTCACATCACACTGTACTTTTCTAGACGTACAGCTCTCTATCGACAGCCAGCAAAGATATTTTATGTAACGGGGTCGAAACTGCGAGGGATTACTTGGAATTCCCTGACAACATCGACAGAGCAAGACTAGTGACAACCCTGTGTGACGCCACACTGGCTATCGAAAATGGTTTGAAGAACACATCAATCATAGCCAAAACCGTAAGAATTCCTAATTCTTCGCAATTTATCCATTCACGTTTACAGAGCAATAAGTATACAGCATCTATAATAATGATCTATAATAATGCATCGACTGTATGAACATTAGGTGCCTTAACGTAGACGAACTAATAAGAGTGGAAAGATATGCTTTAAGTTGTGGCTTAGTCCATGCACAGACCGCTCTGCCCCAAATAAAAGATATTACGATGATTAATAGTGAATATTCAGATTCCAGAAACTCCCCGGCACCTCGCCTTCAGTACCTAATCTAGGACACTTTAAACTAACTTACAATTTAAATTAACTTAAACTTTTATAGATAAACAAAATACGAAGCTCGCCCCCCGGTGCGCTCGATGCCATAAACTGGACCAAACTAATAAACGGCATTAAAAAGCTGTACGTGAACATTAACAATGATTACACGTATTTATTCGATTTCTCGAGCTACGGAATGGATGAAGGTACGCGGAAAACTGTGAAGGAACTTCATTATGAAGCCGAAGCTTACTGGTTTGGAGTTAGAAACTTACAGAGGAGCTTGCGTTTGAGGTATGAATTTACGAGGGTTTTGTCAAACAGCTCTGCGTAAGGGCAGCAGCATAATACAGAACAAGTAGTTTTAAGACAGCCAACCTTATATACTAACTAAATAAATTGCACATGAGCACTCGTGAACATAGCTTGTGAACGAAAGCAGAGATTCCGAAAAGAATGCACCAGACCTTCCATATGGTAATTGGCTCATGGATTTCAGCAATGCTAACGACATCTCTAACCTTGAAAAAGGTTTTTTTTTTTTTTATTGCTTAGATGGATGCACGAGCTCACAGCCCACCTGGTGTTAAGTGGTTACTGGAGCCCATAGACATCTACAACGTAAATGCGCCATCCACCTCGAGATATAAGTTCTAAGATCTCAGTATAGTTACAACGGCTACCCCACCCTTCGAACCGAAACGCATTACTGCTTCACGGCGGAAATAAGCGGGGTGGTGGAACCTACCCGTGCGGACTCCCAAGAGGTCCTACCACCAGTGATAAATCGAGAAATACTATGGAGAGGATAATCTATGGAATACCATGGTATCTGGCTCTGGAATTAAATATTTGGCCCCGAGAAACATATGGGTCTCTAAAGGGAATTCAATTCTCGCTATGGCTAAGACGTTGTATGGGAAGGTTCATCTCAATTGCTACTATAGCAACTATGGCACTAATTTAGAGTGCATTGCTGGTGAGGAACGCTAATTTAGATTTATTCCACTCATTAATACGCTCTGGGATGCCATAGACATTTGGGAATAACGACGAAGGGAAGATCTTCCACCGAGCGGGTGATATTGCTCGGTAGACCGACGGTCCGAATGTTGTTGTACGGAACTTGTATATATGCGTGCTTATCTTGAAAATGTCGTAAGCGAAATTCAGGCAACTGTCAAATATCTTGTTGTATTATGGCTACCCGCCACAGACACATGTGACCGTCATACGCAAGGGGATCTATCGAACTAAATTAAAAGCTGCGTCATTGTTTCTGTTTTCAGTGTGAAACTTGGCCTGCGATTCTTGGACGTTTTAGATTGTGGCGTATTCGACATAACTGACGTAACTTGGTTGAAAATGAAACATACTCTGAAAAACGTGAACGGTCCTCTGAATGTATTTCATGAGACAATTGACGTGGTCTCGGGTAAGCTTTGATATAAATCACAATATTTTGCTTTGATTTAAGTAGTAAAGGTATCCGTAAGCTAATTGCATCTAACGCTAACGCTACATTGTTTCACATAATTACAACTTAACATCAAGTGGACTATGAGTTCGCTTAATCATATGAAACTTAAAAATAAAAATTGAAAAACAGCCTAAGTGCGCAGTGTTTATAAAAGCTAATACCGGTTTGAATTGGGGTAGCCATTACTGCACTGCAATTAGTAAAACCTTGTGTTTGAATGTGGACCTCGCCACACACATTGAAATGCGTATAAACTCTAGTAGATTCTTAAGTTTTTTTTTATTGCATATATGGGTGGACGAGCTCACAGCCCACCTAGTGTTAACTGGTTACCGGAGTCCATAGACATCTACAACGTAAATGCCGCCATCCAGCTTGAGATATGAGTTCTAAGGTCTCAGTGTAGTTACAACAGCTGCCTCACCCTTCAAACCGAAACGCATTGCTGCTTCGCGGCAGAAATAGGCAGGGCGTTGGTACCTACCCGTGCGGACTCACAAGAGGTCCTACCAGCAGTAACTGATGTCTAGTTGACGTTAGCTAATTCCTGTGTCCATAGATTTGGTACACATGTAATCGATTTCAAATCGGCAGCTATCCCTACGCTCCACACCATATGAAGATTTGCTTTAGACATATTGACATCAAAGCCACTTAAATTGACAGTCGCCAGTAGTATACCTCAACACAAAAGGACAGAACTTAACCAAAGCAAATTACAGTAGCTCATTTATAATCTCAATTCACTTATGACTATTTGTTATAAACAGCTATTATCATGGGCAAAGCTTACGCAACAAGCTTGCCACCGATCACAGTCGAAGCTCTTGGAATCATCATACCTAAAGTGCCACAGTTGATTGTCGACGCCGTCAAACTCGTTGTACACGACGAAACAGATGTGAGTAATATAATTCCATACCTTCGATTTTTGCCGATAAATACTAACTACTGTTATTACAACGAAGCGTTATCAATAGGTCAGTTTTACAAAACAATACAAGGTAGTACTCTGTGTTCAAAGTGTTCAAAGGAGTAGTGGCATTAGCTTGGTCTTAACTATGGAGTCTGCTAATTTATCACTAAGTGGGCTTTGAAATCGTCTTCGACAGAACACTTTTCAACAATGTTAAAAATCAAAAGTACTTTTATTATATTAATTAAAGATTAAAAATTCAACCGATCTAGGCTTATCTATAATATATATCGATTAATTCTCCCAAATAAGCATGAAAGAGGAGTACATATGGCAGAGATGCGAATGTTGAAATAGATGTGTGAAGTGACAAGAATAGACAAGACAAGGAATGAGCATATGAAAGAAAGTGTGAAAGTAGCCCCGGTGATTGACAAATTAAAGAGCGGACGTTTAGCGTGTTATGGACATGTGATGCGTAGAGAGAAGATACATGTGACTAGGAGATATATGGAAATGGTAGTTCAAGGTAGAGGGGGAAGAGGTCGACCGAAAAAGACATGGATGGAGGGTGTGAATAACGTATGAGAGAGAAAGGAGTGAGTGTTGAGATGACGGCTGATAGAATAGAATAGAAAATTTTGCTGGACCGACTCCACCTAGTGGGATAAGATGGAGACAAAGAAGAAGAAGCATCATAACAATAAGCAACAGCAATTAAAATACATAATAAGTTAGGTAGCGGCTTTGTGCGGTGTTAGTGACGGTAACCACATACCACAAGGGCACACATTCGGCTGCCTTCATTATCGCTAAAAATTCTAACGATACCTTAACTTCAAACAGGTAGAACCAATAATAAACATAATGAATAGCGCACCAACTTGGCCATGCTCCAACACAAGTTTGTCAGACTTATTACCTATTAGCATCGAGTCTCAGGCTGCGACGAAGAGTCTAGAAAGATTGTTATGCTTGGATGAAGAGCTACAAGCTGAATGGGTTCAGTATTTGGAAATGAAACAGGGTAAAATACAAGTAAGTTAAAACTAATACTATGTACAATGAGATGATTTTGCTTTTAGCAAATTTTAAATCGATCTCTTCATCTACAACCTTAACAATTCTGCTTATTTCTGCCGCAAAGCAGTCATGATTCCCGCCTTAAAGGATGGAGTAGCTTCTTTTCTTATGCAATAGAGTTAGACCTCGTATTTCAATTCCCAGAAACTTGACAACTACAACAGCAGCCGCTACGAAAGGAACATCTTCTTGAACTTCTCCAGAACCTTTGATTCATTGATTGATGACGTCATGAAGTTCAAAGACATGTTCCAGTATATTATCAATGATGAAGGAACAGAACACTTAAGTTTGATGTCTTCTTTAAGATACGCTCTCGATTCTCTGAACACTACAGAAAGGGATGACATACTTCGGTGAGTATTAATCGATCATAAAAAGTAAGAAGGTTCTCAAGCAGATAAAATGAATTGCTTTTCGTTAGTCTTGCTAAAACTCGAGAACGGCTGGACCGATTTGGCTGTTTTTGGTCTTGAATTACTTGTGGAAGTCCGGAGAATGTTTAAAAGGTAGATAAATATGAAAATGCTTGAAATTAAATAAAAATAACAATTTTGTTTTTCCTTTGATGTGTCCTCAGTTTCACGGATTCCTTTTGTTTATTTTATACAAAAGTTTAGGTCTTCTATTTATCGATTGAGGCACTAAGAAGTCTGCCGGGTCAGCTAGTAAAAAATAAAAAGACAACTCAATGTAGCTGCAGCTACTAGACGTTTCTTAATAAAACCCTAATTGTTTATTACTCCAATATGTTCCTTGTTGTATTATCCTTAAATACTTTACGATTTCAATTGACTTAATTTAACAGGAAATTCTTCAACAAATTAGACACAGTCCTGAACTCTATCAAGACATCGTCTGTAGATCGTTTAGTTCCATTAAACGTCATCTTGGAAGATTACATCAAGTGCAGTAACAACAGGATAATAGACGCGGCTTGCAAGGATACAGGCAGAACTGCGTGGATGTACACGATAAGAACTCTGTCAGTTATCTTCAGTAATATCGCTGATGATCTGTTGACCTATTTTAAGGAAGTTAATGGTAAGGCCATTCTGTGTTCTATTTACTAGAGGTAGGGCTTATTATAAGCCCTCACGAGAAGGTCTCATTAATCTTAGGGATGTAGTCATGTCTCTAAAGAATATAGAAGAATGGAAGAATGGGAATACAATTGAGGATTTGTCCTCATGTTTCAAAGGGGGAGCGCTGAAATGGTGTATTACCGTTATGAACTGGATAACAATTTAGCATCAGGGGGTCTAAAGCATCATAGACACGGTCCTTACAGTAAGACAGCACGTTCTACCATCAGGTGTATCATTTAATATCGATTTTTCGAAAAAAAAATGGAATTCTGAGAAAATATTTTTTTATCTTCATATTTCGTTCTTTCAGATCCAGATTCAAATTTGTTACAAGTGATGGGCTTCACGAAGAGCACCGGGCTTTACATTCTATACGATAAGATAGGCGATTTCGTCACGGTTCTGTTGAATTCCTACTGGGATTACGGATTTATGAGTCAGGTTCGATTATTTCAGTACAGCTTAAATACTTACTCTAAAATTCCATTCAATGTTGGTTTTTAATTGACATTGAATGTTGTGTTGTGTTACTTTTTTTTTATAAACTGACATTTTTACACAACGTTCTCTAGCCCCAAGCTAAGCTTAATGCTTGTGTTATGGGTGCCAGATTACGGATATACTACACATATTCGGATATACTACACATCGTAGTCGTCGTGGCCTAACGGATAAGACGTCCAGTGCATTCCTGTTGAAGCGATGCACCGGTGTTCGAATCCCGCAGGCGGGTACCAACCGTGTAATAAAAATGAAACCCGCAAAATTATAATTTGCGTAATTACTGGTGGTAGGACCTCTTGTGAGTCCGCGCGGGTGGGTACCACCACCCCGCCTATTTCTGCCGTGAAGCAGTAATGCGTTTCGGTTTGAAGGATGAGGCAGCCGTTGTAACTATACTTGAGACCTTAGAACTTGTATCTCAAGGTGGGTGGCGCATTTACGTTGTGGATGTCTATGGGCTCCAGTAACCATTTAACACCAGGTGGGCTGTAAGCTCGTCCACCCATCTAAGCAATAAAAAAAATTCTCTCTTATCGATCTCTTAATCGATCCACATGCTATGAAATATGAATTCCATCCAGGTTCGTCGAGCATCTCTTTCTCAATTTTGGGACTGCGAGGCCGTGGTGTCAGCCTTGGTTCCTCCTGCTGGGAGTACAATTGATGCCACCATTTTACTCAAAGTTCAGCCCTATATCTGCCCGTCCTTCATCTACTGGCTGTCTTTGCCTCGAGGGGATAATAAGTTCCTTGACATCGTAGCTAAGCCGGTAAGTCTCATCTCATTTTATTACACTAAGCCTCAGTGAGTCTAATCTCATCTAATCATATTCATGTGAGCATCGAATCCACCATCGCAACCACATCGCTTAATTAATTTTTATTAATATTCACCAATATGATATGATATCAGCCCACTGAGTTTCTCGCCAGATCTTCTCAGTGGGTCACGATTCCGATCCGGTGGTAGATTCCGCGAAGCACTGCTCTTGCTAGGGCCAGTGTTAGCAACGTCCTTTGGTTAGAGCCCCGTGAGGTCACCTACTCATTCTGTGAATCTAGTATTTATAATCCCTCGAGATCACTAGAATAGCTAGGAAAATAAGAAAAAAATGTTAAAACTCATTTAAGATTTGAGTGATATCTAAATTGATGATTATGTATTTTTTAACCGAAGCACTATAATATATTATTTATATAGATATACTATACACTTTTTATTAAATTATCAACTAAGATGAATATAGTTTTATTGGTGTCGCTATTTTTAATGAAAATTACACTGTAGTTGTAGGTGATGTCTCCATTCCAATATTGGTACGATTAGAACAAACCTTTTTGGAAACCATACTACATCTACTTAAAACACCGAAAGACATCCTAACGTTATTCAACAAAACTAACATCACAAATAATTGTTATTTCTTCCAGCAATACTACTTCTACACGAGCGACGCTCGAAACGCTACAAGTCAATACGAAAGTGCTTTTACAAAGGCTGTAGAACTAGCAAATTTCATATTAAACATTGCCAAGCAAAACAAAACATTCATAAACGAAGACGAAATAAAAATGAACAGCCTACAAGGAAAACTAGAAAAATTCGTCGATACAATATTAAATTTTAAAATTGAAAAATCTAATCCCCAGTATATTCTATTTAACGATATAAATAAAAAACAAATTTCCGCCATGATTTATTTAGCTAGAATCGTTAGTATGGTCAATAAAATGGACGCAGAACTACAGAGATTTAATGTAGATGAGCTACCAGATAATAACATTGACAAGAATAAAACAAAAGAAGAACTGAAATATATTAACAATATGTATAAAAGAAAGCCTGTGGATACGATTTCATTTCACTATGATGTAATAACGGATTTACTGTGGGCTAACAATAAAAGTTACAATTTAGTCGAATCATTCGAAGCAATGTGTGAAAACTTGAAAAATGANAGATTTAATGTAGATGAGCTACCAGATAATAACATTGACAAGAATAAAACAAAAGAAGAACTGAAATATATTAACAATATGTATAAAAGAAAGCCTGTGGATACGATTTCATTTCACTATGATGTAATAACGGATTTACTGTGGGCTAACAATAAAAGTTACAATTTAGTCGAATCATTCGAAGCAATGTGTGAAAACTTGAAAAATGAAAGTAAAATAATTTTGGGGGGTCAAAGAAGAACAAAAATACAATTCTGTGCACAAGACTATAAGATCATTTTTGATAAAATACAAACTGTCGTTGATGGCGATTACGAAGCAGCGAGGTTGAGCTTGGAAAATCTAATTAACATTCTTCAGGATGATGATAAGAAGAATATAACGGACATTTACAAATTCTTCAATGATAGGTTAGTCTTATCGAGAAGTGTACATTTTGTTATTTGATTCTATTACTAAAGACAGACAGACTACAGGCGGTTTAAAACTGTCTAACGATCTGGAGTGATCATCGAGCCAGCGACGCCAGGTGGGGGAGGAAAGTCCTCGAATGGAGGCCACGGATGGGTATAAGGAGCGTGGGGCGTCCTCCAACCAGGTGGACTGACGACTTAGTGCGCACGGCGGGAAGTCGTTGGATGCGGAAGGCGGAGGACCGCATTATGTGGAAGGCATTGGGGAAGGCCTATGTTCAGCAGTGGGCAGATAAAGGCTGATGATGATGATGATGATGATCTGGAGTGACCTTTACCGTTATCGATTACTGGAACCCATGGACAACGTGGATGCCGCCACCCGCCTTCAGTTAATAAATTCGAGTCGTAATTCCTTTAGAATATTGGCAATATCGTCCTTCAAGACGAATAGCGTGTGGTGATGATTAGATTACCAGAGGTAATGAGATTATTAGCTCGAAGAGGTCGCACACGCATACAAAAGCAAGATTCTAACTAACAACCGGTCAATATTCACTGTCATGTACCTAAATCATAACCGACGTGTGCGATAGTTAATGCTTTACATATATTGCAGAAAACAACTACTCTCTTCTATAAAGCACAACGTAAAATACTCGTACGACTTGGGCTTACCTGTATACTTGAAATACCTTCAGTCAAACATCCAGAGCTACAATGTGATAACGTCCTTCCTCTCGGGAGGTGACTGGTGGAATGAGGCTAAGAACATATTCAATGGTCCGTACACTTCCGCATTCTTCGATTACGTCGAGAAGAGCTTGGATGTGGCCAGTGATGTTCTCTTTAACATTGATCGGATCCATGTAAGTTGTGATAGCTTCTTAATATTTGTTGATATTAATTTTAATATAAATAGATTTTTTAGGATCTTAATAAACAGTACACAGCATCATCAGCAATTAAGTATTGACGCCTTCAGCTCTAACACTAGGAGCAGGCTTAGGGACCTCGGTAACCGTACTCGTCGAACTCAACAAAGAGTTCGCCGTGCNTTAATGCTTTACATATATTGCAGAAAACAACTACTCTCTTCTATAAAGCACAACGTAAAATACTCGTACGACTTGGGCTTACCTGTATACTTGAAATACCTTCAGTCAAACATCCAGAGCTACAATGTGATAACGTCCTTCCTCTCGGGAGGTGACTGGTGGAATGAGGCTAAGAACATATTCAATGGTCCGTACACTTCCGCATTCTTCGATTACGTCGAGAAGAGCTTGGATGTGGCCAGTGATGTTCTCTTTAACATTGATCGGATCCATGTAAGTTGTGATAGCTTCTTAATATTTGTTGATATTAATTTTAATATAAATAGATTTTTTAGGATCTTAATAAACAGTACACAGCATCATCAGCAATTAAGTATTGACGCCTTCAGCTCTAACACTAGGAGCAGGCTTAGGGACCTCGGTAACCGTACTCGTCGAACTCAACAAAGAGTTCGCCGTGCAACCTAACCCATGAATCAGCTCGCTGAGTTTCTCGCCGGATCTTCTCAGCGGGTCGCGATTCCGATCCGGTAGTAGATTCATTCGCGAAGCAGCTACTCTTGAGCTGTTAGGTCTCCTTCACCCCTCCTGGCTGAGCCTTTGCTCGCCCACCTGTTGGCGGTAGTTCTTTTGACGTTCAACAAGTATGTACTTTCATTTATGTTGAATAAAAATTTTTTTATTTGATTTGATTTGATTTGATTTGTCCTGGTGAAACTGGAAAGGCCTCCGGGCCACCAGTAATCCTAAAATCATTAAAAAAAAAAATAAGTATTATGAATACCCGTCATACTCGTATTCCAACCGTACATAACCGGATTCCAATACCTCTGCCAGGTACTTAAATCTCTAAGTCAATACGAACTTAACACATATACACGAACGACGCTCAGAATAACATCCTACCCATTATTTCTCCCAATCATTTGTGTGTTGCAAGCTTACCCAATATACCTATACTTAGGCTTCAATCTGGACGACTATTCATTTTGAGTTTTTCGCACTGTATCTGTATCTCAAAGGTTTTCGTCAACAGTGCAATCCAGGGTTCTCCGATATTTTGGACACGTTTCGCGACGGCCAGCAGAGTCTATCGAGAAACTTGTTGTTCAGAGTAGGGTCAATGATAAAAGATCTCGTAGACGAAGCCCCATGCACTGAACTGATCAAGTGAAAATCCTTACCAAAAGCCCGCTTCACGAGTGCGTGCGCCAAACCTCAGTTCGCGAACTATGGAGAACACCTGTTAAGGCCTTAATAAACGAGGATTCCACATAACCACGACTGCTCTGCCAAGAGTAACCGACTATGATGATGATCTGTATTTTTAAATTAAATTAAAAAACACAACTGTTTTTTTCTTTTCCAACAGCTAGTTCGTCTTCTTCGTGATATAAACGTGAACGAAACTGACGCGTTTTGCCAGTCCAGTATCAATCTATCCGACTACGTACCAGACAGCACCGGTGCACTCTCCGCCATGAAGCAGCAGCTCTGTACGAAGAATGCCAATGAACTATTTAAAGAGATACCACCATTGCTCTTCGCCGCACAGGTTTAATTTTTTTTTTTATTGCTTAGATGGGTGGACGGGCTCACAGCCCACCTGGTGTTAAGTGGTTACTGGAGCCCATAGACATCTACAATGTAAATGCGCCACCCACATTGAGATATAAGTTCTAAGGTCTCAGTATAGTTACAACGGCTACCCCACCCTTCAAACCGAAACGCATTACTGCTTCACGGCAGAAATAGGCAGGGCGGTGGTACCTACCCGCGCGGACTCACAAGTGGTCCTACCGCCAGTAAAAATATTCAACTATCCTCAATCTTTACGACCTATGATCAACGAACTGCCAAATTACAGTTTTATTTATTGTTGTTGTTTTATTTCATATCATTACAGATGCTATTATTTGACGGTTCCTCCTAGACACTGACTGTCAACCATTAGCTTTGGATCTTTTAACAGCGCTAGTATATTTAGAACCCAATAAAATTTTGAATTGTGGTAAAAAATTCGTTCAGTAAAAGTATTTTAACTACTGCCACTTCAATCTTATTTAAAGCATTACTTTGGATAGCCACAGCAGTAGTATTGATAACATCTAACTATAACTGATCCGTGAATTGAACGCGATCACGGCAATATTCATCCGTATTCTTAACTTTAGCAAAGTCGTTACGGATAATTATAGCAGCAATGGACTTCATCAAAAGAGATTTTTACGCTTTGGACGCCGTGTATACATTCTAATAGCTTTTGTTCGGAATGGTTTTGGCTATAGCCTGATTTTAGATCTTTTTTTCTTTAACAGGGTTACGACAACTCTCTTAAAGTATCGAAGACTATAGACTATGGTAAACTGAGCTCTGACCTGACTACGGTAGAGTCCAAACTTGACCTTATCAAGGACATACCCGAATCACCTCAAAGGCCATCGTGGGCTACTGATGACAAGATTAACAATCTGAGGAATGTCGCAGTGAGCATGCTTTCCAAGGAATCATTGACTAAGATGTCCTTTGGCGTTTTAAGTAATTTCGTTGATGCCGGTACACTGTTTCTGAACAATAGGTAAGTCTGAGACTGATACTGATATTTTTTACAATCTCGCCTGGTTTACAAATCGTGATGGAATTTGCGTATGCTAACTTTATTTATTTGACTTGATCGTCGTGAGCCCAAGGCCTTTCGAATATACTTGCAGGAGTCCATAGACATGAAAACTGTTGTCCATCTTGAGACATCTAAATCTCAATTGAACCGTACTAAACATGACCTTCAATCCGATACCAAAAAGAGTGAATCCGCAATACGCCGTTCTGCCATTATGTGCCAGTTTATAATCTCAGTATTTCAGTGATACCCGAGCGCTATGACATGTCCTTCTTCAAACGAGGCTTGTGGAGAGTACTCAACAGTAGGCAGCGGCTTGGCTCTGCCCCTGGCATTGCTGAAGTCCATGGGCGACGGTAACCACTCACCATTAGGTGGGCCGTATGCTCGTCTCCCTACAAGGGCAATAAAAAAAAACACTAATCTCTATGATACACTACTTTGAGAAATTTGCCCTTTCTCCTGTGAATCTTTAAGTCGCGTTTGGCGATATCAGGGTAAGGGATTGGATCCTTACTAAACTCGAAGGTTCAATATTATTTGGCGCTCATATGGGCTCATGACTTTACTTCGTCCCGCTATTTCTTCACCTATGTATCTTAGTTAACTTTTAACCAAATACAACCAACAGCCAATGCACTCTTTGTTCTCAATTGACGTCTTGGTTCAAACAACTGAACCTCCAGCTCTTCAAGAAGGAGGAATACGATATATTGTTATGTCAAATGCAGTCGATGACCATGCCCGAGATATACAACACCCTGAAGAACAATTTCCATTGGGACATGGCAATTAAGGAGGTACGTTGGTTTTTATTTATTTTTTATTTATTGCATCGATGGGTGGATGAGTTCACAGCCCACCTGGTATTAAAGTGGTTACCGGAGCCCATAGACATCTACAACGTAAATGCCGCCACCCACCTTGAGACATGAGTTGTAAGGTATCAATATAGTTTCAACGGCTGCCCCACCCTTCAAACCGAAACGCATAACTGCTTCACGGCAGAAATAGGCAGGGTGGTGGTACCTACCCGTGCGGACTCACAACTTTCCGGTTGTAGGACCTCATTAGTACCCCTGTCCGCGAGAAACTGGAATAGTCCCTTAGTCTACCAGCTATAGCTAGAGATAAACTAACCACAAGCGAGCGGCCCCTAAACACCATTTTGGGCCTTGAATTTATAACCATATATTGGACTGACAGTAACCTTACTCTTCAAACTGCTACGTTTGATAACCTTGCATAAATCGAAACATATTCTTGGTACGCGGTGAGTCCCAGCAGCATATTGACAAGGTAACGAACCAACTCGAGGTCCACTTCAAAATAAGTGGTACGGAAACCTATAGATGTTGCAATCTAATTGTCGTCATCCACATAAAGTCGGAACCTCAATGGTGTTGTATAACGGTTATCCTGCCTCACAAGCCGAAGCGCATAGTTAGAATAGTACCTACCCGTGCTAAAGCTTATTCTAAACATCTTCCAACCTATGAAATAATATTAAATCTTCTTTAACTTAGTGATTATATTAACATCGTTTTTAAGTTACATTGTTACTAATAAAGTTGATTTAGTGAAAATTGCCGGGTCACATTGGATGCTGTTGGCAACGGACCGGCCGTACTAGAAATCTATTAGAAAGACCTATGTTCGGCAGTGGACAGCTATAGGCTGAGATGATGATGATGATGACAGATGAAGTTAGCTTAAATTTTTTTTAATGCTTAGATGGGTGGACGAGCTCACAGCCTACCTGGTGTTAAGTGGTTACTGGAGCCCATAGACATCTACAACGTAAATGCGCCACCCACCTTGAGATAAAGTTCTAAGGTTTCAAGTTATAACGGCTGCACCACCCTTCAAACCGAAACGCATTACTGCTTCACGGCAGAAATAGGCAGGGTGGTGGTACCTACCCGTGCGGACTCACAAGAGGTCCTACCACCAGTAAAAAAAATAATAATAAAAAATCTCAATAAATTATTTAATTTTATATAATCTAAACTTTCATTCACAGTTGATACTAACAAGAAATTACACGAAATACGAACTGAATAAATCTATGAATGAGTTTTTGGAGCTGGTAAAACTACATCTGCTGGTGGACATCACCGCGAGCACGACCAGGCTCGGCGAATGTCTCGCCAGTAATGTCACTAAAAATATATTCGGTGATGCTGCGTTGTGAGTACCTCAAGGTTTATACCAACCTATAAATTAGCTATAGCTAAAAAGTACTTTTCATATTGATTGTCTAATAGTATGTTCGCATCTGTAATGACTAATGTATGTCCGAAACATTTTTTGCTTGCATATGAATTTGACCAAATTCAAAGACCTCCTGCTGTTTAGTGGCTACTGAAACTATAGACCTCGCTACCTGGATGCTGCCACTCACATTGAAATAAATAGATTAGATAAAAGGCTCTATTGTATTTTACAATTAAAAAAACTCCCCCTTTTTAAGCTAATCACGAAAGTTTTTCTTTTAAAGTAAATCTAATTTAGTGGTTTTACTTTTATCGTGCCCTAAGAAATTACACATCAGATTTTTTAAATTTAAAATTTAATGAATCAAAATGCTTCACCTGTAGAGTTGATCCTGTTGATTTATTTATTTATTTTTTACAAATGACTGAGAACTCGGTTAACACATATAAAACAATATTTATGTGTGACATTGAACCTCCTCCTTTTTTAAAGTCAGCTAATAAACCAAAATAATCTCAGATTTTACCCTCAGATCAATATCAGTCGTGTCAAAAATTGCTCATCTCCTACGGTCTGCATTACCACATATACACGAAATAGAGGGAATAAAAGACATTCAATATCTAAACCAGCTACACGATAAAATTGGTCATAAATTAAATGTTATGGGACCATTAAACAAATATGTCAAAGCTAATAGTGATATTCACGAGCAGCTTAGTAAAGTCATTAGTGATTTGGATTTTATTGATGAAACAGAAGCTTCGGATGTAAATCTTAGATCGGTGAGTGATTTAAAAATAATTACCTATGATTGTCGGTTGGGGCTTTTTTTTTATTGCTTAGATGGGTGGACGAGCTCACAGCCCACCTGGTGTTAAGTGATTACCGGAGCCCATAGACATCTACAACGTAAATGCGCCACCCACCTTGAGATTTAAGTTCTAAGATCTCAGTATAGTTACAACGGCTTCCCCACCCTTCAAACCGAAACGCATTACTGCTTCACGGCAGAAATAGGCGGGGCGGTGGTACCTACCCGTGCGGACTCACAAGAGGTCCTACCACCAGTAATTACGCAAATTATAATTTTGCGGGTTTGATTTTTATTGCACGATGTTATTCCTTCACCGTGGAAGTCAATCGTGAACATTTGTTGAGTACGTATTTCNTAATTACGCAAATTATAATTTTGCGGGTTTGATTTTTATTGCACGATGTTATTCCTTCACCGTGGAAGTCAATCGTGAACATTTGTTGAGTACGTATTTCATTAGAAAAATTGGTACCCGCCAGCGAGATTCGAACACCAGTGCATCGCTCGATACGAATGCACCGGACGTCTTATCCTTTAGGCCACGACGACTTCACACGGCCTACACCAAGGAACCAAGTTTTTTCACATGGATATTTGAATGAGCTCACGACCCATCTGATTGGAATATTATCTGGGTATCGATAATGCCCCATTTTCTAGATTTTTATCGCTTTATTTCAATGGTATTTAGTGTGATTGATAAATATGTAATGTTATCAGATACGTGAAATTACAATGCCTTCAGACGAGAATATCAAATTGAATACAATGAAATGGAGACAAGTTTGCAGTAAACATAACTGCACCGTCATAGCGATGATAATCAAAAACAATTTGAATGAAACACTCGTTCTAACTGATGTAAGTATGGAAAAAATATGTACAATGTATCTATATTGGTTCTTAATGAATCATAATAATCTTACTGATATCTTGAAGAATCTTATTCGTTTTTGGTTTAAAGACATAAACATTTATATCATTAGAATAACTTCGGCGAGCAGAATCCATTACAGAACTGGTCGAATCGCGACTATCTCTTCTTCTAGAAAAAGAAGAAGAGATATCTTCTTCTTTTTCTCAACCTTTCCCACTAGATGGGATCGCACAACGAATTTTTCCATTCCATTCTCTTTTATCAGCCGTCATCTCAACACTCCCTCCTCTGTCTCTCATATCGTCATTCACTCTCTCCATCCATGTCTTCTTCGGTCGACCTCTTCCCTCTCTATCTTGCACTACCATAAGTCTCCTAGTCACGACTATAATAATTTCTAGAAATGCTTTCCGATTTTCAGCTACCGAAACTTCAAAGCAAGGAATTTTGGAAGTTTTCGTTCATGTCAAATATAATTCGGCATATTGAGGGCGTGCTGTCACATGCGGCTCGGTTGTTGGGTGTGGCCAGCGATCTCGACGTTAAGGGAGTGATGGAAGGAAAACTTGAATCGATAGTCGATGTGGTGGTTACCATCTTAAGTGATGATATAGTTCACAGTGTGCTATATAGGTAAGGAAGTCTACTGGATTTTATATTGGCAGAGAAAGTTATTTGAAATAGGTCTAAAATGCTTGAAAGCACTACCTATCCTAAATACATGTGTGATTCGAAAGTCATTACATAACTGGTGGTATCTACGTAGACCGGGATAGGAATTATCAAATTTTAATCTCTATCTCTTTCTCAGTCTTCAGGGCATTATACAAGAAGTACATCCTTTACTAGCCGGTACCGCTCTGGAAAATGATCTGGAATCTCTTTCTGTTGGATTGAAGATAATGAGCGACTTCAAAAACTATTTATTAGAAGAGGAGAATCTTAAATGTATGTGTATGCTATGAAACAATAGTCTTTTCTAATGGTTTTTTGTATGCGGACTTACATTTGTAACTTACATTCGCGCACCATATATTTTGGTATCTGAGAAAGGTAGACTCTCTCACAACTAGAATAACGACATTAATTTTAATGGTAAAGCTGGATAAATATACATAGACGGTTAATAATCTACCCTGCTTGCTACAGACGACATAACCGTGCGGTCCTAAGAATTAGCCGATATTCTTACAATGGGCAGATGACAGTTTCAATTTCAATACTTCGATCAGATACTCTTCGGAATTTGATTTGCCGATTCGCTTATTCGCGACACCTGTTTTTATCATCGAAGGACATCTAGTGGCCCGAAAACTTCTCAATTTCGTGAAGATTGATGGACTAACATGAGCTCAGCTAAGAATCTAAGGGTCTAATTTACAAGCAGTCTACGGGCTCTACGTTTTCAAGCTGTGTTTTTTATTACAGTGCAAGTATTAAAATACTTTCCGGATTCTGAGGCCATGGAAGCTAGTCTGTCTGCGGTTGGCATCAACAACACAAACTTCTGGTCTCTGGCGGCGCCGAGGATCCAGGATGGATATCTGGAACTGAAACCGGTTTGTAATTTGTAGCTGAATTCAGAAGATGATATTAGCATTTTGTGTACCGTAATTGATGTTACGTGTGCATAATTCTTTAGAAAGTACACTTTCGCTAATGTTTCTCATATCTGCAGTTGTAATTTATGTGGCGGGGCTCAAACTAGTTTTATTATAAACTAGCTGACCCGGCAGACTTCGTAGAGCCTCAATCGATAAATAAAAGACCTAAACTTTTGTATAAAATAAGCTTAAAACAAATAAAAGGAATCCGTCCGACGGGGGACACATCAAAACAAAATTGTTATTTTTATTTCATTCCGAGCATTTTCATATTTATCTACCTTTTAAACCTTCTATGCACTTCCACAAATAATTCAAGACCAAAATTAGCCCAATCGGTCCAGCCATTCTCGAGTTTTAGCGAGACTAACGAACAGCAATTCATTTTTATATATATAGATTTCTAAGTATTGTACGCTTGATATAAAAGCGTCAGCACTCAAAATCTAATGAATTATAAAATGCTCACAGATCTTCACACAAAGAGTCTCTCACGTTGCCGATTTTGTTTGTCAAATTGACGCAATGTCTCAAGTGATCGTGCCATCCGACCTAGACCTGGTTTCATCGGAGGATGTGATGGGAGCGGTGGTGGAACAATTCTGCGGAGTACCGGACCAGAGAGCCAAGAGGATTGTTCCTGTGCTATTAGAGAATTTTAACTTCAGCGTGGTAATTGGAAAGGTTAGTTAGTTTTTGTGGATTAAAGTAGAAAACCAGAAGACAGGGCATATAATACTTAGCGGCATCAGTTATAAAGTACCTTTCAAATCGTATTTTAAAACAGGCTTTGTTCAAGCATTTTTCAAAGTTGCAAACGTTCTCGCATTTTGTTGATTATGAACTTATTTCTGTGCGCCCAATAACAGAGTCTTCCAGACAATGTTTGACTTCGCTAGTTATATTACAATCGACAATAGCCAGGTGCGCTATGGATGGACACATAAAGGTGGACCAGAGGATATTTTTTCTACCTCTACGGAATCATCTATTGCAGTCAGAAATGCAATAAAATACTATAAAAGATGAATAGGAGGAGACATGAATGGACAATTACCACTTAGTAGAATTAGAAACACCGCGATATTCTAATACAAAAGATTAATTTTTTCAGCTAATGGACACTTTGCTGTCAAAACTATACACCGCCTCGAACCTAACACAAGAGAATGGAAACGATGTTTTCACAAAATACCCAGAGATGGCAGCACTGTTGCCTGTCATACAAAGCAACATGGCCGACTTGAGCAGCACTTTCGCTAACGAACCTTTGTTCCATAGTTTGCAGAATTTCAGTTCAATTGGTAACTTGCTTGCTGGTGAGTTGAATTTATTATTGATCATAATTTTGTAAATTGATCATTTTAATTAATATGAGGCTTAAACCTTGCAACCAGATTTGCTTGATGTTGCTCTAGTAAAAATCTGCTCAATGTTGTAAGTACTATTTAAAATGGTCGACTTTTGTATTCCCAATGGCATGGGATATTCCCAATGGCAGTTTACACCACATTTATTGTAATTCCTCCAGGATCGGATTTCATGGTGGATGCCGGTAGAATGCTCTGCGGGAAACCGTTCCAAGCTAGTGTACCTCGTCTACTGAAAGGTTTCCTGAATAATGAAGATCACTCTAACGGGCCCAGCCAAGCACAGCTCGACGTTCTACCAAGTGAGAGATCTTTAATTGGTGATGCGATGTTGTAATTTGAAAGGTGCTACATCAGATGCTCTATCGCTAACTCTCTCTTCTCGCTAACTCTCTGTAATCGCTAAGGCTCTCTACAATCTACCGGAAACGTGTTATGAGCTTTTTCGGACACATTATGCGGTTTCCCAGACATGAATAACTACAGGTCATAACTACAGGTCGCATAGAGGGCAAGCGCACCGTGGGCAGAACCCTAGCCAGATGGTCAGATCTAATAAGGGAAGCACTAGATGGTAGTCTGTACATGCAATCCATGCCACCAATGACCGAACACTGTGGACGAATGTCACATGTGGTCGCGATCCTCAGCAGAGAGGGATCTATATAGATATATATCGCTAACTAACTAATAGGAAACTATAATACAAAAGGATGCTCGCCGCGCAGGTGTTTTTCTCGTTAGGCGAAGGGGTTAATACGGTCATTATTAGCCACTGACAGTAGAACAGTACGACTCCCCCCCCCCTGTAAATTGTCATCTTACTGGTGGTAGGACCTCTTATGAGTCCGCACGGGTAGGTTCCACCACCCTGCCTATTTCTGCCGTGAAACAATAATGCGTTTCGGCTTGAAGGGTGAGAGAGCCGTTAAAACTATAATAAGACCTTAGAACTCATATCTCAAGGTGGGTGGTGGCATTTACGTTGTAGATGTCTATGGGCTCCGGTAACCACTTAACACCAGGTGGGCTGTGAGCTCGTCCCCCCATTTATGCAATAAAAATAAAATAATTTTTTTTTATAAAAAAATATATATATTTTTATAGCATTTAACAATGCTAGGATATAGCCAAGCTACATCGAGATAGATGAAATAAGACACTTGTTAAACTTTCTTTTATGAAGGACTTATCAGCACTCTAGAAGGACCGTAGAGTGGAGCTGATTCTAGGGCTGGATGGTACATGGAAACAGCAAAGCCTGGAAGCACTCTGTGAAAAGATATACGTCTTTCAATACAGATTTGTGCTAGAAATAACGGCATTGAATGAATGAATGAATGAATGAATGATTTATTTTATTTCCAACAACAACAACAAGTCCATATCTGTACATAGTATCATTGAAACATACTTATAATTAACAAAACCAATCAAATAAAAAAGATACATTTATTAAAAATAATTATCAGTTGAATACATTTGAAATATTCCATTCAACTGATACTTACTTCGAACCAACCATTATTATTATTATTATTATTTAGTCCGCAAGTGAACCATGGTACAATGGTTCAAGTACCGACAGTCATAACGGTCTGTTAATGCCTTCAGGATGCTGTTAAGGTGCAGGACATTCTCGACATCAGCAACATACTGTTGAAATGAATAGTAAAATCAAGTCTATTTACAGCCGATTTCTGCAGGAGTCTGTACACTGACATCACGAAAGTCGAGGGAGGGAAAATTGTGTGGAGTTTTATAAAGCCGCTCATAATGGGAAAGATATTGTACACTCCGGTTAATCCGACAGTAAATATGATTATTGGAAAGGTGAGTAGAAATAATCTGACAATTAGTTAATATTGAGATTTATGAAATTAATCTCCTAATATTTTTTTTTTATTGTGAAACATCACGCTTGCCACGACTGGTGTACAGACCTATTTTTGTTTTTATTTAATTTATAGCTTATTGACAGCATTGCTCCGCACAAACTACACCTTATAGTTAGACTTACACAATTTACAAACCATGTACGCAACTTCTGATCATCAAAAATTTCTGATCTAAAGAACTGAAGGTTGTTACAATGTTCCGTCAGTTAACACTTTTTTTTAAATGCTAGGGATGCTACTCTAAAAATAGAAAGCTGATAAGTAGAATCGAATGCAATGATTACTTGTGAAGAAATAACCACGTTGTAATTATAATAAAACATAATAATATTTATTATTCTTTTAAATAACTATAAAAATACAAAAAATAACTAAATAGAAAAATCATTGATGTTAAGCACAATTTAGGTGGAATATTGCTGGCAACACCAGTGCCTGTGGATGACGTAGTAGCATGGTTCCTTATGTCCAGTAAAGAAGAATCATTTATAAAATTACCGGTGGTAGGACGACTTGTGAACCTAGACTAGGTACCACAACCATGCCCATTTCTGTCACAAAGCTGTAATGCGTTTTGGCTTGAAGTGTAGGGCAGCTGTTGTACAATAGAACTAAAGCTTAGAGCACTTGCCTCAAGGTTGTTGGCGGTATTAATACAGTTCATGTCTACGGGCTTCCGTAATCACTTAACACCAGATAGGCCGCAAGGTTGTTCACCCGTGGAAGAAAAAAATCTAGAATACGTTACTTAAGCATCTCTACTCCGTAGGCGAACGCGACCTTCGAAACAATGATAAAAATGATGAACTTAGTTCATTCGTTCGCCGCCACCTTCCCCTCCCTGGAGACAATGCTGGACCACAGACACGGACTATTAGTCCTCAAAACGCTGGTCACCGATCCCAAGTTTGAAGGACTTAGAAATATGATCATAGGAGACGTGGGCGTTCCAGATTTGGATGTTGATGGCATCTTTGACCAGTTAGGAGACTTAAAGGTAAGAGATGAACTATTCTGGTGGTAGGACCTTTTGCGAGTCCGCACAGATAGGTACCACTACTCTGCCTATTTCTGCCGTGAAGCAGTGGTGCGTTTCGGTTTGAAGGGTGGGGCAGCCGTTGTAACAATACTGAGACCTTAGAACTTATATCTCAATGTGGGTGGCGCATTTACGTGATTGCTTTCTATGGGCTCCTGTAACCACTTAACAACAGGTGGGCTGTGAGCTACTAATTTAAGCAATAAAAAATAAAATAAAAACAAAACCTTTGATCAATAAATGTTTTAGTTCAAAGTCATGATGACTAATATTTTACTAAGATAGAGTTCCGGGAGTTAGGGGTTTTTTATTGCAAATTTCCTCCTCTTTTAGAGTTTTTTTTTTTAAATTTCTTATTTATTAATAGTTTATGAAATATTGGCAAAAAACGAAATACCATTTTTTTTCATCTCTAATTATTTATAGCTTTTGCAATTTTTTATGTGCTAATTACACGCTTTTGGCACATTTTTCTAGGTGTCATTCCGGATCCAATGAGCTATCGCACATAATTTTAAGAGCAGTAGTCTCTATTTTGTACCATTTTCAACTTGTCGACTAGACTATAAGTAAATAGTGGTGTTGCGCTAATATGCTTAACTCTATCCTCAATGAGAAAAGCTGAGTATGTGTCTTTATCGCGTCGATAGCCTAGGCTGTAACTTCAAAACCTACCTTGGATCCGTTCAAATTACATTAGTCGTGTCTCCAGGGTATCGGTAGTCTACTGTCCAAAGCATCAGATCTCCTCCACTGCTTCAACATGAACCGATTCAAGCCCTCAACGGACGAAGAAGGGATGACAATCGAAGCCGCCAGACTGTCGCAACTCGACGAATTTTCAGCTGGTCAGTAGAAATTAAGTAGGATCATTTTCATTGGGAACCTGGTGATGGGGTAACTTGTGCGTCCGCACTGGTCGGTCGGTTGATAGGTGGGCAGGAGTGGGATTGTAAAAACCGATAATTCTACCTCAAGATTGGCGACGACATTAACATGGTTGATGTCTATGGGCTCCGGTGAGCACTTAACACCAGGTGAACCGTGAATTCGTTCACCTATTTAAGCAAAATAATGCATTTGTTGTAGTAATAATCTTTCAAGTATCCACTGGCACTTCCTTTACTAGTAACAGGGAATATTGTAGGTCCGCCCAGATATTAGTACCATTTCACTTATTTCTGCCGCGGAATACTCGTGGATTCTGGTATACAATGTCTCAATTGAGACGTCGGCTCACATCTCTAGACGCAATTGCATCGCAGACGCATCTCTAGTCGCAACGATTTTCACATTGTTATTTCTATTGACTCCTGCGAATACCTAACACAAGATACTTCATCTTATCCACCCATGCATAAGAAGAAAAACTTGATAAAGCCCACCCCACGAAATACGTCCCTTGAGGAAATCATTGCAATTGTAATTTTCATAAGCCTAAAACAGATGGCGCCTTAAATCAGTTTTTACAGACAAGTGTAATACTGTGTGACATTAATATCTCATAGATGGCGCTGTATTAAAAATAACAACGTTTCACATAAGCTACAGTTTAATGGCATAAACACCACGTGTTTCTGAGGTTAAATTACAAGTGAAATTTATTTCATAGTAAACGCAATACAGTGAAATCCAATTGTCCTTACTTTTTTTAATTTTTGGTATAAGCATAGCCGGCCACGTGTTACTCAGATACAAAAACCTTAGCCACAGCAACGTGTGGCCGGGTCTGCTAGTACATTATATATCTTTAACAGGTATCGTGTTCATGAACACGAAACAACAAAATGGTTCTCTCTCGAATGTGGAGTATAAGATTAGAATGGATTACGAAAATGTTCCCGCAACGCGATGGACGAAGAATTAGTAAGTCGGTTAATGTTCATGCCTCTTCGCTTACTGATCAACTCCGAGAGGAGGTTCTGATCTATATAATTTAAGCTTTCAGAGATCATGCTATTGATGGATTATGGATGTTATTCAGACCGTCTTGACGTTTAAACAATATTATTTGATTCAGGTGGGCCGTATGCTGGTCTGCCTACAAAGGCAATAAAAAAAATTAAAAAAAAAAAAAAAATTGCATATTTTCTCTGCGAGATTTATTTCAAGTGAAGCTAGAGAAGAGTTGCAAACGAATATATCGATTACATATATACGTCGTACGTATTACGTATATGATCAAGTATATTATTAGTCAGGGAGATCATATTAAAAACCGCACAGCGTTGGCGAAGATTACTTTTATTTTTTGGTAAATTAAAAGTTTCAAATCAAATAAAAAAAAAATTCAACATAAATGAAAGTACATACTTGTTGAACGTCAAAAAGAACTACCGCCAATTCACAAAAAGTAGCCTCCGTCCGAAGAAGAACTGGCAAGAAACTCAGTGGGCATGTCTTTTTTTTTTTAATATTAGATTATTTTTAAATACTCATTTTTACAAGAGGTATTATAATGTAACAATTATTGCAATATTGAAATGCCCGGAGCGGGCAATTCATTCCCACATCATATTTATAAATGCCACCGTCTTACCTATTTCTGTCACTAAGTATGCGTTCTGATTCGAAGGGCGAGATAAGAACAGTCTAATATAGAACTCAATGAAACTTCAATCTCTGTGTCAAGTTAAGTTGCGATATACACTTTGTGATATTTGTAAGCTTTGTAAGCAAAGTACGCGAGTTCGAGGATCAGCGTAAAGCTGACCTTGATTACAAACGCGACCAGTTGAAGGCCCGCCCTCCTGCTGCCATAACCTATAATTATGAGAACGGCGTGCTTACGTGCCCTCAATGCGCAAGGAGTTTTGCCGCGAAGGTAGGCTATATAAGCCATCTTCGAGCGCACGAGCGCCAAATCGACGGATAGGAGTCAAAGTGGTCGCCATGGCCGAAATCGGTCGGATGAATCATCATCAAGCTTTGCAAGCCAATCCTCGCCAGGCTGTGAAGTCGTCAATAGAAGTATAACGAATAAAACACGTTAATATCATCACCGATCTCCTCCTGTCCCCAGTCTCTGGATCCCGGGACCCGAGTCCAGCTTCGTAGAGGAGATGCGTTACTTCCGGGGCTTCGTTCAGATCCAGGATATGATCGACCGCGCCGTCATCCAGCTCTCGAGGAAGAGACACAAGCGGGACGCTGAGGATGAAGTGGACTGGGCGATGTACACGCAACAGGAGCCATACCCGTGTTACAGGAAAGATTTGTACGTTTAAATATATTATTTTTCTCTTAATTAAACAAAAAAAGAATTATTCTTACCCGTTTTTTTTTATTGCTTCGATGGGTGGACGAACTCACATCCCAACTGGTGTTAAGTGGTTACTGGAGCCCATAGACTTCTACAACGTAAATGCGCCACCCACCTTGAGATATTAAGTTCTAAGGTCTCAGTAAAGTTACAACGGCTGCCCCACCCTTCAAGCCGAAACGCATTACTGCTTCACGGCAGAAATAAGCAGGGTGGTGGTACCTACCCGCGCGAACTTACAAGAGGTCCTACCCCTCAGTAAAGAAATCTGTGTGAAGTCTGTGAATTCTGGGAACAATTGAATACCATAAATAAAAACATTGTTGTAACGGAATAGAGAAGAGTAAATTGTAGTAGAGTGGAGTAGAGTCGAGTAGAGCATTATTGTTCACCAAAATAATATCGATTGAAGATAGGAAAATATGAATATAGGTACCGACCACATTATAATTGATTCATTGTTTTTTTAATGCACTGGATGTCTATACAAGCTAGCAGGTTTCATGATGATATTATATTATGGTTACCGGAGACTATTGTGGACGTGGACTTTCTTTTAACTGAAGTTCAAAAACGTCAAAATTGTTAACTAAAACTGGTATTGTTGTGTAATGTCGTGTTTATTTACTGTCATGATATTGTGGTATGTATTGTATTCATTCTGTGGCCTGATAGATAGATATTCATTTGCATTTCTCTGCTGTGTGCAACTGAAATAAATTGATTATATTTTATTTATTTATATGCTATTTCCGAAGATTCAAGTCTAAACCGTAAATGTAATATCTATTATTTATTTATTTATTCAATTCAATACAAAGTCAGGCTTACAGTTTGCAAGTTTTTGTAACTTACTTGAGACCTTAGAACTTATATCTCAAGGTGGGTGGCGCATTTACGTTGTGGATGTCTATGGGCTCCAGTAACCACTTAACACCAGGTGGGCTGTGAGCTCGTCCACCCATCTAAGCAATAAAAAAAAACCAAAACGCGTAACTCGTTAACACAAAAAAACATTATTAAAATTATTAGGTAAGTACTAGCTGAACCCGTCCGCTTCGCTGGGTATTTAATATTAACATTATTATTTCTTCACGCCCCCCACAAAGATTCTCGTCATTAGCGCCCCCGCAACTGGTGTAGGGAGCCCAACACTCATATAAATATTAGCCTATCCATTAAGTACATGTATTTTCTACATGGATACCAAGTTTCAAGTCAATCGGCTGCATGGTTCAGTAGTTATAACGGAACATCCGTAAAAAACAGTGTAGATTTATATATTAGTATAGATTATTATTATGCTAAAAATAACATTATTTTAGACAAAAGTATTCCCCAACTATCGACAAACACGTCAGCATCCTGGATTTCGAATAGAAATTCGTTTAACAGCTCAATTGCCCTGGCCGTTGGGCAGTTCCTAGCTCTACGGGTCCTCAGCCCCGCCAAGGCCGCGAATAAGTGGTGGTAGCGGAACACTCCCGCTCGCGCAGACTGTTATGTTGTGTTCTACGATCCGCGAGAATCGAAGAGAATGCTCACAATGTTTTGTATAATTCCTCTCGCACAGCCGCCGGACATTGATTAATCCCAATCTCGAATACGGAGACGAATTTTATTTTTCAGATTCCAAACGTCCCTCTACGAGTCGCAGGCGCTGATCGTGGCCTTCTTCTTCTCGCTCGTGTTCACCGTCGCTTCAGCCATAAGGTTCATAGTTTCCGACAAAGAGTCCGGCAACACTATGGTGAGTGCAAATCAAACTCGTAACACACTTCTAGTCACGATCATTACACATAATTACAGCAAAATGTTATCGAAATGATTAGTTTAATAAAATATCTAAAACACTGAGCTATACAATGAAATCTGAAACTATAATTAGTGAACTAATGTTTGCCAAACTGTTTTGGATTTGTTGTTGCGAATTATTTTGTTATTAGATGTATATTTCTGTGGGTCCACCTGAGGATTTACCGCGCGCGTCTCTGGTCGCTATCCTTATGCCATGAATCAGGATCGATCCAAAACTTCGAATTCCAACAACGCTCGGATGGGCAGGTGAGCTCACAGGCTCAACCTGAGAGAATTGCTAGCACTGACTCTGGCAAGCTGAGTAGTCCGCACGGGTAGGTACCACCACCCTGCCTATTTCTGTCGTGAAGCAGTAATGCGTTTCGGTTTGAACGGACGGTCGGACGGATTCCTTGTGCTTAAGTTTATTTTATACAACAGTTTAGGTATTTTATTTATCGTTTAAGACACTCTGCCGAGTCAGCTAGTAAAAAATAAATAAAAAAAGACTTCGAACGCACAGATTACGAACAATCAGAATGCTTCATGCAGATAATGCTTTTTATTTATTTATTGCTTAGATGGGTGGACGAGCCCACAGCCCACCTGGTGTTAAGTGGTTACTGGAGCCCATAGACATCTACAACGTAAATGCCGCCACCCACTTTGAGATATAAGTTCTAAGGTTTCAGTATAGTTACAACGGCTGCCCCACCCTTCAAACCGAAACGCATTACAGCTTCACGGAAGAAATAGGCAGGGTGGTGGTACCCACCCGCGCGGACTCACAAGAGGTCCTACCACCAGTAAAGCACATTCGATCGTCAGGCTTATTGTTGTGTTATTGTTGTGCTGGCAGTTGATGTACGTGATGGGCGTGGAGGTGCGGTGGCAGTCGCTGTCGTGGGCGGCGTGCACGGCGGCGGAGCTGGCTGTGAGCGCGTGCGGCGCGGCGGCAGTTCTGCACTTCGGCCACGTTCTGCCGCACTCAGACCCCACGCTGCTGCTGGTGCTGTTGCTCATATTCGTCGTCTCCGTGCTCAGTTTCTGGTCAGTCTCGAGCTAAAACCGTTTTCAATTTGCAGCCTTGACTCTAAAGTGCGTACTGGACCAATATAACCGTAATTATCTCGGCAGTCATCTCGTTTTTACCATCGCACCGCCCACCACCGGGGTAGAGTTCATCTATACTACCTGGAGCCACTGCGGTCATCCACAGTTCGTTTCCAGACACCTTTTTGCCACGTACCATCCGGCTTTGGAATGATACTCCCCTCCACAGTGATACCCGACCGCTATGACATGTCCTTCTTCAAACGAGGCTTGTGGAGAGTACTTTAAGGTAGGCAGTGGCTTAGCTGTCCATGACATTGCTGAAGTCCATGGGCGACGGTAGCCACTCACCATCAGGTGCGCCGTATGCTCGTCTGCAAATATAACAATAAGAATAGAAATATTTCTTCAACAATAATTCTGGTAATCGAATAAGCTCAGGCATCTCTTCTCTCTTACAGCTACATGATGTCTAAGCTGTTCTCCTCGGCGAGTCTAGCGGCGGTGTGCACTGCGCTGACCTACATGATCACTTTCATGCCCTTCGTTCTCATCTTGTCCCTGGAGGCTGTCATGAACAGCCAGTTGAAGATGTTAGTGGTGAGTTGTTGGTGCAGTAGAACGCGCAGACACTGCGACCCCCCACCGTTCCTTGACACCAAGACGCAATACCACCCCAGTACGCTCGTTCAAAGACGGTTTATGAATTGAACAAGCTGTGCTTAGTGTGAGTTTTTTAACGTTCTCGCCCAATTTTTATGCAGTTGGAACAACGCCCCTAGCTGCAAACGTAGGCAAACGACCCCATTCCATACAAATATGAGCTAACTTTTACGCTATCGAGAAAGTTAGAAAACTCGCACTAAGCACACTATAGGTGAAATATTAAATTGTCGAGGACACAAGCCAAATCATTAGCGAACGGTGTACACGTAGGCACAAAAATATACCTACTTTGATTTTATTTTATTAGAGATATATGAACCAGCTCACGGCGTAACTTGGTGTAAAGTGATAGCCGGAACCAATATACACTCAATGCGACGTGAATTCGACCCATCAATTAGTATTATAACCGCTGCCTTGCTCTTAAAGCAATAACGAAAAAGCGCTTGGCGACTGGATAGTGTCTACGTGGTTCCTCCCCAGCAGCCTAACGAAATGCCTTTCACCAGTAAACGATATATCGGTATCTACTCTTTTGCTTTATGACGCACGTCAAAAACCTCTATACTGAATTAGATGGTATGCTGTCAAAAAGAGCCACAATCACGGATCAAAAGTAAATGTACAAAATAAAGGTATTATAATCGCCGGGAGCAAGCGCTTCACAATTGTAGTTCTCTCTTTGGCTTTTATTTCCCATAGAAAGTTAGCGTTCACTCTTATCCTAACCTTGTTCGTTACTAATGTGTCTTATATCTGGTGATCGAGTCCGATAGCTGGTCGTAGGACGTCTTATGAGTCCGCACGCATAGATAATAACCACCCCGCCTATTTCTGTCGTGAAGCAGTAATGCGTTTCAGTTTGAAGGGTGGGGCAGCCGTTGTACTGTAAAAACCGAGACCACAGCACTCATATCTCAAGATGGGTGGCGGCATTTACGTTGTAGACGTCTTAGGGTCTCCTGTAACCACTTAAAAACAGATGGGCTGCGAGTTCGTCCGCTTTCCCAAGCAATAACAAAAGACTTTGCGTTTCCTAAGCCGGAATATGTTCCTTCAGCCTTGTAATCAGTCATCATCATCATCATCATCACTATCCTGCCCTTCTCCCAGTCATCTGAGATCGGCGCAACATGTTTTCTCCTTCCATACTCTTCTATCATATACCATTTCTTCGCTCACTCCCCTCTTACTCATATCGTCTTTCACGCAATCCATCCATTTCTTCTTAGGTCTACCTCTTCCTCTATATCCTTCCACATTCATAGTTACCACTCTCTTACCAACCTCATTTTCATTTCGTCTCATCACGAATCAGTATCACTTGTATAGTTTTGAAATATTTTTTGTATCCTTTTATGTCAAAATATTAGACTGGTGTTAATATCGGCTATTTAATAAAGAATCTAAAAAGAATACTATGTGTTTTCAGTGTCTCTCGATGTCCTCGTCGCTCTGCTACGCGTTCCTGCTGGTGACGCGGCGGGAGGCGGCGGGGGGCGGCGCGGAGTGGGGGCACGTGTGGGAGGCGCCGGGGGAGGGGGACATGAGCATCGGCCTCGCGGCGCTCATGATGATCTTCGACACGTGCCTCTATCTGTTCATTGGATGGCTCATAGATAAATATTTCGGTAAGGTATTTCACGTGTAATGCGGCTGCAGTAAAACAACAATGCCATTGCTTGAGTCGTTATCATCGTGGAATCCACTCTAGTACATCAGCTCTGAATGTGTTACCCTACTTTTATTTTTATTTATTTTTATTGCTTAGATGGTTAGACGTGCTCACAGCCCACTTGGTGTTAAGTGGTTACTTTAGCCCACATACATCTACAACGTATATATCAATATAGTCACTACGGCTGCCCCACCCGTCAAACCGAAACGCATCACTGCTTCACGACATAAATAGGCAGGGTGGTGATACCTACCCGTGCGGACTCACAATAGGTCTTAGCACTTTAAAAATGCGAACGTAGATAAATAGTGTAAGTCGAGTTGGTGATCTCTTTGCAGGAGTTATAGGTACAATATAGTACATATTATATAATATAGTACAACTATAGTATATACAAATATAGTTTAATATTATCAGCCCACAGGGGCGCTGTGAGATATGGGTCATTCAAAAATTTGGCCACGACATCCGATTCATCTCCGCAATCTTCAGAAGTTAACCAGATATCCGGTAAAGGATCTATCTACACTGCAGCCGCGCATTGTTATTTCTACCTTAAATGTATTAATAATAATTAATAAAACAAAAATCCTCCACAACCAGGTATGCAGACCTTACAGAGCAACATCACCAATTGCCATACCACAGACGAGAAGGCCGGCGTTAGTATACTGAACGTTACCAAGATCTATGGCGAGGGAAGCCGTCGCCCCAAGCTGGCTCTGGACAACGTTTCCATTGAACTACAAAAAGGCCAGATCACCACATTACTGGGACACAATGGCGCTGGGAAAACAACTTTGATGTGAGTCTCTTTTATTATAACAACTTTACTATTTAAATTGTTATTCCATGAACATCAAACAATATTATGGTGACCGTAGTGTGGATCGCTTGGCGGAGGTATGGACATCATCACAAATCATCATCGCCATTTGCGACTAAGGTCTCAGCTCATCAGCGCCATCCGACTTGCGACTAAGGTCTCAACTCATCATCGCCATCCAACTTGCGACTAAGGTCTCAACTCATCATCGCCATCCGACTTGCGACTAAGGTCTCAACTCATCAGCGCCATCCAACTTGCGACTATGGTCTCAACTCATCATCGCCATCCGACTTGCGACTAAGGTCTCAACTCATCATCGCCATCCAACTTGCGACTAAGGTCTTAACTCATCATCGCCATCCAACTTGCGACTAAAGTCTCAACTGCATAACAGCAGAACGGCTGTCTACCCATTTCAACCAAAACGCATGGTTCTTTCGGAGCACAGTGAACGAACTTCCAACAATTTCTGAGAACTAGAGGCTAAGAACTCGAGATCTAGATAGGCAAATATGTAAGGCACTAGAAATACTGGTTCTACAAACGGATTGTTACTGGTTTATATCATAAGAGCCAGAGGTACCAGGCTCCTTTGCCTTCCAATCCTCATCCTTCCTCATCTTTTATATGTAAATTGCTTATTCTTATTTATATGTAAAGAAGCAAAATTTAAACTTAATTTATTTATTTTTTATTTCTAATAATTATTATTATATTATAATACTTTGTATTAATTTTATGTATATTTACAGAGATATGTATGTGTATATGTGTGTGTACATATATGTATATGTATTTCACTGGAATGGTACACCGCGCGTAGTTCGTTTCCAAATGATTCTTGTCCACCTGATGGTTGTCTGGAAGAGATCGCTTTTAGCGATAAGACCGCCAATTGTACTTTTTGTTTTTAATGTATCGCACTGTTCATTTGTTTTTTTGGTGTACAATAAAGAATACTCTCTCTCTCTCTCTCTCTCTCATCATCGCCATCCAACTTGCTACTAAGGTCTAAACTCATCATCGCCATCCAACTTGCGACTAAGATCTCAACTCATCATCGCCATCCAACTTGCGACTAAGGTCTCAACTCATCATCGCCATCCAATTTGCGACTAAGATCTCAACTCATGATCGCCATCCAACTTGCGACTAAGGTCTCAACTCATCATCTCCATCCAATTTGCGACTAAGGTTTCAACTCATCATCGCCATATAACTTGCGACTAAGGTCTCAACTCATCATCTCCATCCAACTTGCGACTAAGGTCTCAACTCATCATTGCCTTCCAACTTGCGACTAAGGTCTCAACTGCATAACAGCAGAACGGCCGTCTAACCATTTCAACCAAAACGCATGGTTCTTTCGGAGCATAGTGAACGAACTTCCAACAATGTCTGAGAACTAGAGACTAAGAACTCGAGATCTAGATAGGCAAATATGTAAGGCACTAGAAATACTGGTTCTACAAACGGATTGTTACTGGTTTATATCATAAGAGCCAGAGGTACCAGGCTCCTTTGCCTTCCAATACTAGTATGTTTCAATACCTGATTCATTAAAATACAATTTGTAAATTAGTAAATGTTATGTCGACACGACATTCTACGAGTTCTTTCCTTTGACGATTTTTTTTTTATTGCTTAGCTGGGTGGACGAGCTCACAGCCCACCTGGTGTTAAGTGGTTACTGGAGCCCATAGACATCTACAACGTAAATGCGCCACCCACCTTGAGATATAAGTTCTAAGGTCTCAGTATAGTTACAACGGCTGCCCCACCCTTCAAACCGAAACGCATTACTGCTTCACGGCAGAAATTCAATCGTGAACATTTATTGAGTACGTATTTCATTAGAAAAATTGGTACCCCCGCCTGAGATTCGAACACCGGTGCATCGCTCAACACGAATGCACCGCACATCTTATCCTTTAGGCCACGACGACTTCTTTACATACGATTACATACCTTGTATGGTATATATTGACTTGAAACTAAGAACAGTGTATCTTGCAGTAAAATCTTAATGGGAATGCTGAAGCCGACTAAGGGCCACATCATAGTGCGCTCGGACCGCGGCGGCGGCACGGAGCTGGGCGTGTGTCCGCAGAAGGACGTGCTGTTTGAGTACATGACCGCGGAGGAGCACATCCAGCTGTACGCGCAGCTCAAGACCGGCCTCGGGCCGCGGGAGGTCCAGGATGAGGTCGACAGGTCAGCCCCACGTTTTAATAGCTCATGACCCAACAAGCCAAGTTAAATTTTCTGGTGCCCCTAAAATTATTATTTTATTTCCCTCTTATTGTAGTGGACTGTAGGATTAGGATGGGCAAGGAACTTAATAAATAAACTCGCGAGGATTGTATAAAATTTTTATTTTTGGAAATTTTATAATTCGCACGGCAAAAAGAGAATGACAAATCTAAGACATTTCAAAATTCAAAAGTAACGTCAAAATCACAACCACAACAATAAAAAAGGTTTTATACCAATTTGTTGGGTTGCCAACACTTATAACAAGAATACACAAAACAGAAATATAATAAGTAGTTTTAGAACATCAACAGACAAACAAATGGAACTTAATGAATACCAGCACGGCTCTCACAATAATTAATAAGAAATGTGTAGAAGGAGAAAACTTGTTAATACTCACTTTGGTGATAGCTTGGGTATAACACGTCATTACGGATCCTCCCGATTCATTAAAGGTGCTGTTAGGTACCACAAGCACCGGTCACAGTTTTCGTCGAACCCGTCGCTTGCGACGAAGGACTCTACGAGCGAATTAACCCACAGACACAGCCCACTGAGTTTCTCGCCGGATCTTCTCAGTGGGACGCGTTTCCGATCCGGTGGTAGATTCTGCGAAGCACTGCTCTTGATAAGGCCAGTGTTAGCAACACTCCGGTTTGAGCCCCGTGAGCTCACCTAGATGTTAGGGCAAAATAGCCTCTCTTAAAGCTATCAGCATAGGTAGGAAAAAAAAAACTTGGGTATATGAAGATAAGACAGATTTTAAGAGAGCAGTAGAAGTAGCTCGAGGACCCCAAGATCGCACGCTTCGTTCTCATGATGTAACTTGTACTTGATGTACTTCTATACTAATATATAAATCTACAGTGGTTTTTACGGATGTTCCGTTATAATCCGATGTTCCGTGGCTTTTTTTGGAACCAGTGGTAGAGTTAACATTGTTATTTATATTTTGACATTCAACAAGTGTGTCATACTGAATTTGAATATGAATTTGAACTACTGAACCATGCATCCGATTGACTTGAAACTTGGATCCGTGTAGAAAATACATGTACTTAATGGATAAGCTAATATTTATATGAGTGTTGGACTCCCTACACCAGTTGCGGGGGCGTTAATGATGATTCTTTGTGGGGGTGAGAAACAATAATGTTAATTTTAAATAGCCAGCGAAGCGGACGGTTACAGCTAGTCCTTAATACGAAGATCGTCCTACAGGATGATCCGGGCGCTCTCCCTGGATAGCCAGGTCCGCCAGGCGGTGTCGCGGTGGTCGGGCGGCGCGCGGCGGCGGCTGTGCGTGGCGCTGGCCTTCCTCGGGGACCCGCGCCTCGTGTCGCTCGACGAGCCCACCAGCGGGGTCGACCCGGCCGCAAGAAGGTACACATCTTACACACAACAATGCACTGTGTGGTCTGATACATAAAGTACACTTTTAACTATCAAATAAATGCTATGCATGAAATTATACTGTACTGTAAACACTTAGATCTTAGAACTCATATCTCAAGGTGGATGGCTTCCGGTCATCGTTCTCGTCGAACCCGTCGCTAGCGACGAAGAGCTCGGCGAATAAATTGACCCGCAGACACAGCCCACCGAGTTTCTCGCTGCATCTTCTCAGTGGGTCGCGTTTCCGATCCGGTGGTAGATTCTGCGAAGCACTCCTCTTGCTAGGGCTAGTGTTAGCTATGTCATCAAGTTTGAGCCCCGTGAGCTCACTCATATTATGCATTATCCTTATTATATTGGTAACTAGCGACCCACCCTCGCTTCGCTTCGGAAACTGTAATTTATTATTGATTTCTCCACTATTTAATGGATGTTATTATACATATAAACCTTCCTCTTCAATCACTCTATCTATTAAAAAAAACCACATCAAAATCCGTTGCGTAGTTTTAAAGATTTAAGCATACATAGGGGTATAGGGACAGAGAAAGCGACTTTGTTTTATACTATGTAGTGATACAATTCCGTAATGAACCCACGTGAATGCGCCAACGTGTAAGCTGTTTTGGTTTATGTGCGTGCAAGAAATAACTTTGTATCCTTCTAGGTACGTGCTGTATTTTTAGAGTATTTATTGCACAGTAAAACATAATGAAAAAGGTATATTATTTACAACAGACGACCTCTACAAAAGAGTCGTTTAAAAATTAAGAAATTCTTGAAAATGTTTGACAGCTATATTTTCGGCCCGTCGTGATACATTCACGTATAATTACGTATAATTTTTCGTAGGGAAATCTGGTCAATGATCGTGAAGCTGAAAGAGGACCGGACGATCCTCCTCACGACGCATCATCTCGACGAAGCGGAGTTGCTGAGCGACCAAATCGTCATCATGCATAAGGTAATAATTAACTAAGCCTACATTGTAAATGAAATACAAACCGAACATAATGAGCCGTTCCCGAACTCAAAACAACAACAAATAAAATGAACGTTAACTAAACACAGTAGTGATACACTTAACCAGTGATCAGCAACCTTGTCAACCAAAAGAACCAAATATATAATGCACAAATTGATTCAATTAGCTATTTTTTTGACAACATTTTTGGCCTTATGTTTTGCCTTGCTTTTCTCTTAAAAGCCAAGATAATAAGTAATATTCCGTGCCTGAACTAAACTTTTCGCTGAAGATCCGTAGCCGAGAAGTCAAAGAGGCGCGGCAAACTAAAGCTAAGCCCCACGTGCCACCCGTGCGACAGACGTTTTTTTTTTACACTAGCTGACCTGGCAGACTTCGTATTGCCTCAATCGATAAATAAAAACCTTAACTTTGGTATAAAATAAACTTAAAACAAACAAAAGGAATCCGTCCGACGGGGGACACATTAAAGGAAAAACAAAATTGTTATTTTTATTTAATTCCGAGTATTTTTATATTTATCTACCTTTTAAGCCTTCTCTAGACTTCCGCAAATAATTCAAGACCAAAATTAGCCAAATCGGTCCAGCCGTTCTGGAGTTTTAGCGAGACTAACGAACAGCAAATCATTTTTATATATATAGATATAAATATAAATATAAATTGCACGCTATCATACAAACACGAGTGTTCAGGAACGACTTTGTTGATAGCAATCAAAATAACCAGCATTCATCTATTTTCATCTTGGAGCGATGTTCTAATGTTCATTGTTTGCTCGTGCTCTAGGAATACACATTTTTGTCTGATTAAATTTAAATCCTTTTTCATGTGTTGACAAATTGAATAATTTCATGTTCACTTATTATTAATAAAAAAAAATAGTGCACGTGCAACTTGGTGTACTTGAAAGAAGTGAAACTTCTTTTGCGGTGTATAGTATTGTGGTTGTCTTAATTTTTTATCCTTAAATATTAGAGAGTAATATGGGAATGCTGTGTTTAAGAAAAACGACCCAGCTCGCTTTGTCCATTTCCTCTCTCCACGGTCGAGTGATTCGCGAGACGTTCTATCTATTTTCTCACTCTTGCTCTTGCTAAATTGTATTTTTTCTCTCTAGCCGTAACGAATCTGTCGAGAGTTAAATTTTACTTTCAACGCGCCTGAAGAAGTTTCAGTTCAAAAAAGTAATATAACTATTTCGAAGCACCTCAACAATCGAATTAAATACAATGACAAAAATACTACAGAATCCATTTCTATTCTCGAATGAAGGGCCAAGTCCACACAACAGGCTCTCCGGTGGAGATAAAACGCACCCTGGGCAACGGGTACAAGCTAACCGTGGTCTTCCCCGAGACGACTTGCGAAGATCGCCCTGAAGACCTGGATGAGAAGACCAAACTGCTGCTCTCTACCGTCAGGGACGACGTCAAGAACGCCAACATTGTCGATGTTAACGACACTGATGTGGAGATTCTACTGCCTTTCTACGACGCTGACGGACTTAGCAATGAGTACGATTTTCATCACCTTACATTATCAAACACTAGGAGCACTAGGAGGCTGAGGAACTTACTAGCTTACTGGTGGTAGGACGTCTTGTGAGTCCGCACAGGTAGGTACCACCATCCTGCCTATTTCTGCCGTGAAGCAGTAATGCGTTTCGGTTTGAAGGGTGGGGCTGTAACTCTACTTGAGACCTTAGAACTTATATCTCAAGGTGGGTGGCGCATTTACGATGTAGATGTCTATGGGCTCCAGTAACCACTTAACACCAGGTGGACTGTGAGCTCGTCAACCCACCTAAGCAATAAAAAAATAAAATAAAAAAAGAACCCCGGTAACCGTACTTGTCGAACTCGACAAAGAGGTCGGCGTGCAACCTAACCCATGCATCAGCTCGCCGAGTTTCTCACTGGATCTTCTCAGCAGTCGTGATTCCGATCCGGTAGTAGATTCATTCGCGAAGCAGCTGCTCTTGAGTTGTTAGGTCTCCTTCGGAGGCGCTTGGGCAGTTGTTAGCAAATCCCACCCCTCCTGGCTGAGCCTTTGCTCGACCACCTGTTCTGGTGAAACTGGAAAGGCCTCCGGGCCACCAGTAATACTTCAATCATAAAAAAATAAAAATAAAAAAAACATTATCAAACAAACATAAATATTAAATTTCAAAAAATACAAACCACTGCCTAATGGATTACCACGTTAAGATAGTTTGTTTCTTATATTCGTAGATACCCAAAAATGTCTGAGTGTTAGCTTCATCATGCGTGAAATAATGCTTGTATGTGTCATAGCCTACATCGCCTATGCTTGAACTTGGAATCCCAGCAGCCAATCCTCGGCTATAAGACCTACGCCATGGACTGCAGCAGTCTCGAGCAGGTGTTCTGTGACATCTGCACTCAAGCCGACCTAGGAGCATCTCAGACTGACGAGTCGAAATACGGTAAGCTAAAACCAAATTACAAAATTGCCTTAAGAAAAAATAATGGTCTATCTGTAAACAAGATTGGTCTAGGTGGGAAATGAGATGGGCTAGAGGTCTTCCCTTTGGCAATAATTTGTAGCTCTGTTTGTCATTATGATTCTTTTTAATACGCTTTTATTAGCTTCAGACGTATGTATGTTTGTAACGGAATCTTTGAAATTTGGTATACTTATTAAGGACCGATGACCATTCAATATTTAAAAAAAATTAATTGAAAAAACATTGAAAAAATTTAAATTCACCTAAAAATGAAAAATAAATCATAGTTTTAAAAAACGAACAAAATACGCTTTTATAAAAAATCCAAATAACAAATAGAAATAAATTTTAATAAATTTGAATTAAAAATAGTGTAAGAAAATGATTTTATTGTAAAAAAAGCGTGGGGTGTATGGTATCAGTAGTTATAAATATTTTATGAACAAGGGTTAACCTAACGCTTTTTTTACAATAAAATCATTTTCTCTTACACTATTACATTAATTCAAATTTATTAAAATTTATTTTCTATTTTTTTAGTTGGATTTTCTATAAAAGCGTATTTTGTTAGTTTTTTTTTTAAACTATTATTTATTTTTACTAATCTTTGTTTTATTTGTGTATTAAAGTATCCATAGAGTCGCCGTCTGAAGCGTCCGCCAGCACGAGGTCCCGTGGGGGGCGGGCGGGGGGCGCGGTGCGGGAGGCGGTGCGCGGGGAAGGCGCCCTGCGAGCCTCGTGCCGGGAGATGTTCGCGGCCCTCATGTACGCGCGGTACTTGCATCACGTCCGGAATAGGTAACGTTTTCATTGTTTTTTTTTTATAGTCTAGATGGGTGGACGAGCTCACAGCCCACCTGGTGTTAAGTGGTTATCGGAGCCCATAGACATCTGCAACGTAAATGCACCACCCACCTTGAGATATAAGTTCTAAGGTCTCAGTATAGTTAGAACGGCTGCCCCACCCTTCAAGCCGAAACGCATTATTGCTTCACGGCAGAAATAGGCAAGGCGGTGATACCTACCCGTGCGGACAAGAGGTCCTACCTAATTACGCAAATTATAATTTTGCGGGTTTGATTTTTATTACACGATATTATTCCTTCACCGTGGAAGTCAATCGTGAACATTTTGTTAAGAACGTATTTCATTAGAAAAATTGGTACCCGCCTGCGGGATTCGAACATCGTTGCATCGCTATATACGAATCCACCGGACGTCTAATCCCATAAGCCACGACGACTTCATAACTTCTCTGTAACTCATCAGTAATGCCCACTCCTCAACTGCATTCTCCTCTTAAACTTGTTTGGTGTTCTTTTCATCAGCCTTCTAGTTTCAGCCCAACGACGTCCACTGCTCGACATGCGCTACCCCAAGCCTCCTCTCCTCACTACGCAGAAATCCGCCGCCGCCGAGCAGGGGGTCGGGACCGGGGTCTCGTCCGTAACCTGGCCCCCTAAGAGCTTCGGGCTCCACCCGTTTTGTGCGGGAAGGAGCCTAGGCGTGGGACGGCGTGGTAAGCCGCGTTCCCCCGACCGCTCCGGGGGAAGGTGTAGCGCGGCGCCATCAATGCGGGCTCTTGGCCCGTCGACCGAGGGAACCGGCGGTCGTGTCGCTGGCGGCCGCCGGTCCGGCGTCTGGGGGACGGCGGGATGGATGTAATATGCTCTGCGTAAACCCTGTCCCGCCGTCTCAATAGCTCCGACTGGGTTCCCACCCGGTCCTGGGGTAGGGCGCCGGCTGTGAGCGGCAGGAGTTTTTAGTGAGGTTCAACTCCCACATACCCCACCCGCNGTACTTGCACAGACATAACCAAGCAGCCAGAATCCTCCACCAAGAGCTCGCCCTTAAGTATGGCCTCATCGAACAGAGGCTACCGTATTATAAGTACCAGCCGGACGCTGTACTCGAAAACGACCGTGCCAAGCTCTACTGGGACCGGCCCATCATTACGGACAGGACTATTCTTGCGAATAAGCCTGATATCGTGCTGATGGACCGGACGGAGTCTCGGGTATTTCTGGTGGATATCACCATCCCCTACGACGAGAACCTCGTGCGGGCCGAGGCAGATAAAAAAACCAAATATTTGGACCTGGCGCACGAGGTGACCGACATGTGGAGGGTGGTATCTACAGAAATAATCCCGGTAGTTGTGTCGGTGAATGGTTTGGTCCCTAAAAGCCTCTCAAAACATCTCGAGAGGCTTGGTCTCAACAAAAAGTCGGTGGTGGCCCAAATGCAAAAAGCAGTCTTGCTCGACAATGCCCGTATAGTTCGCCGGTTTCTCTCCCAATAGTCCCTAACGCTCCGGCCGATTGTTGCCCACCTCGCCGGAGTGTGTCCTGCCGTCTTCCCAGGCGTGGCAGTGTTTAATACACTATAATAATAATAATAATGCATATTATGCATTATCCTTATAATATTGGTAATACAATTGCGTCATGATATCTCAATAGAACCTATTAAGTATATCTACTCATCACCACATGCTTACACAAGCATAGGATCACTGCTGGTAGACTAGCCAACGTGTAAGCAGTTCTGGTTTACCTATGTGCATGCAAGAAATAATTTTGTATCGTTCTAGGTACGTGCTGTATTTTTAGGGCATTTATTACGCAGTAAAACATAATGAAAAAGGTATATATTATTTACAACAGACGACCTCTACAAAAGAATCGTTTACAAATTAAGAAATTCTTGAAAATATTTGACTGCTATATTTTCGGCCCATCGTGAATGTATACGTATAATTTTTCGTAGAGAAATCTGGTCAATGATCGTGAAGCTGAAAGAGGACCGAACGATCCTCCTCACGACGCATCATCTCGACGAAGCGGAGTTGCTGAGCGACCAAATCGTCATCATGCATAAGGTAATAATTAACTAACCCTACAATGTAAATGAAATACAAACCGGACATAATGAGCTGTTCCCGAATTCAAAACAACAACAAAGTGAACGTTAACTAAACACAGTAGTGATACACTTAACTAAACAGTATGCTTAGTGCGAGTTTCTTAACGTTCTCGATAGCGTAAAAGTTAACTCTAATTTGTATGCAGTTGGAACAGCGCCCCTAGCGGCAAACGTACGCAAACGATTCCACTCCATACAACTATGAGCTAACTTTTACGCTATCGAGAACGTTAAAAGACTCGCACTAAGCACACTGATCATGAAATCTTTTCACTTGAGTTTAATTAAACGTATCCCCAAACTGAAACTAAGCCCCGCGTGCCACCCGTGCGACAGACGATTTTTTTATTTTACAGTGCGCGCTATCAAACAAGCACGAGTTTTCAGGAACGACTTTGTTGGTAGCAATCAAAATAACCAGCATCCATATATTTTCGTCCTGTAGCGATGTTTTAATGTTCATTAGATGTTCATGTTCATGGTGCGCGTGCAACTTGGTGCACGTGAAAAAAGTGAAACTTCTTTGGCGGTGTGTAGTATTGTGGTTTTCTTCATTTTTTTATCCTTAAATCAAATTTCTCTAGTAATAGAGAATGCTGTGTATAAGAGAAACGACCTAGCTCACGTTGTCCTTTCACTCTCTCCACGGTCGCGTGATTCGCGAGACGCTCTGTCTATTTTCTCACTCTCGCTCTTCCTAAATTGTATCTTTTTTCTGTAGCCGTAACGAATCTATCAAGAGTTAAATTTTACTTTTTAACGCGCCTAAAGAAGTTTCACTTCAAACAAAGTTATATAAGTATTTCGAAGCACCCCAACAATCGAATTAAATACAATGACAAAAATACTACAGAATTCATTTCTATTCTCGAATGAAGGGCCAAGTCCACACAACAGGCTCTCCGGTGGAGATAAAACGCACCCTGGGCAACGGGTATAAGCTAACTGTGGTCTTCCCCGAGACGACCTGCGAAGATCGCCCTGAAGACCTGGACGAGAAGACCAAACAACTGCTCTCTACCGTCAGGGATGACGTCAAGAACGCCAACATTGTCGATGTTAACGACACTGATGTGGAGATTCTACTGCCTTTCTACGACGCTGACGGACTTAGCAATGAGTACGATTTTTATCAGCTTACGTTATCAAACAAACATAAATTTTACCGTTGTTCATGTCACTAACAATGTCAAAAAATACTAACACTCTGGCCTAATGGATTTCCATGTTAACATAGTTTGTTTCTTTTTTGCATTATAAACCTTAACTCCAGCCCTGTCAGATTATGTTTTTACACTCACACACACTTACGTAGGACCCATGGAAAAGTTTCCGTATTTCTTGAATTCCGATAATTAAAGATAATAATATTAATATGAAATAATAAATAATTATAATAATAATTTAATAACTAAAATATATTATTAAAAGGAGTCCCTTTAGGCAAGGTTCCGAAGATACTGCCAGCGTTCCCCCTTTGAATAGCTAGACTAATTCTTTGTCCAAGGTAGCAGCCAGCTCTTCGGTCTCGTGTGGTGTCGACTAACCTTTATGCTATTTCCTTAAAAAGCCTTATAGCGCTAGGACCCCACGGACCAAGGGTCTCGACACCGAATGGGACAAAAACATATTCCGAGCCAAGACCCCTGTATTTGCATGCTTTGGCTTTGTCAGCAGCTTACAAGCCGCACCGGATCCTATATTCTTAGATACCCAAAAATGTCTGAGTGTTGGCTTCATCATGCGTGAAATAATGCTTGTGTGTGTCATAGCCTACATCGCCTATGCTTGAACTTGGAGTCCCAGCAGCCAATCCTCGGCTATAAGACCTACGCCATGGACTGCAGCAGTCTCGAGCAGGTGTTCTGTGACATCTGCACTCAAGCCGACCTAGGAGCATCTCAGACTGACGAGTCGAAATACGGTAAGCTAAAACCAAATTACAAAATTGCCTTAAAAATAATGGTCTATCGGTAAACAAGAGTTGTTCTAGGTGGGAAATGAGACGGGCTAGAGGTCTTCCCTTTGGCAATAATTTGTAGCTCTGTTTGTCATTATGATTCTTTTTAATACGCTTTTATTAGCTTCAGACGTATGTATGTTTGTAATGGAATCTTGGTATACTTATTGAGGACCGATGACAATTCAATATTAAAAAAAAATTAATTGAAAAAACATTGAAAAAATTTAAATTCACCTAAAAATGAAAAATAAATAATAGTTTTAAAAAATTAACAAAATACGCTTTTATAAAAAATCCAAATAACAAATAGAAAATAAATTACAATAAATGATTTTATTGTAAAAAAACCGTGGAGTGTATAGTATCAGTAGTTATAAATATTTTATGAACAAGGGTAGTTTGATAATATCCTGAAAAGCAGCCGACGCTTTTTTTACAGTAAAATCATTTTCTCTTACACTATTACATTAACTCAAATTTATTAAAATTTATTTTCTATTTTTTTAGTTGGATTTTCTATAAAAGCGTATTTTGTTAGTTTTTTTTAAACTATTAATTAATTTTATTTTTATTAATCTATGTTTTATTTGTGTATTAAAGTATCCATAGAGTCTCCATCCGAGGCGTCGGCCAGCACGAGGTCTCGTGGGGGGCGGGCGGGGGGCGCGGTGCGGGGTGCAGTGCGCGGGGAGGGCGCCCTGCGAGCCTCGTGCCGGGAGATGTTCGCGGCCCTCATGTACGCGCGGTACTTGCATCACGTCCGGAATAGGTAACGTTTTCATTGTTCTCTTTTTTTTTATAGCCTAGATGGGTGGACCAGCTCACAGCCCACCTGGTGTTAAGTAGTTACTGGAGCCCATAGACATCTACAACGTAAATTCCGGCACCAACCTTGAGATATAAGTTCTAAGGTCTCAGTATAGTTACAACGGGTGCCCCACCCTTCAAACCGAAACGCATTGCTGCTTCACGGCAGAAATAGGCAAGACGGTGGTACCTACCCGTGCGGACAAGAGGTCCTACCACCAGTAATTACGCAAAATATAATTTTGCGAGTTTGATTTTTATTACACGATATTATTCCTTCACCGTGGAAGTCAATCGTGAACATTTGATAAGTACGTATTTCATTAGAAAAATTGGTACCCGCCTGCGGGATTCGAACATCGTTGCATCGCTAGATACGAATCCACCGGACGTCTAATCCCATAAGCCACGACGACTTCATAAGTTCTCTGTAACTAATCCGTAATATCCACTCCTCAACTGCATTCTCCTCTTAAACTTGTTTGGTGTTCTTTTCATCAGCCTTCTAGTTTCAGCCCAACGACGTCCACTGCTGGACATGCGCTACCCCAAGCCTCGCCTTTACTTAATAGTACATATTTTAAGTCCACACGGGTAAATTGCAATGTCTTAACGATTTCTATCCCGCATAAACTCATACACGTCTCGATCTGTAGGATGTGATGGCTATTTTAAAACGCTATTGAGACTTGACTTCGTGTCTTAAGTACGGCGGCGCCATTCAAATGAATGAGCATCATCATAAAATTATGTATAAAATTATGATGATGCTCTTTTACCATGAAAGTCCACAATTAATTATTCAAAATATTAACCTTATGTTTCAAGGTGGATACCACCACTTACTGAGTCAAATGCGTTATAATATCCTCTTCCTATCTATACTAAAAACGTCGCTAAATTGATTATATGTATATTATGCTTATGTAAGCATTAAAGCTCATTTTCAATTTCAGATGGTTAATGTTCATGTTACTACTCCTGCCGTCGGTTTTCGTAACAGTAGCTATGGGATTCTCGTCTTTAAGACCGCCGGCTGTCAAAGAAATAGCTCTAAAATTAAATGCAGACCTGTACGAAGGATCTACGCAGTATATTGTGTAAGTGTTGTTTCTTAATCATTATAACTCAAAAGCTGTATTTTTAAATAGCCCAAAACAGGATCCATTGATATCACTGGTCTTTTGTTTGATTAAAGTAATCAAACTAATTCGTAGCTTGACCGAATTCGTATATATTATTTATACACACGGAGAAGTTTGTAGCGCTTCTTAGACTCCTGCATGACGACATGCAATGCTGCGTCGCTGTAGATGGTGAACAGACGGGCTTCTTTCCCGTTACGTGTGGGGTGAAGCAAGGATGCGTCTTAGCGCCTACTCTGTTCGCCTTTTACTTTGCGGTTACAGTATAAGGGGATCGAGCGATCGTTGTAGCAAAGCTGATTAGAAGTTTTATAATTTAAAATGAATTAATTGTCTTCGTTTGTTTCCTCTCAAGGCTGCAGCCGTCTACGTATGAGAACAACGACGAAAAGTACGTAGGGTTCGGCGTTGACGTCCTCCAGAACATAGCTGGCGGTAACAACGTGACCACGTGGACTAGTAAGGTAAGCGGATAACAACTAATAGACATATCTCTTGCGTTTTAGCATAAGGCCTCCGATGTGCTCGTTTTTTTGGAAGAATGTTTTTAACGGGACGATACGGAGGGGTACCCCTAACCGGAAAAAAACGTCCGTAACGTAAGATTTTTATTATTTATGTATAGTCTTAGTATGATGGCTATACAGTGTCTAATGTTAAGTCTACGTGATGACGGTTATTATTATTCATATAAATAGCTGTTTCTTTGTATATTGTTATTATATATTTTTTATAAATCATTGTGTATAAAATAAAGTTGATAACTTTGTAAAGTAGAACAGACTTAAAATTCGAATAGAACTTAAAATTAATATTTTTATAATAAGGAACTCCGTTCCTATCCAGTGTCCCACGACACCACACATTTTCTTTTCTTTTTTTTTTATTGCCCTTGTAGGTAGACGAGAATACGGCCCACATGATGGTGAGTGGTTACCGTCGCCCATTGACTTCAGCAATGCCAGGGGCAGAGCCAAACCCCTGTCTACTGCCGCCGTCTCGAGTGATGCGACCATAGTTAAAATCCTACCGATTCCTAGTTTTTTTAATCGATTTTTGATTACCCCTCAAACTCTATTTGCAGGACAATCCTTCGTGCACGTGCAACATAACGCGGCAGATCTGCGACGTAGACCCGGCTGCGGTCAGCACGCCGGCCATGATGGCGCTACCTGATGTGGATACACTCAACGAATGGCTGCTGACTTCACACGAAATATACATTGAGAAGAGGTTGGTTTGTCACGGTTGCCAAGTGCATAACTATAGATACCGTAGATTGGAGAGAATCGGGACCCTTTCCAAATCAAACACAAATTTTCTGTGATTTTTCTTAAGGTAATACCAATAAAATTGAGATTAAAGTAAGGTTCCGGAGGCTTAAATTTTTATATACGATGCGTTATTATAAATAGTTCATTACAAAATATACACAAAAAATGAATAAAACTAGCTTAACCCGATTCACCTTGGCTTTGGAGTGAATTAGGTTACGTATCGGGACAATATTAGTATTTCGATAGGGCTGGCACTATTTAGTTGTTAGGTAGGTACCTAACTTTAGGTAATTAACTTTGTAATATATTTAATGAGTTACAAAACTTTGATAATTAAGCTATTCAATATTCTTAAACACTAAATAAAAGTAATTTTCAGTTCAACAAAGTTAAACCTAACAACTCAACAAAAGTATCGTGACATCCCAGATTTGTCCTTATTCAACTCTAGTCTCTATTCCCCCCAATCTACTGTACATTCTTCTTTGAACTATCAATATGTCCGTTATAGTTTCTATGGGCACTGAGCACCGCTTAATACCAGGTAGGTTAAGCTTAGGTTAGCTTTGCTGACTATTTATTATACTTGTAAAAAAAAAGAGTAAATACCTTTAAAAAATTTCTTATCTTTGTCTTCCTGTGTTACATTTACTTGTTATATTCGCTCACATGATCTAAAATAGTTACTAGAAACTATAGACCATACAATATTGAGGCCGCTAACCACCTTCAAATATGAATCCGATACTTATATGGAACGTAGCTTTATCACCACTACCGTATGCTACTTTCATGTATTCGGAGCTAAAACCGTATTTCATAGAAAATAGTTTATTTTTCGACACGAACAACTAATGTTTTCATATAAATTCAATCAAAATGATATCGCGTTAAATCTAAACAGATACGGCGGCTTCTCGTCGACAGTCAGAGACAACAAGACAAACTTCATAACGTGGTACAACAACAAGGGTCATCACGCGCTACCGTCATATCTCAACGTCATGAACAACGCCATCTATCGGACGGTGAGCGGTAACCGTCGTGCAAACATCACAGTATACACACATCCATTGAAGATATCCAGTGAAAAGATCAACAAAGCCACTTTGTAAGTTTTCAAACTGTTTATTGCTGACCAATTCTGACGTGTCGTTCTCATAGCGTACACCCAATCTCAGGGCGTTGATCAAGACACTATTATTTTCAGAAAACTGATGTTTTTTTTTCCTTCTATGGCATTTTCCATTCTAATTCTGTTAGTAATGGATGTTAACTTTAGTTGTGTAAAACATAGTCTAATGTAGCCCGCATAGCATTGCTTCTCATCATCCTCCTGCCCTTTTTCCAGTCACTTGGGGCCGGTGCAACATGTTTTCTCTTTCCATACTCTTCTATCATATACCATTTGTTCGCTAACTCCCCTTTTACCCATATCGTCTTTCACGCAATCCATTCATTTCTTCTTAGGTCTACCTTTTCCTCTATATCCTTCCACACTCATAGTTAACACTCTCTTACCAACCTGATTTTCATTTCGTCTCATCACATGTCCATACCATCCCAAAGGCAGACTTCTCAACTTCTCTGTCACAGGTGCCACTTTCAGACTTCCTCTAACATATTCATATTATATTTATTCATATATTTATAACTTAGAACTTAGAGCATAGCATTGCTTCTACACAATATAATACCTCCCAGGTATCAGCACATAGCAGACGCCGGCATATCGAGCCTGGTGCTGGTGGCGTACGGGCTGGTGAGCGCGGGCGCGGGCGTGTGGCTGGTGGCGGCGCGCACTTCGCAGCAGAAGCGACTCCAGCTGCTCTGCGGAGTCTCTCCGCTCATGTACTGGACCGCTGCACTCACTTGGGATGTCATTGTGAGTCACACACTCAAGAACAGAGAGAATGCCATGAAATGAGCTCATTCCAGTATTTCGCTTTGTATCAGGAGGAACCGTCCATCGGATCATCGTCTTCAAATCTCAACCTCCGGTTTAAATTTAGGGATTTTATACATGAAATCTAATAACGTCCCTAATTATAATCACATTCAATATAATCAATATTTACAATAATCTTTACAATATCTACAATAGTACCGACTAATGTGATTGATTGTGAGTTAATATTAAGCCCCTAAATAATAAAATTTCAACAAATGTCAACAATTAGTTTCTTCAAAGAAATAATTTAAGTTTTTAGACGCAAATGCTTATAATTATAGTGGTCCCCCAGTAGTCGAAATTCGACTATAATTAATTGAAATTATAGGTTTGAACATTATTATGGTTCTATTGCCAAAGACTTTTATTATACTTCTATAATCACAGATTTCGTCAAGGCTGCACTAGAGACAAATAATATTAAAGACAAACAGTATTACTTAATCTATTCTCAATTTGACCACAGACCTTAAACAATAACAAAAGTTTGACAACCAACAAAAAGTTTAAATGCGTGTGTGTGTGTCAAATACATAAATATATGGTAGTTTGTGTCATGTTTCTTTTATTGATTTAATTTATTATTAATGCATAATTTGAAAAAAAAATAGCATTCTGCACTCCTTCTCTATATTCTCTATAATTGTGGGAAATTTTTTAGTCCTCCGTCCGCGCAATTTTCGTAAAAAGGAGTACAAAGATTTTACTTCACGTATTAATATAAAGATTGATTGGCAGACGAGAGTAGGCTGGTGAGTAACAGTGAGTAGTCACCGTTGCTCATTGGCAATACCAAGAGCACGGCCGCCCCGTGTTAATATAACATTTGTTTAACGTATATGAATATTATTATCTTATAGAGTGCGTATTGCATAAAAGTAAATTTTTCGATCGATATTCTTTTGAATTGTTTTATTTTTCATCTACCAAAATACATTTTCTTTTATTGCTTAGATGGGTGGACGAGTTCAAAGCCCACCTGGCGTTAAGTGGTTACTGGAGCCCATGGACATTTACAACGTCAATGCCTCCACCCACCTTGAGATATCAGTTCTAAGGTCTCAGTATAGTTACAACGGCTGCCCCGCCCTTCAAAACGAAACGCATTACTGCTTCACGGCAGAAATAGACAGTGCGATGGTACTTACCCGTCGTGAATATTTGTTATGTATGTATTTCATTAGAAAAATTGGTACCCGCCTGCGGGATTCGAACACCGTTGCATCGCTATATACGAATGAACCGGACGTCTTATCCTTTAGTCCACGACGACTTCAAAATACATACTATAACCTAATAATATTTCAGATCATCTTCATAAATATGATAATAACGGCGATGGTAATGTTGGCGTTCGGCTTCCCCGTGTTCGTGGCGAAGAACAACTTGCCGGCGATATGCGTACTCATTATGTTATATGGGTGAGTTTTGATTATTTCTCAACCAACCCATTAAGCGAAGCAAACATCCCTCGTGATGGATGTAGCCAAATAGCCCGCAGTAAAATACGCTCAAGTAAAATAAATATAATAAATAAAATACGCTTATTTATGTGTAAAGAAGCAAAATTATTAATAATTATTATCATATTACATTGTGTATTTGTATGAATATTTATGAATTATGTATGGTTTTTCTGTATGTATATGTACGTGTATGTGTATATATATTTCACTGGATTGGTACACCGCGCGTACCTAATTCGTTTCCAAATGATTATTGTCCACCTGATTGTTGTCTAGAAGAGATTGCTCTTAACGATAAGACCGCCAATTGTACTTTTTTGTATTTAATGTATCGCATTGTTTATTTATTTCTTTAGTGTAAAATAAATTATACTATCTCTCTCTCTCTCTCGCTCTCTCAAGAAATAATAATAATAATAATAAGCTTTATTTAATTCCATGCATAGTAATTACAATGTATGGACCCCGTTCGGGTCAAAGCCTCCCCCAAGGAATGCCACCCTTCTCTGTCCTTGGCTCTGTTAAGCCAACTTCGACCCGCGCACGCTACAATTTCGTCTGCCCATCTGGCCCTTGGTCGACCTTTGGATCTGGTGCCTTTTGGCCGTGACCACTTTAATGACCTTAGAGTCCATCTATCATCTTTGTAACGGGCTACGTGACCCGCCCGTTTTAAGTCATCTCAAGAAATTACCAAACAATAAATAACAACACAAACCCGTACCTTCGCACGAGTCCCGAAATATGGCTAAAGGATTCTCAGACCGAGAACGATGGCCAGCGTTTGTTCTCTCTCTGAGCACAATACCAATGCACTGCGATCGTCAATCAGTATTACTGTCGATAAGGCGTGTCGTAAACATGTAGAGGCGGGCACCATAGCCCTGCCTGTTGCTGCTACAAACCAATGACGGTTTGATGGTTCGGTCAATCGTTATACAATACAATGAGGACTTCGGGTGGGTAGCGACATTCACGATCTGTTTTGTCTGTGTGCTTCGATAACAATTTTACATCTGTATCCTATATTAACTATAAACGTACCGAGGGGCGAAACATACCCGATCCTGTGGACCTAATGGTAAACAGTCGACGTCGCCCTAAGCACGTCATTACGGATCCGCCCGATCCATTAACGGTGATTTTAGGTACCATAAGCACCGGTCACCGTCCTCGCCGAACCCGTCGTTTGCGACGAAGGGCTTCGATGAATAATTTAACCCATAGACACAGCCCACTGAGTTTCTCGCCAGATCTTCTCAGTGGGTCGCGTTTCCGATCCGGTAATAGGTTCCGCGTAGCACTGGCTCTTGATAGGGCCAGTGTTAGCAACACTCCGGTTTGAGCCCCTTGAGCTCACCTACACGAGGAGAAGCTGAAATAGCCTCTCAAGGCTATCAGCATAGGTAGGAAAAACTATTTGGTTTAATCGACATTTTTGAAACATTACAGGAGAGCCATGAAAAGCATAAAATTTGGAAAAACTATAATTAAAAAAAATATATTTATTTCAGCTATTTGAATAGAGTAAGCGTAATTGAAGTTAAATTAAAAAACAACGAACTGTTGATACTTATCTAATTACAAAGATAAATTTCGCGTATTCAGCGAAATGTCGCTTAAATCAAATCTTTCACTCCTCGATATGTATATGCGACCCGCTTGTGAGCTGTTACCGTGGTAACCCCAAATTAAGGATTCGTTTATATTCGTCTACATTAAAAATTCTTTCAGATTTGCGTGCGGTAACCTCGTCCATCTGTTGGAGAAGCTGTTTACGGAAGCTAGCCTAGCCAACATGGTGTTGTTCTGCGCGAATTCCTTGCTGGGGCTCGCCGGGATGACGATACTTCTCATACTCGACATCATATCGGATTCCGACGTAAGTGTATTGTGGCGCCATCTATCGATGAGGTTCTAGTTTTCAGGCTTAACTCGGCTTTACTGGCATTACTATCGCTAAATATATGAAATACGCCTAATTTTTTAATCACATTTTATTGTGACAAAAACGAACAACTATGGCGATTCTTTTTAACATTATACACACTATTATTTGACGGGTTCTTACAACGATCGTCATATTTCATGACTTCCCGATAATTCCTAGCTGTTCCAAGTACCGACCCTTCTAATATTATAGTTGAGTAGAAGTATAGTAAATTAAAATGAAATAAATTAAAAATAAATTATAATATAATTTATTATAGCATGTTTCAAAGTTCAAATTAAATTAAACATGTTTGATTTCCATCAAGCTAAATGTGTGCTTCCCCTACCACGCTTGTTAATACACGGAATACTTTAATGTCATTTACGAATCACAAAAGTTCATAAATTTGGTGATGATATACATATTTTTAGAAGCTTATTAACAGTATAGCATCATTATCCTGCTATAGAGTATACCCTTAGAATCAAATTGGAACATCCAATTCACTCTGATAGTTATAATCTCAAACTAACAACTAACGAACTAGCTTATAAGCTACTTTAGTGTTTTTTTAATAACTGTGACGTCATAAAATATCAATAACAGATTTGTAAGAAAATGTTTATTCCTACAGGCAACAGACAACGCTCGGTGGATCTTACACAAGATATTCTTGATAGCTCCACAGTTCGCGCTGGGTGACGGATTACTGGAAATAGCCAAGAACACTATTCAGTCGGAGGTGTGTATAATGTACTACATCGATCTATTATTACAAATATAATAGAATAAACACGGAGAATGGTCAGCCAGCCAGTAGCTATCTACTGTTTTATTGACCTTAAAAGATTGGTAATTGCCAATACGGATGTGGCATTGGCAATTACCATATTTGTTGCAAATTATTTCTGACCTTAATTATTGATAGTAGAATGTAGCCCTGTTGCTTGCCTCGCTACTAAATATTACCGCGATTCTATGTGAAGAACACGACCCGGCGATGGTTCCATTACAATATTTGATAACAACATTGACAATGCTGCCTCATGTCTCAAAGCGACTGGCAGCATTCACGTTGTGATGTCTAACAATTGTGGTAGCCATTGGACTCCCTGTCGACCGGGAGAACATCACCTCGCCTGGTAAACTAAAAATATGTACCACATTAAGATAGCCATTAAAACATTTAATCTAAACAATGGCTATCTTTTTAAAGTGGAGATGATAATCTCTCTACGATACAAATTTGATATAAGATAAATTTTCATTAATTAACACGAATATTTTAAATACGATATTTTACGGTATAGATATGATACGATACGTTAAATTAGACTCAAATTTATTTGATTTATAACTCCGACGTTTCCAAATCCTTCAGTCGTGGCGCGCGTGATAAATCGCATGAGGACACCGGAAGCGACATAGAATTTAGTCGCTAAATATCTTCTTGGCACTCAAACAAGAAGCCATACATAGATCAATAGGTCACAGAATATTCGTTAGTAACAATTTACACTATTTATATTTTTAGGTCTTAAGCCGTTTCGGTATGGACACGTATCAAGATCCGTTTAGGTCCAGTTTGCTGAGACTCCACGTGTTGGCGCTGGTAGTGGTAGGCGGAGCCCTCTTCCTACTCAACCTGGCCATCGAGTACGATTGCTTCGAAATATTTCTTGGCAGGTGCGTTACTCCATAAGCCTACTCCTGTACTCCTGGCGTGAGGCATAAAACTACCAAACTTAGTGGCCTAGATAAGCAGTTTTTTTTTCCTACCTAAGCTGATAGTCTTGAGAGGCTATTTCAGCGTAACCTTAACTAGTAGGTGAGCTCACGGGGCTCAAACCGGAGTGTTGCTAACACTTACCCTAGCAAGAGCAGTGCTTCGCAAAATCTACCACCGGATCAGAAACGCGACCCACTGAGAAGATCCGGCGAGAAACTCAGTGGGCTGTGTCTATGGGTTAATTCGCTCGTCGAGCCGTTCGTCGCAAGCGACGGTTTCGACAAGAACGATGATCGGTGCTTGTGGTACCTAAAAGCACCGTTAATGGATCGGGAGGATCCGTAATGACGGGATAAGCAGGCGAATAATCGTATCAATCGATTATGGGATTGGAGCTCAGAGACACCACGACGTGAAGACCACTGTCATCATGAGGCATAAAGTCATTGCAACATTTGTATTTATAATCCTACTCTTCAAACATAAAGTATAAATCATGAACTCGTTCGTTCTTCCGCGCCAAATGAAAAGCAATTGAAAAACAATGCAGAAATTCTGTTAATTCACATGTTGCGCAGGTTGAGACGCGAGAAAATGCCGCAGACAAACTACGAAGAATTGGAGCCCGTGGAAGTCGCTGAGGAGAGGAAGAAGGTGCGAGCAGCACTGTTGCACTCCGCTCAGGGACACATCCGGGTCAACACCATCGGCAATATTAATAGGGGTATGTTCTAGTAGCGATTATATTATATTATATTAGTTATGCCCTAACTGGGCTGCCAGTCGCAACCGCCATTCGAGAAGCTGAGGACCGGACGAGATGGAAAAAACTCACGAGACAGGCCACGGTCAAGTTTCAGGGACACGACCTTCAGCAATGAAGAAAGCGACGAAGAATAAAAAAAGTTCTAGTAGCAAATGTGTCGAATCATTTGAAATCGATAATCTCATATACATGCCGATTTAGCCATCACAGTCGACCGACTCGACACGCACTAGGGGAATCACCGGAGTGGAACACACAAGGAGTGTTGAGGACAACGCAAGCATATTAAAACATGTCTTTATATCTGTACGAGCCTTAACAGTCTACAATAAATAATGAATACTATCGTAAAACGTTTGTTCTCCACAAGCAGTTAAATAAGATATATAAACAAGATATAAACAAAACACACAAAAAATACTATAATACAAAAACATTACAGCAGTACACAGATAAACATGCACGTAACTGGAGGTGAGGAGCATGGCGATTTAGATTTAAAGCTCACCTCTTAAGGTATGCTTAGTGCGAGTTTTTTAACGTTTTCGATAGTGTAAAAGTTAGCCCAATTTTTTATGCAGTTGGAACAGCGTCCCTAGCAACGAACCCTAGCAAGAGCCGTGTTTCGCAGAATCTACCACCGGATCGGAAACGCGACCCACTGAGAAGATCCGACGAGAAACTCAGTGGGCTGTGACTGAGGGTTCCCCGTCGGCATACAAATATGAGCTAACTTTGACGCTATCGAGAACGTTAAAAAACTCGCACTAAGCACATCGGTGGCGTCGTAACCTCGTCTATAGTAAATATAACGTGTTGGTTATGAAGATCGGTGATTATACACAGGCTACGTGCATACGGAGTGCGACGGCAAGCGTGTGCGGCGGGCGGCGCGTGGTGGTGGCGCCGGCGTGGCGCAGTGTGTGCGGCTCGGCAAGATGTACCGCCGCCCAGCGCTCGTGGACCTCACGCTCTCGCTGCCTGAGGGACAGGTACCGCCCCTGCTATACCTACCATATTACTCATGACGTGTCGGCGAGGAGACCCGGCTTACTGGTGATAGGACCTCTTGTGAGTCCACGCGGGTAGGTACCACCACCCTGCCTATTTCTGCCGTGAAGCAGTAATGCGTTTAGGTTTGAAAAGTAGGACAACTATTGTACTTTTAAAACTGAGACCTTACAACTCATCGAATGGTAAACCGTCGATATCGCCCAAAGCACGGCATTACGGATCCTCCTGATCCATTAACAGTGCTTTTAGGCACCACAAGCACTGGTCACCGTTTTAACCCATAGACACAGCTCACTGAGTTTCTCGCCGGATCTTCTCAGTGGGTTGCGTTTCCGATCCGGTGGTAGATTCTGCGAAGCACTGCTCTTGCTAGGGCCAGTGTTAGCAACAGTTCCGATTTGAGCCCCGTAAGCTCACCTAGAGGTCAAAGAGAAACTGAAATAGCCTCTCAAGGATATCAGCATAGGTAGCAAAAAAAATAAGAAGTCTCAAATGCTGCACGCTCCAAAAGAATGCATCCATTGCAGCAGAAGTATGCAGAATGCTAATCATAAGTATACAGTTTGTCCTTAATTTCATATTCCAATTGTTTTAAACTATCACAGTTATCTACATTCTACATTGCAACTATTATTTAAATGGGCCCTTACCACTTATTTCATTAGTCACATTTCATTATCAGGAACTTATATAGAAAGCCGTAGGAAGAACGCGTTAAATACTGGTATGGATTCACGTTCGAGGTGAAAAAAACACACGTCACGTGCTGTAAAAAACACATCAAACAAGAGCAACTAATCGACTCTAATTTCGGTTCTGCTATAGAGATGGCGCTAGTTGCAATATTTAAATTATTAGGAATAGATAAAGAGTACTCTGAATTTTGGACAATAAAGAGATGACTCTTTGGATTAATAAAGTTTTTGTGCTTTTCTGATTAAAATAACGATTCTTAATGTAAATGATAATTTTTTTTTTTATTGCTTAGATGGGTGGACTAGCTCACAGCCCACCTGGTGTTAAGTGGTTACCGGAGCCCATAGACATCCACAACGTAAATGCGCCACCCACCTTGAGATATAAGTTCTAAGGTCTCAAGTATAGTTACAACGGCTGCCCCACCATTCAAACCGAAACGCATTACTGCTTCACGGCAGAAATAGGCAGGGTGGTGGTACCCACCCGCGCGGACTCACAAGAGGTCCTACCACCAGTAATTACGCAAATTATAATTTTGCAGTTTTCATTTTTATTACACGATGTTATTCCTTCACCGTGGAAATCAATCGTGAACATTTGTTGAGTACGTATTTTATTAGAAAAATTGGTACCCGCCTGAGATTCGAACACCGGTGCATCGCTCAACACGAATGCACCGGACGTCTTATCCGTTAGGCCACGACGACTTCAGAAATAATATATATTATATATATAATAATTATTCATTTCAATAGTATCTATGACTGCGTTTCTACTTAAAGTCATCGCAACTATAAATTTATGCCACCCCTAGTGCACAGCGTTACTCGGAGAGAACGGCGCTGGTAAATCCACGACCTTCTCGATACTGACCGGGGAGATCCGACCTACTGCCGGTGAAGTGTACCTCAATGAACAGAAGATGACCCCTAGGAAACTCTGTCAAGGACTTATAAGTAAGTTTCGTTCATTCAGCCAATCTTTTAGACAGAAGCATTAAATGAAATATTAGCATTACTGCTCTAACCGATATTAACCTCCTTTCGTCTGAATTCTGTATACTTTTATATCTTTTATATGTAAATTGCTTATGTGTAAAGAAGCAAATTTTTTTATAATTATTTTTATATTACATTGTGTTAATTGTATGTATATTTACGGATATATGTATGTACTTATGTTTATGTGTATGTAAGTGTGTATGTGTATGTATGTATGTATGTGTATGTATGTATGTATGTGTATATGTCTGTGTACATATATATATATGATAGTTGTCTGAAAGAGATCGCTTTTAGCGATAAGACCGCCAATTGTACTTTTTTGTATTTAATGTATCGCACTGTTTATTTGTTTTTTGGTGTAAAATAAACTCAATCAAGAATACTCTCTCCCTCTCTCTCTTTCTCACAGTAATACCGTTATTGCAGGTTACTGTCCACAAAGCGACGCTATAGACCCCCTGCTGACGGTCAGAGAGATCCTGTCCTTCTACTGCCAGTTAAGAGGAATAAATGACCAGGACGATGTGAGTGAAATCTTTGAATCAGATAATATTTAAAATTCAAAATGAGTTCCATCGCCGCAGAAAAGATCGAACATATTATTAAAATCTACTAAAAATCAGTGTCCACTAGTGATAACAGTTATAAAATATAATAATTTTATAAAGGGGAAAGATTTGTTTGTTTGTATTGAATAGGCTCCGAAACTACTAAACCGATTTGATAAATTCATTCACTGTTTGGAAGCTACTCTATTCCAGAGTGACATAGGCTATAATCTTTTTTGAAAAAAATTAGGGATCCTTACTAAAACTCCAATAATGTAACCCAAAGTGTAAAAAATTACCTAAAATATTCTTTACATCGCGTACCCTTCGAAAACTATTAATGATAGAATAAAATAATGTACTACGACTTTGTAGAACACATTATTATTTACAAAAAGTGTCGCGACAGCATATGTCTAACTATTATAGTTATGCCGCAATAAGTGTTCTTTTATTTAAAAAAATAAAACACGTCAAATATCGTTGAAATTTTTGTTAAAGTCCCGCGCGGAGCCGGAGCGTGCCGCCAGTTATAAAATAAATCACTTTTTCACCTAATCTAGCATAAAATCAAGATTTATTTTTGTTCGCAGGTAATAAAAAGAACATTAGCGATGTTTGAATTGAATTCATACAGTGACGTGCTGAGTGGAAATCTTAGTGGCGGAAACAAAAGGAAATTGTGCACCGCTATTGCATTCATGGGAAGAAATCCGCTTGTCCTACTCGATGAGCCGACCAGGTAAGGAATTTTTATGACCGGCGTGCTTAGTGCGAGTTTCTTAACGTTCTCGATAGCGTAAAAGTTAAGCCAATTTTGTATGCAATTTGAACAGCGCCCCTAGCGGCAAACGTACGCAAACGATCCCATTCCATACAAATATGAGCTAACTTTTACGCTATCGAGNTTCATGGGAAGAAATCCGCTTGTCCTACTCGATGAGCCGACCAGGTAAGGAATTTTTATGACCGGCGTGCTTAGTGCGAGTTTCTTAACGTTCTCGATAGCGTAAAAGTTAAGCCAATTTTGTATGCAATTTGAACAGCGCCCCTAGCGGCAAACGTACGCAAACGATCCCATTCCATACAAATATGAGCTAACTTTTACGCTATCGAGAACGTTAAAAAACTCGCACTGAGCACACAGGTTGACAGTCTAATCACGTGCTTTGCTTTGAAGATCAGAACAGCGATATATGAATGTAATTGAGATATTCATTAGGAATTTCCAAGGTAAGCTGTGGATTATGATATAATGTTTACAAGCTTTACTAATGGCTTTTACTGGTGGTAGGACCTCTTGTGAGGCCGAGTTGTGGAGTTGGAACGTTTGTTTACGTTTACCGCTTGTACCGCGCTGCTCCAACTATATACAAATTTGAGTTAACTTTTACGCTATCGAGAACGTAAAAACTCGCACTAAGCCATCTCATCCTGCATCCACTTTGCCCCTGCTCTGCGTGGCAGGGAGTTTTTCGCCCGGTGAGGTTCGCCCCGAGGCCCGTTCTGTGCCCCTGTAAGGGGGTACGACGACCTTTCTTGCTCTTGCTCGCACTAAGCACACAGTAATGTATAACGTGCAGCGGTATGGACGCGTCGTCGGGCGCGGCGGTGTGCGAGCGGGCGCGCGAGTGCGCGGGCGAGGGCCGCGCCGTGCTCGTGGCCACACACGCGCTGCGGGACGCGAGACGTCTGGCCGCGCGCATCGCGCTCCTGCGGAAGGGACGCCTCGTGGCTCTAGCGCCGCTACACGACTGTCTACAGAGGTACCTAACCAATTTCGGTCAATTGAGAGTTTTTGTAATTAGTCACTTCAATATTCCGATTGAGTCTGGTACTACAATTTCCTAAAGTAGCCGGGAAAAGCCCGATTATTTACCCGAGTGTTATGGTTAAAAACCGCAGTTTGATGTTTGAGTTTAATGGTAAGTAGAAATCTGACAAAAACTTCAATCGCCTGAGTCTACTGGTTTTTACTGGTGGTAGGACCTCTTGTGAGTCCTAGGGACCACCACCCCGCCTATTTCTGCCGTGAAGCAGTAATGCGTTTCGGTTTGAAGGGTGGGGCAGCCGTTGTAACTATACTGAGACCTTAGAACTTATCTCAAGGTGGGTGGTAGTAGTAGTTGTACATGTCTATGGGCTCCAATAACCACTTAACACCAGGTGGACTGTGAGCTCGTCCACCCATATAAGCAATAAATAAAAAAGTCTAGTAAGTCTTATTAGTCTAATAAGTTCTTTCATGAAATCTCCTATGATATGATATCGCACAAGTGCCGCATCACTCGGGTTGTTGTGGCGTCGATGCGACGAGCCATAGCAGCTACTGACTGGCGTGTTACGCGCAGGTTCGGCGGCGGGCACGTGGTGGAGTGCCGCGCGCCGGGGGCGGCGGGGGTCGCGTGGGGGTCCGTACGGGCGCGCGCCCCCGCCGCCGTGCTACGCGTGCTGCACGCACACACGCTGCAGTTCCTGCTACCCAATTATGTTACAGGTATGTTACAATCTTCCACGTCTCGACACTTTTTTACCTCACCCTAGATCAGCCTTTCCCAAAGTGGGCGATAACCCCCTTTGTGGGCGCTGCAGACCCAAAGGGGGGCAGTACGAGACCCAGAAAAAAAATGGGGGCGTTGTGTAGAGGCTTGGGAGGCGATTTGTAATTTCATCTAGGACTCTTACACACCGACTGAGCTCTCATTATAGTGGTTTTTAAGTAGATAAAAAATGAGAGCTCTAAAAAACAATTTATTCTCAAAGTGGGCAGTAGAAAAAATTAATTTGGGAATCTCTGCCCTAGACGGACAGACGTGCTTGCTGTTGTCAAGGAATTACCGGGACACTTTAGCATCAGAACGTTAAGGAGGTGACTTAAATCATGAGGTCGATGTCTCAATTGTATAGCACAGCGGTTGTTCTACCCTTGAACACGGAAAGCATTATTGTTGGGCCTACCCGCACTTTCACATAATACGCCCATCTCTAATATTTACGCATATTCACGCAAAAGCGATTTTTTTTGTAAAATGCAAAGAGTTCATTCTCTGCAATAATCTAAATCGCATCGTGACCTGCTTAAACACAATTTAGGCTTTACACGATCGTTGAATTGTCCGCAGATACACAAAACAGAATTGAACATAATTTTACGATTTAATCCATCGTTTTTCGTTGACTTTATATCATTTTCACCGGTGCCAGTGCTCACGGAAGACCAAGTTGTTAATCAACGAAGCCTTGTTGTAATATACATAACTTGAAATCAAACAAACTTAATATTGTTACGATTTTTCATGCCATACCCGATCCTGTAGACCGAACGGTAAACAGTCGACGTCGCCCAAAACACGTTATTACAGATTCTCCCGATCCATTAGCGGTGCTATTAGGTACCACAAGCACCGGTCACCGTCCTCGTCGAACCCGTCGCTTGCGACGAAGGGCTCGACGAGCGAATTAACCCGCAGACACAGCCCACTGAGTTTCTCGGCGGATCTTCTCAGTGGGTCGCGTTTCCCATCCGGTGGTAGATTCTGCGAAGCACTGTTCTTGCTAGGGCCAGTGTTAGCAACACTCCGGTTTGAGCCCCGTAATCTCACGTACACGTTAGGGTGAAGCTGAAATAGCCTCTCAAGGCTATCAGCATAGGTAGGAGAAAAAAAAAGTTACGATTTTGTTTGTCAAAGTAAATGTAAATATCTACCAATATAATATGCTATTGAACAAAAGTAGATCATTTCCGGCCATCCCTCTGGTTTGCAGTTAACGAGAAGGAGACACCGATACGACTCAGCGATATATTCCGTTTGATGAACGAACTGCAGACTGCCGGTGAAATTGAGGACTACACAGTGAACCAGAGCTCGCTGGAACAGGTAATTACAAAAAATCGGTTGTCTGTAACAACAGACAACGACAACGTCATAAGAAAATACGCCTCAGAGCGAGGTAATGCCGCATGAGTCATGTTTTTTCGTGCGTGCAGCCGGCTCCATCGAATTATAAGACGTTGTCACGTCAAAAACAACAACTTCTTGAGGATGAAATATAGTGAGAGACACGCTAAGATAGAAGATAAACTCACACAAAATCGCTAGACTCAATATTGACAGTAAATTGAAATCTTCCGCGTACACAGACATAAGAGAAACGGGTCAAGACTACGGTTCGTAGACCTTTAGACAGTTTATTGAAACTTTATTAATGTATTTATTTCAATTCCAAAAATAGTTTACACTCGAACATGACCCAATAGGATTTCTCAGATGTGTGAAGGATATCCTATTTGTCTGTGTTGGTTGTATTGTTGTCTACTTATGTGGATACCGCTTTTTTTGTTTTTTTTTTTCTTAGAACACGTAATATTATTTTTATTTGTAATTTTTAATTTTTGTTTTCAAAAGCCAAAGCTATGTACATTAATACGGGTTGCTGAGTGCATGTACCATTTAGATTGCAATCCAGATTAGATCTAGGTACTACTTGTACGATTTAGCTAATATGCACTGTAATGATTGTAATTTGGTTTGTGAATCAATAAAATAAAAATTAAAAAATATTGGCGGAGAAGATAAAACCCCGGTTACGAGGGAAACATAATAGTTGCCGAGATAAATAAACTGTCATTCAGCAGAGAATCAAAATTGTCCGTAGACTTATTGTTACTGAAATGTATCTCTCTAGTTTGAGAGCAGCTGGAATAGCCCCTTAAACTAGCAAAACAAAACAATTCGGTGGACAGTTAGATTTCTCTGACTAACGATCTGATCTGCTCTTTCCAGATGTTCCTAAGCTTCACGGACCAGAGGGATGTAGAAACGGGTCCCATCGAGATGGAACCTTTGCCAACGCCCGAATTTGTCAAGAGTGAAGAAGAATATGACAGCATCACCTGTCTGTAAATGAAGACTTTACGTGTTTGCTCAGAACAGTGCCTTCAGGAGATGTGCTAGTTGATGTTCCTATGACGAAGACAATAATCTTCTACCGAGCGGCGTCTCCACTCTGTACGCTTAGAGCGAGTTTTTCGTTCTCGATGGCGTAAAAATTAACTCAAATTCGTATGCAGTTGGAACAGCGCCCCTAACGGCAAACGTACGGAAACTTCTTGACTTCCACAGTGAGGGAATAACATCGTGTAATAAAAATCAAACCCGCAAAATTATTATTTGCGTAATTACTGGTGGTAGGACCTCTTGAGTCCGCGCAGGTAGGTACCACCACCGGCCTGCCTATTTCTGCCGTGAAGCAGTAATGCGTTTCGGTTTGAAGGGCAGGGCAGCCGTTGCAACTATACTGAGACCTTACAATTTATATCTCAAGATGGGTGGCGCATTTACGTTGTAGATGTCTATGAGCTCCAGTAACCACTTAACACCAGGTGGGCTGTGAGCTCGTCCACACATCTAAGCAATAAAAAAATAAAAAAACTAACTCCATACAAATTTGTTTTAACTTTTACGCTATCGAGAACGTTAAAAAGCTCGCACTAAGCACACTGACCCGATATTATGAGATTCACTTGCGGATTGTTAGCGATTCAGGTTTCAAGCCATGACGGATAGACGCCGCTAGTGCCCACATTATTACTAAGATCGTTTTTAAATAACGCACAAGTTATAAATTGCTCAAATTATATGTAAATTAATTGTGATTTTAGTTTAATTAATGTTGAAAGACTCCTGAGACGGGAGGGATAAGACGTTTGAGTAGACGACGAAGAAATGATTACCTATGATTGATTGTAAAATAGAATGTGTTTTAACATTTACTAGTGGTCGCCCGGTAGTCGAATTTCGACTATAATTAACTGAAATTATAGGTTCGTACACTATTATGATTCTATTTTCAAAGACTGTTATACTTCTATAATCACAAATTTCGCCAAGACTATACTATAGAAAAAATATTAATAAAGACAAACAATATTTTTAATCTATTCTCAATTTGACAACAGACGTCAAGAGCAAAAGTTTGACAATAAATAAATAGTATGCATGCGTGTGTGCGTCAAATACATGGTAGCGTGTGTAATGTTTTTTTTATTGATTTAATGTATTTTTTAGGCATGATTTAAAAATATATTAGCATTTGGCACTCCTTCTCTATATTCTCTATCAGTGTGGGAAAGGGGATTGCCCACTCTCCATAGTGTGCTAGGCCCAAGATGGACATCGAATATTACTATAAAAATGTACTGATTCAAATTCTTAAATGTATTGGATATCTAAAAAATATATTGAAATTGACGCCACTATTATAAAAAATATAATAAAAATAAAAACTCGTTTTGAGGTTAATTTTCTATATAAATAAGTGTCGGATTGTGAGATACTTCAAGAACTTTTCTTTTCTTAATGTTTAAGATGTTCCTAATGTATTTTTATCCAATAGGGTATAAAAACACACTTAATTCTTTAAATATCTATATTTTCTTCATCTTCATACACAATTAGTATCATCTAAAAATAGCAAAGGAGAGCATATACACGGTTTTAAATCTCGGTCAGGGTAAAACCACAATTCACACAATGTTTTTTAGTCGTAGTATGAAACGTTATTGATAAAAGTAAAATAAATCGAAGAAAAATCAAAACACATCCATTTTGTACGCAAGCACAACACCACAAGCAGCAAGCGAAGTGTCAGTCAGTCAGATTAAATTCAGTGTTGTCAGTATAAAGAAAAATAATTACATGAAATTCATATATCGATTATTTTTTTAAATAACCGATAATTGATTTATATCTTAATCTTTTTTTTACGAGTACACATTATTTTTTATGTTTTTGTTTTAGTTGTACATATTTAAATAACAATACTAGTAAAGTTTTTTTTATTGCTTAGATGGGTGGGCGAGCTCACAGCCACCCTGGTGTTGCTAAGTGGTTACTCGAGCCCACATACATCTACAACGTAAATGCGCCACCCACCTTGAGATATAAGTTCTAAGGTCTCAAGTATAGTTACAAGTTAAAGTCCAATGGGTATGTCTTCGATGTTATTTTATGTGCATAAAATCCATTAAAATCGTTTGATTAATGATAATACTTAAAATGATTTATTTATATGTTTTATTTATATACTCAAAATATTTACTTCATACGTAAAAGGATTTGAAGCTGGCAATATTTTTCCCGCAAAAATAAAAATCCTTGTTTTTTCAATAGAGTTACTTTTTTTAAACTACTTATTGTAAACTATAGTGGCGCTTATTTGCAAGAAAGTAAATGCATATTTATTTATGACAAAATTAATGCACTAAGTATTTTTTCTATAATCTATTGTCCGCTTTGGGCCTAAAATGGGCCATCCCCTTTCATACTCTTCCGTCCGCGCAATTTTCGTAAAAAGGGATACAAAGTTTTTCCTTCACGTATTAATATATAGATAAACATTTATATTTGATTTAGTACCTAATAGTGTATTGTTTTCAGATTGCAAATCATTTACTTTTTTAAGTTAAATTTTGTAAGTACCTACTGTTCTGTAATGGCAGCACTGAAATAATATTATTGACATGGTAAGACTAAGGAAATGATTGTATTTAAATTGAGGTTTACGACTTTTAAGATTTCTTTATGCTCATAAGCGGTACGCGATCTCTGTGATATGTTTTATAAAATATTATTTTTTTAATTTTAATTATTGAATGAATTAAAATGGTTTACGGATAAAATATCTTTTATTTCTCATTCAATGAACAGTTGCTTTTCTTTCAAAATTAAGTTTCTTGTCACATGGGTTAACGGACAGGCAGCGCATGAATTCCTGACAAAAATCTCCGTTAGGAATTGCGATAAGCTACTGCGAAAGATATTGCGAAAAGCACTGCACATCTATTAACATTATATATATTTATCGCCATTCACATCAATGGCAACAATTAGGCGAATAAAAAAACTCTGATGTCGACGAAAAAGCTGACGTTTATCTGTCAATGTCAAAATAACAAGTGTCACTACCGTGCTGTTTTTTTTATGAAATGATCCAACGCAAATAAAACTTAAGTCGTGGATAATGACTTAAGTAATATTAAGACGGTCGGTTGTTTAAATGTAATACTAGTAGTCGGTCAGTTGGAACGAAACTGTCGGTTTACCCTGTCATTGTGAAAATCATTTGTTGAGAGTTTCAATAATAATTATTCAAAAGGTTTTATGACTTTTATTGCAATAAACTCAGTTCCACCGAATACGAATGATGACGGAACTGCCGCTCAGCCCTCCCTGGCGCCGTCAGATATAATAAAATAATTTTTATTTAATAACATCGCTAGTTACAATACATGATTAATAAATTACAGAGATCATTTTATATTTTTTTCCCGATATTTTTATCGAAGAAGAGCAGCCCACGTCACGCGGCTGTGTGCACGCAGCCCGCACTCCCTGCCCCTCGCACGCCCCGCACTCCCTGCCCCTCGCACGCAGCCCGCACTCCCTGCCCCTCGCACGCAGCCCGCACTTCTTGCCCCTCGCACGCAGCCCGTACTCCATGCCCCTCGCACGCCCCGCACTCCCTGCCCCTCGCACGCCCGGCAGCGCCGCCCGCACGCGTCACGCTGCTCGCAGTGTAAGCGCGGCGGGGGTCGGCGCCGCGTGACGTCAGTTCGAGTCAAAAGAAGGATTCCGTATTGAGGCTGACTTCTTGAAGTGCAAAACGAACAGGTCCAGAATTCTGAACATGAGGTCACGATTCAATTCCTTGTGACTCAAACTGCTCACGTACAGCTTTATCGATGACTTAAGGGTCTCTTCGCCGAGGAGCTGCAGCACTGCGGACGAAGATGAAGCAATCAAAATTATTAAACGTTCAGGTTTTAAGATAAATAACTGCTACTGCGCAATAGAGATCTTTAGAATATCTTACATGGTAGGATGCAAATATGACAATCGTCGATGTATAATAATTGTTTCATGATATATTTTTTTTATTGCTTAGATGGGTGGACGAGCTCACAGCCCGCCTGGTGTTAAGTGTTTTCTGGAGCCCATAGACATCCACAACGTAAATGCGCCACCCACTTTGAGATATAAGTTCTAAGGTCTCAGTATAGTTACAACCGCTGCCTCACCCTTCAAACCGAAACGCATTACTGCTTCACGGCAGAAATAGGCAGGGCGGTGGTACCTACCCGCGCGGACTCACAAGAGGTCCTACCACCAGTATAGAGCACCTGCAGCTGAGTCGCTCCCCTCGCCCCGATATAGTCGAATACATAAGTTCTCTTACGTCCCGCGTTCTGCAACAGCACTTCACAAGTCTGCTCAGGGTCGAAGTTCCGCAGCTCTTTCGGCCTGGCCGCCGTGTCCTCGGTCGAAGACAAACCCTCAAAGTAGAGGAAGATCTGCCGCTTCAGCCACGCGGTCAGCTCGTCCAGCCACACCGTGATCATTGATTCGAAGATATCTGGAGGCATGCATTTCGGGATTATGTTGGTTATGTAAAATTGCATTATCTATCTATACTAATATATAAATCTACCGTGCTTTTTGCGGATGATCCGTTATAACTACTGAACCGTGCATCCGATCGACTTGAAATTTGGTATCCATGTAGAAAATACATGTACTTAATGGATAGACTTATATTTATATGAGCGTTGGACTCCCTACACCAGTTGTGGGGGCGTTAATGTTGAGAATCTTTGTGGGGGTGAGAAATAATAATGTTAATTTTAAATGCACAGCGAAGCGGACGGTTACAGCTAGTTGGGAGATAATTCCAAAATTTATTGAATAACTGTGCATTGGTACCGTGCAGCACGACGCAATTGGTTATTCCACCTAATCGGGATTAGTTTGATGGATAAATATGAATTTAAAATTAAATTTCAAGGGCATTAGCTTTGGTGCGATGGGAGACTGTGTTTTTCCAATATCACAAACGTATTCTAAGAAGCTGCATCGTCTACCAGAGTTTTGAGTGGCCAGAAACTTGTTTAGCTTTCTTGAAGTTGCGCAATTTCTTCGGTCAGTAAGAATTAACCTCGGTCGATAGCGTTATTGTTTAATGATCATTTTCGTACATCAAGATTGGATTTTGTTTTTTCCTACTTAAGCTAATGGCCTTGAGAGGCTATGTCAGCGCAAGAGAAAACAAGAGATTTGGGTCGTCGTGGTCTAAAGGATAAGACGTCCGGTGCATTCGTATCTAGCGATGCAACGGTGTTCGAATCCCGCAGGCGGGTACCATTTTTTCTAATGAAAATACGTACTCAACAAATGTTCACGATTGACTTCCACGGGGAAGGAATAACATCGTGTAATAAAAATCAAATCCGCAAAATTATAATTTGCGTAATTACTGGTGGTAGGACCTGTTGTGAGTCCGCACGGGTAAGTACCACCGCCCTGTCTATTCCTGCCGTGAAGCAGTAATGCGTTTCGGTTTGAAGGGCGGGGCGACCGTTGTAACTATACTGAGACCTTATAACCCATCTCAAGGTAAAAAAAGAAAGATTGGCCTAACAACAGGTCTCTCCACAAAGTAGCCCGGACTGGTTTTGGGACAGTACCGGCGGCCAGTACGGCGGCTAGGCGGCGCGCAAGGTGCGCGGGCGGGGAGGCGGGAGGGGCGGCGGGGCTCCCCGCGCCGGTCGCCGCACTTGCCGCGCTCCACGCCGCGCCGCACTCAACACACCACTCCTCTGCGAACGTTCAACGCATCCAATATGTCGCGGTATGTCTGGTCACACGGGGTGTGGGGTATCATATTGAGGGGATGACTGGTTATTTGGATTAAGCGACATTTCGCTTAATACGCAACATACCGTAGATTGAGGGGAATCGGGACCCTTTCCAAATCCAACACAAATTTTCAATGGTCTTTCTTAGGATAATACCAATAAGATTAAAATGGTTCCGGAGGCTTAAATTTTTATATACGATGCGTTATTATACATAGTTCATTACAAAATATACATAAAAACTGAATAAAAAAAAAAGCTTAACCCAATTCACCTTGGCTTTGTGGTGAATCAGGTTACGTATGTGGATAATAGAGTTTTTCGATAGGGCTGGCACTATTTAGTTATTAGGTAGGTACCTAACTTTAGGTAATTATCTTTTCAATATCTTTAATGAGTTACAAAACTTTGATGACTAAATTAAACTATTTAATATTCTTAAACACTAAATAAAAGTAATTTTCAGTTAAATCTAACAACTCAACAAAAGTATTGTGACATCTCAGATTTGTCCCTATTCTAACTAGTCTCTATTCCCCCCAATCTACTGTATATCTTTGTAATCAAAGGTGAGTTTTATTTGATATTAGCATCAACAGTTCGATGTTTTTAATTGAACTTCAATTAAATTTGCTCCTTTGAAATAGCTGAAGAAGTTTTTTTTTATTTTTTTCCAAACTTTAAACTTTATTAATTTCATCTATAAAGCTGCAAAAATCTCGCTTATACCAAAAATTCCTTACACTCGTTGATATATTGGTGTCTAACAACTATTTTGGTACTCGATGACGTCACCGACCCTCATCGACCATCGAAAGCGCGGTGGACGCAATGGCCACGCCCTTGGCTGCACATCTGTGTGTATATTAGTCTCTGGTTTCCATAATACAGGCAATACTGGTTTGGGACCAGATGAGCACACGTGCTAAGACCCCGTTTATTAGTTTTATAATTACACCCTAATCCATTAACGGTGCTTTTAGGTACCTCAAGCACCGGTTACCGTCTTCACCGAACCCGTCGCTTGAGACGAAGGGCTCGACGAGTAAATTAACCCTCAGACGCAGCCCACTGAGTTTCTCGCCGGATCTTCTCAGTGGGTCGCGTTTCCGATCCGGTGGTAGGTTCTGCGAAGCACTGCTTTTGCTAGAGCTAGTGTTAGCAGCACTCCCGGTTTGAGCCCCGTGCGCTCACCTACTAGCTCGGTGAATCTATAACAGCCCCTACCAAAATAGGTACATTTTTTTTTTTATATGATTCAATGAAGTCGACAGTAAGTACAAATTTAATCTTACTCACCAAAGTCGTCGGGCACGAGTTGTTCCTGCTTGGCGACGGCGAGCTGCTCCAGCGAGTCCAGCGCCGCGTCCACGTGCGTGAAGGCTCTCCGCGCGCCCACCAGCCGCGCCACCGCGCCGCCCACCTACAGCCCGGGGGCGCCGTCACTCTTAGCTGGGGGGCGGGGAGGGGGCGCCCGCTTCGACACATACGTCCCCCACTCTTCAGACCGGAACGCATCTTGGCCCCAGAAATAGGCAGAGCAATGGTACCAACTCGTGACCACATGATGGTCGGCGCCGCCACGCCGGACCCTCGCTCCACTTCGATAAAGCGGCACGACACGAGAACCCTCTCATCGTGGCCGCCGGTAACTACATTCCCGATCCTGCGGTCAGAATGGAAAGCAGTTGACGTCGCCCCAAACACGTCATTTCGGATCCTCCCGATCCACTAACGGTGCTTTTAGGTACCTCAAGCACCGGTCATCGTTCTCGTCGAGCCCGTCGCTTGCGACAAAGGGCTCGTCGAGTAAATTAACCCTCAGACACAGCCCACTGAGTTTCTCGCCGGATATTCTTAGTGAGTCGCGTTTCCGATCCGGTGGTAGATTCTTCGAAACACGGCTCTTGCTAGGGTTCGTGTTAGCAACGTCGTCAGGTTTGAGCCCCGTGAGCTCACCTACTAGTTAAGGCTACGCTGATATAGCCTCTCAAGGCTCAGCTTAGGTAGGAAAAAAAAGCACCCTCACAGCTGCAAAGCGTTCAGGTCGCGCCCTCAGTACTCACGCTGTTCTCAAGCGAGGTGCAGACGTAGACCCAGTCGTGTTGAGGTCGCATCGCGACAGGAGCCTCCCCCTCGGCCCCGACCGCCGTCTTTATAGAGTTGAACACTCCCGTCACCGTTCGTTGGAACAACCTACACCAGTCACGATTGATTGGAGGAGAAAGTGTAGTGAAAAGTTGAAGCACGTCCATAACAAAATCAACGAAAACAAAATGAATTTCCTATCACCAATACACAAGTTCAAGGCATTATAGAGAAAGCACTATCTGCACAATGACGTCAATGTTCAAGTGTGCCATTGGCTGTGCGGTGTCAGTTTAGATTTTCACCACCTCATCCCCTCCCATTAGTCGTGAGGCGACCGAGCGATTCCTTGGAGGACGGTAGCGCTGTGTAGAGTTATACCAGCGCGCTGTGACCACAGGGATGAGCGCCACCATCCTGCGGTCACGTGTTCCGTTCTCAAGGAGGGACAGCTGGGAATGGTGCTATTTCACGTAAATGGGTTTCGGAACCGCTTTGCATTACATGAACCCTTAGCTCGTCCAAACAACCAGTAACCCAATGGTCAACTGACAAGCATAAATAATACAGATATACATATATACAGGGTGTCCCACAATCGGGTATATCAAGCCGAAACGTAGCAGTACTATCAACAATGTAGATCTCGTTAGAAATGTTAAAAAAATATCTAAAGTGTAGCTTTTTAAGTTCGGAGTACCCGCTTGATTAGACATGCCGTATTATCATCGCCTTTGCTGCGTTCTTAGATAGCTTCCAACTTCCGAAAGCAATAGGAAGTTATTGGAATTTTTACAATATTTTTTACATTACATTTTTACAAAAAAAAATGTTTTTCGGGCGCTGATTAAAGTGATTCAAGGTATCAACATACGTTAACTAGACCTAAAAGATAGAGATTGTTGATCACGTGCCATAGAGGGCTTAATAAAAGTAATACCACAGATATAGTACCCGTTTAGTGGAGGAAAACATATTCAGTACTAGATTCCTACGACCTATATTAATACGATTACTTCTGGGTGGTACTGACTGGTGGTAGGACGACTTGTGAGTCCAAATGGGTGGGTACCACCATCCTGCCTATTTCTGCTGTGAAGCAGTAATGCGTTTCGGTTTGAAGAGTGGGGCAGCCGTTGTACTGTTAAAACTCAGACTTAGTACTCTGGTCTCATGTTGGGTGCCGGCATTTAGGTCGTCGATGTCTATAGGCCATCCGATAATCACTTAACACCATGTAATCTGTGAGCTCGTGCATCCTTCTAAGCCATTAAAATATAAATAAATAATTTGCCTTATTTTCCACTACGACTCCTATTACGGTACCTTACGTAAAATACAATTGAATATGCAATTTCGAAAAGGGCACATGTCGCATATTTTGTCAAATACGTTTTTTTCATATACATGTAGTTTTGAGGCTTACCTACATCCATTTTATAATAATTCCAGTAATTTTCAATTGCAAATTAACACTAAAATATATCTCAAAAGTTAATATTTTAAAATTTACACTGCTTTAGATAATAATCAGTTTTTTTTTCATTGCCTGAACATTTTACATTTTCAGAGATGTGCCCTTTTCGAAATCGCATATTCCATTGAAGGGTTGGCAGTATAATAGTTGGTTCGTTATGTTCAGGTACTCATTATTCCGAAGCTGTTACTTGGGAACATTTGTTGGAACGAAGCTCCTTATGGGACGATGCGGAGGGGTAACCTAACCGGGAAAAAACGTCCGTAACGTAAGATTTTTATTAGTAATGCACACAGTGTACGACTTAACTTTGTAATAACGTACAAAAAATAACATTTTTTTTTTCATTCATTGACCACGATCTCAGAGCGTTCGTTTGCGCAATACACTAACAACTCTTATGCAAACAACCGTGAATGAAGTGTACCACAATAAGTTCGCACGTTACCGAATGACCGTGGGTTGTTGCGAAACCTCCAGTTTTATTTTCTTTATAACTCGAATAGAACTTAAAATTAATATTTTTTTAATAAGGAACTTCGTTCCTATCCGGTGTCCCACGACACCACACATCTTTTTTCGTTCAAATCGATCAGTCTAACAGAACACTATCTACAGCTATCGGCCTGACAGACCGCTTGTGGAGCACCCTGTATACAGCAACTCACTTGTCAAGTCTCTGCATGTTGTTAGAAGTCTGTCCCGGGGATGAGTTTCTGTCTAAATTCATGTCGTATTCATCTGAAACAAGACATCTCATCTGCCGCAGTGTGCAGAGGCCACGGGGTCACGTGGCGGCCGGCAGACTTGCTGGTGAAGACGATAACTTAGATCCCCGCAGCGGACAGGACACACGGACGCCGTCGTCAGACGTCAGCTTAATTCAAGACTAAAGCAAAGTCTATGACGTTCAGGGTACAAGACCCCCCCCCCGCGATGCTTTATAAGCGAGAGCATTCCTAAAGGTTTTTCAGTCATCGTTCTCGCCAAACCCGTCGCTTGCGACGAAGGGCTCGATGAGTAAATTAACCCTCAGACACAGCCCACTGAGTTTCTCGCCGGATCTTCTCAGTGGGTCGCGTTTCCGATCCGGTGGTAGATTCTGCGAAGCACGGCTCTTGCGAGAGTTCGTGTTAGCAACGTCGTCAGGTTTGAGCCCCGTGAGCTCACCTACTAGTTAAGGTTACGCTGAAATAACTTCTCAAGGCTATCATCAGCTTAGGTAGAAAAAAAAGGTTTCATCAGTACAGCGCGTGGGCGACGGCTAGCGCGGTTTCGCTGGTGGCTTACCCGCAATGTTGGCGGCGTCCACCGGGCGCGAGGAGTGGTGTNGAGAGTTCGTGTTAGCAACGTCGTCAGGTTTGAGCCCCGTGAGCTCACCTACTAGTTAAGGTTACGCTGAAATAACTTCTCAAGGCTATCATCAGCTTAGGTAGAAAAAAAAGGTTTCATCAGTACAGCGCGTGGGCGACGGCTAGCGCGGTTTCGCTGGTGGCTTACCCGCAATGTTGGCGGCGTCCACCGGGCGCGAAGAGTGGTGTGCCTGCGTCCTCCCGCGGGTCTCCTCCGCGCCCTCCCACCACACTTCCTCCCCCCTGTACATGGAAATGACGAAATATGAGCTGGTTTATTTATCGTCAGCCGCGCGCCGCCGAGAGCTCGTTGGAGGCTGGGGGAGCTAGGTTGTTTAATATTAATTCTACCCTAAAAATCATTGTGAGTTTTTAAGTGAAAACCGGTTTAACGGCGTGCTTGAACGAGTGAGTGGTAGGTAATTAATTTATTTGTAACCTCTGAGTTTGTTCTCGCTGTTGGAGCAAACTCCTCAACTTGGCGATGCTGGTGGACAGGTCAGCCACCTCCTCGTACTGCGGCTCCGGGGAGTCGGGAGGTGGCCGGGGGAGGCTCGGCTGAAAAATGATAATTGACTGGCTAAGCCAAAACTAAAAAAACCTTTTTTTTATTGCTTATATGGATGGACGAGCTCACAGCCCACCTGGTTTTAAGTGGTTACTGGAGACCATAGACATCTACAACGTAAATGCGCCACCCACCTCGAGATATAAGTTCTAAGGTCTCCAGTATAGTTACAACGGCTGCCCCACCCTTCAAACCGAAACGCATTACTGCTTCACGGCAGAGACATGCAGGGTGGTGGTACCCACTCGCGCGGACTCACAAGAGGTCCTACCACCAATTAAATCGATGCCTCCAATGAACACTACGCTAACTCCAAATTCGTAGGTTTACAGGAGGAGCGTTAAAACGAAAAAAGTTTATAAAATCTTTATTATTGCAGATATATTTATGTTTTTTTTATGTAACTAGCTGATTTACTCTTGCTTCGAACCCCATCAATAATGACTTGTAATACTTTTAAAATAGTGAAGCGATTTGCGTGAAAAACGAAAATTTCAAAATTTTTAGTTAGAGTAGTGTTCATTGGAGGCATCGAAATATAAATGTTAAATACTAACCATACTGTCTTGTGACGTCACTCTGTGTTGTTTCAACAGTACGGGCATTGAACTGTTGTCCTCTGAAATACAAGTAAACGACTCCTTCAACACTCAGAATAATTAGGTGAACACAAAAGGCCTCCTTTATGAAATCACCTTTGTTCTGCGAAAATGGCGGGGTTTCTCTGCACTCCGAAACGTCTCTGCCTTTGAAGTCAGCCGGAATTTTATCTCCAAGTTTCTCGGGACTCTGTTTAGATTTCTGATGGGACGGAGACTTGTCCTAAAGCAACAGCAGACTACAAGTATGAACGTGTACATGTATCACTTGTTGATCGCCTTATTCATTTTTGAAGTGAAACTTCTTTAGGCGCGTTGAGAGTAACATTTTACTCGCGACAGATTCGTTACGGCTAGAGAGAAAAGATACAATTTAGGGAGAGCGAGAGTGAGAAAATAGCGTCTCGCGAACCACACGACCGTGGAGAGAGGGAAAAGACAAAGCGAACTGGGTCGTTTCTCTTATACACAGCATTCTCTATTACAAGAGGAATGTGGTTTAGGGATGAAAAATGAAGAATATCACAATACCACACACCACAAAAGAAGTTTCACTTCTTTCACGTGCACCATTTTTTGTTTTTATATCCCTCTTCGCTTATGCTGCAACTACTGGCGTGAAGTTTTTTTTTGTTCCTTAGATGGGTGGACGAGCTCACAGCCCACCTGCGTGTTAAGTGGTTACTAGAGCTCATAGACATCCACAACGTAAATACGCCACCCACCTTGAGATATAAGTTCTAAGGTCTCTAGTATAGTTACAACGATTGCCCCACCCTTCAAACCGAAACGCATTACTGCTTCACGGCAGAAACAGACAGGGTGGTAGTACCTACCCGCGCGGACTCACAACAGGTCCTACCACCAGTAATTACGCAAATTATAATTTTGCGGGTTTGATTTTTATTACACGATGTTATTCTTCACCGTGTAAGTCAATCGTGAACATTTGATGAGTACGTATTTCATTACAAAAATTGGTACCCGCCTGAGATTCGAACACCGGTGCATCGCTTCAACACGAATGCACCGGACGTCTTATCCTTTAGGCCACGATGACTTCAAAAGTTTAGTACAGAGGCGGTTTCTTTTACCTGCGAGTCATCACTAAGTCCAGTAAAGCGGAGTCCCTTCTTCAGACCTGCTATCCCGAAGTCCAGTAGCCCTTCCATCATCCCTGCCGCTTCATCCTGGTACACAACGACCTCACGAGCTAAGTGGTTATGGTAAGTGTTCCCTTCAATGGGTAACATTTGTAATGCTCTCGTTCAAAGATTTTACTCTAAGGAAACCTTAGTAATAATTCTCATGTCGTTTGAGATTTAAGGATATTTGGTAATAAAGTGTTTTTCTCTCGTCGTATGAGATTTGACAGTAACCAGCCTATTCCACATTCTAGTCAGTCTCCCGTCACGCGCACCCTGATGTCTGATGTCTAGTTGCCAAGAGGACTTGTTGAACTTGACTCCGGCATCTTACCCAAAGGAATGAATCAGTTTCTTACTATTTTAGTTTCAGAATAAGCTTCGTAGATTGCTTTGAACATGCGCTTCCCATTAACCCAATGACTGCCATGTAGGCAGGTCAGAGGTGACGTAGCGCAGTGAAGTAATTATGTCGATTTCTGTTACTAAATTACCTGGATTACCAAACTTTGCCTTCTTTTATTTTTAATGCATCTTTTAGACTTTTAGCTCTCTTAGAAATAGATTCATTCTTAGTATTCTCGGATTTGTCTTTCCTAGAATGTACTTCTTCTATATCGTTCCCTCACTGCTGAGGATCGCGACCACATGTGACGTTCCTCCACAGTGTTCAATCATGGGTGACATGGACCGCATGATACAGAACACCACCAAGTGCTTCTCTTACTAGATCTGATTAACCAAAGATTTAAAAAGGTGGTTGATAATTCGACTGTTTTTATTAATAACATTCTTATTATATGTATAGCTTTTTGGTACATGTTAAAAATAAACATCCTTATTGTCGTGCCTTGACGACGGCCCCTGGAAACTAAATGGTGACATGCTAAAGCGGTACATAAACATGCAAACACATACTGAGCGCTTGTAGTCTAAGTTATCTCGGACCTGGAGGTCACCGATCTTGGTCTTGGCCTGGCTGACGGTGCTCTGGATGTCCTTGAGCAAAGCGTCCGCTGACTTGGGGCTATGCTCTTTTCTTTCTTTCGGTGGAGTCGTACTTAGTTCCACATCTATATTGTCTTCTTCCCCTATAGATTTATTCGTTTATTTGGCATGTCTTCTTTTTTCGTAAGAGCATGTACGAGCCATTCTGATAGTGAATAGTCACCGGAACCACAGACATAACTACATTTATGCCATGACTTACCAGACTTTTTTTTACTGGTGGCAGGACCTCTTGTGAGTCCGCAAGGGTAGATACCACCACCCTGCCTATTTCTGCCTTGAAGCAGTAATGCGTTTCGGTTTGAAGGGCGGGGCAGCCGTTGTAACTATACTAAGACCTTAGAACTTATATCTCAAGGTGGGTGGAGCATTTACGTTGTAGATGTTTTTGTAGATTGATTTTCTCCACCTTAGCCCACTAGGTGGGGTCGGCGCAGCTAATTTTTCTATTCCATTCTCTTCTATCAGCCGTCATCTCAACACTCACCACTCCTCTCTCTCTCTGATATCGTCATTCACACACTCCATCCATGCCCTCTTCGGTCGACTTATCTACCTTGCACTACCATTTCCATACATCTCCTAATCACAGGCATCTTGTCTCTACGCCTCACATGTCCATACCACGCAAACCGTCCGCTCTTTAATTTGTTAATTACCAGGGCTACTGTTGTTAGCACAAATTCTCTTCTTCACTATGAAGAAAACATTAAAAATCTTCATATTGAGCACAATATTCCAAACATAATGTTGTTGTTGCTCTCATTACTGACTAACAAAGATGTTCAAGAATGTAATTGTTACTACAATATATGTTTATGTTGTGTGTGTGCATGTGTAGTGTATGTCATGTGGTAGTTTAATGTTTTCTACATATTTATTTTAATGTACCTATGTGTAATTGTATTATGATCTTAACTAGTTAAGATAGATCTCATTATTATTAATTGTTTTATTGCAAGAAAAAGTTTCAAGTATTGTTTATTAAACATATAATTTGACTAAATAGGCAAACATACCAAACCAGAGCGGCTGTGGTGAATTGGTCCTGGGCGGGTTAGGGCTACCGTCCTGTCCCCAAAGCCGGCTTAGTGTTATCTCACCATCTAAGCTAGCCAGCAAATCTTGACCAAGGCTGATACACTGCAAGTCCATGTCCGTCTCCCAGGTTTTGACACTGCCTGTAGAAGATGCACTTATTCACTCACAGCTCATTCAAGACACTAATTAAAAAATTGAACAAATAATCACAAATGCATTGTGATTGAAGGGAGAGTGGAACCTGTTGACGTTGCTCTTTGGATATATGTAAACACTCATCAAGAGACTGAGATTCATGAAATTTTGTAATATATTTTTTTACACTTAACATGAAGCAAAATCATGTATTGTACTGTGCAGTATGTCTGATGTTGAAAAGACCAAAAGGTCTTTAATGAAATCAACCAAAGTTACTCGTAACTGGCTTACGTCAAATTTACACTATATCTGTAGAACTTACCCTCAATAATTCTATCATATATTTTGACCTCATTCCTGCCCTGTCGACCTCTTCGTTGCCTTAATATCGGAGAACTCTTCAAATCAACTGGGTCACTGGTCAACTCCTCTTTCTTGTTTATAGTCTCGTCTTTCTTCTGTATTTGAACTGCTTTAAGTTCTTTCTTTTCTTCAGGTTTACATTCATCTTCAGTTTTCTTTTTTGTACATTCTGTATCTGCCTCTTGTGTCGGAATGTTTTCCAAGATTGGCTCAGATTTTTCCGAAAGCAACACTTTATTTTCAACTTTGAAATAAGCAAGCAATTTATCATTTAACCAAATAGGATCTACTAGGGTGCTGTCAATGAAGCTATCAAGTTTCCTTGACAGTATACGAACAATGAGCTCTGAGTGGGGTGTGTCCCATAATTCCCATGGTACTAATTCTTTCATAATTAATCGTAGCAGGTTCGTACAATGATCAGTCTTAGTTAAGTTTTTCATTGGGTCAGAAACTGCATGCGCTTTTTTGTAGAAACTTTCTATAGATTCTGAAGGTGATTTTTCCAAGCGTTTCAATGCTTTTTTATATTCCTTGAGATGTAAAGCAAATATTGTACAGATGTCTATGAAAACATCCCTTGTTTCTATTTTATTGCAAACCTGTGAATGTATTTATTCAATTAGTTAGTATAATGAAGTGTAAGAAAAGATGTAGAGGTATGTTTCTTCTAGAACAAGAGGGCAATTTTAAAGCTTGAATTCTAACAAACTACTAAACTAATATAAGCTTTTATGTGGAAGAGTGTCTTGTGAATCTTTATACTATACAATCCAGACTTAGACCTCATTTCGCAAGGTATGTGACTGCATTAGCATTGATGTGTCTATGGGCTCCTGTAACCAATTAACACACAACATTAACATTAGATGGGCCGTGAGCATCATCTGGATTTAAAAATAAATAAAGACTGAAAGCAATAATTATTTGCTAGTGTGTTAGTGAAAAAAAAACACATCTAACAACAGACCCATCATATTTGAAACATCACAATTATTTGCATTTTCTTGTCCTTGTGCAGACTAGCAACTTTTATTCAAATGAAAGTTCAGCTCCTAATCTAATCTAGTTAGTCTGTTATTTAAAACAATAGTATTTTTTTTATATCTCGTAACCGTGAGTCTCCGCAACTTGAAATTTTGCAAAAAGCTTTCTATTTCTGAGTACTATATACAAAAAAATTGTGAACTTCCAAATCGACGGACCATAAAGGAAAGTTTAGCCCTTAAACTTACCAAAAAACTTTTCTGTATCATCTGATCTAACATCTGCTTGCAAGCAAATGGGAAGCTGATCTCCTGCGATATAAACGGAACGTACCAGGAAGAGACGAGCTTTTTCTCCAAAACTGTTGATATTATACTCAGTTCACTAGTATCATACTCTTTGAATGATTCTTTTACGCGACATTTCTCCAACTCAGGTAGGAATCGCCATAAACAATTTAAATAAGGATATTGTGTCTTGAAACGTTCCAAATCATATTTTAAAGGTCTATTCAGACTTAACAACCAACGTATAAACTTTATAGTAAGAAATAAAGAGGAGATAGCAAAAAAAGCGATATATAAAGCTAGCCAGACACTTCCTATCGGTGATATAGGTGTTAGGGCATGTAAAACAATACAAGCCACAATTCCAGTGGTTGAAACAAGGCTAACACTTTCCAATAAATTGCTCCTTAATAACATTTTCACATAATAAGGAGTACTTAATTAACTAGGGCAAAAAAGAATTATATCGTTTTTAAACTAGGTGGGTATTGTAGGTATCGTCAATCGATTGTTTTGCAATTAGGTAGGTCTTGCAAGCTAATTTTTTTAAGGGATTTTATGACCTGGTAAGTAAGGCTTTTAGGTCATGTCTTATTTTAATTTATATTCTTTATTTATGAAAAATGATAATATGGAGTGAAATGAAATAAATGAAGATGATGAATTTGAGACATTAATCAACCGGTATGAAATTAAATCAAATGAGATGAGATGATATGGGATGAAAATATATAATCTTAGTAAAATGGTAGTCATTTACTGAGATTTTTCCAGTGGACTTTTCGGAGAATCCCGAGAAGTTACGTCCAGCGGCTTTGTTTCATTTTCCCACTTTCACAGATTCTAAACAGTTAATAAACCACGGTCATTACACATTTAAACCTGAAGAAACATGAAATAGACAAAATAAAACAAAACACACAACTTCACTCTTAGCGTTCCCGCCAAAAAGCTTTCTGCAAGCTCTGAATACTACTACAGGATCAAAAAATTGATAAACCAGATATTTCGCATAAAACGGTGTCTCGCTCTGATATCACCATAGACTTATAACAGATACTATTAAGTATTGTAGTTTATTTTAGCAGCTAGCGACCTCAATCGTCTCTCGTGTAATTGATGGTGTTTTGTGTCTCAAATTAATCATCTTCGTTTCATTTCATCTCATTTCATTTCACCCCATATTATCACTTTTTATAAAAATAAAAATATAAATTAAAATAAGACATGACATAAAGGTAACCAAGTCATAAAATCCCTAAAAAAAATGTAGGTAGACCATAGATTTTTTGGTACAATTTTTCCTTATTAGGAAAGGCAAGGGAATCTAAGCCCATACAGTCTTGTCTGTTCTACATAATAAACCACAAATTATATTATACTATTTTGACTGTGTGTACCATAGATTATATACTTAATATATTTGTACTACTGTGTACGTCACTTCAGTTTTGTAATTTGTAATAAATTGGGAAACGAAATTGAACATAAATTTTTAAATTTGTGTATAGTTTAAAATGTAAGCCTTTTTATAACACGCAATTAATTTATCTCAGTTGTAATCGGATTAATTTCCATTGACAATTTTGGTTATTTCAGGTCGAAAGTAACTTTCAAGATTACACTCACATCTGATCCGAAACTGCCGTTTAAAGTGTAAGCTTTAGTTTATTTCTCACGACAAGCACTCGAGTCTCGATGCAATGTAACTTCAACACAAATCCACTATGACACAAAATTAGCATTTTAACTAAAGGTTAAATTAAATCCACTTCATTGTCAACAGATGCTGAATTCATGGGTTATTGTTGAAGTTACATCGCTGCGAAATGGAAGAGACTGTACTGAGAGAGTTTTTCGACTTTTTTCAAGATTTCGTTAATCTCTGTCAGGCAGAAAATTGGCCCAACAACACAACAACTGACATAGAACTAAGAAATGCATTTAAAATAGCGCAACATATAGAGAAATGTTTGGAAAAACTTCAAAAAAGAAACCTGTTAAATGAATTTCTCTCAACATTGTATAATTATGATGATAAATCATGTTACTTTTTAAAAAATTGCTTTGCAGACTCTACAAAAGCTGTATTAAAAAAAATTATAGTTTCCGATTGCTCTATCAATCAAATAGACATATCTCTTAACATTTACATAGAGATATTCGATGAAGACAAATTAGTGGAGTGCCTATCGGACATTATGCTAGAAACAGCATCAAAACGCACATTGCTAGACAACTTGCCGGCTCACATACCAAATTGTTTTTTACTAGAATTAAAAAGTCAAATTTTTTTGTACAATCTTTCCACAACCAAAGATTCGAAAATGTTTTTAGAACAATTATTAATAAACTGCAACAATAGTCTAATGGAAATTTTAGTTGTAAGTTTATTAAGTGATAACCACAAACACGATAAAGAAATTGTTTGGATCAATGAAGCATTTATAAATGTTATGCTTCTGAAAAACCAAAGTTGCAAAAGTTTCTGGAAAAGCCTTTTTAATGTTGATGAAAAGTATTTTATTCAGTTATGCATCTCATATACTGATTTGTTTAAGTGCATGGTTGAAACATTAATAGATATTGCCAAATTGTTAAAAAACAATATGTCTCTGGAATATTTTTATTTAGATTTACCACGTTCAGAATTAAGTGATATAATCAAGAGAATTATGAATAATGATATTTTGAAAGAACAATTTTTGTCTATTATTAATGAAAATAATTTAGATGTAGGATATTGGGATAGTATTGGGTGTTAATTTTTTATTATTTCATTATATTATATCAATCCACATCTCATCATTTTTATATGCCTGCATGAGGTTGATTGTTAGTAGTTTAGATTATCTAAATTCAATATCCCTATACCACAACGAACATAATAAGAAGTTAGTTACGCATTACCATTGCGTGTACTATGTTGTTCCTGAATTAAAAGCTTCAGCACATGATTAACATGTCAGTTCAATGATGTGTATATATATTTTTTACACCTGTGCTGATTTTTTATTAAAAGGAGTCTTAAGTTTTTCTACTAATACGATACAGAGTTAAAATCTTTATCATGTGAGAATTTCTTTACTAAAACTAAGATATGTATAATTCTATTAATTGCTCATCAAAATACCAAGAAAAGTACAAGACTGGTTTTCTCTATTCTTCTAAACTAGACTTAGCGTGCCGGAAGCGACTCCATTCACTGCAGTGTTGAAGTTTGCAGCTGAAGAATTCAGGGTGGACCCTGCCACCAGTGCTATTATCACTGATGACGGTATCGGCATAAATCCTCAGCAGACAGCCGGTGAGTTATACGCACCAGACTATTTCTATTATATATCAGTAGAATATTGAATAACTTAAAACAGACAGAAAAAGAAAAGTACTCAATGAAATTATTTGAAATATGGCATTCGAAACAACCACTTTCATAGTGTAGTATGCTGTGGTTAGATATTATATGATGATGTGGATTGAATTAAAGAATTGACATAATCGTCAACTGATGATAGTTTGTGCTTCTACTAGAACACATTACACTAATTAGGAGTGGGTAATATCGGTTTTTCCGCGTATCGAATCGTATCTATATATTGAGTATCAATATCGGATATTGAATCTATATATTTTCTGAATCTATATATTGATGGATGCTAATAGATTTTCTCGATTTATGATATTTGAGATTTGAAACGATACGCTGATATAATATCGTAGTAGATATAGATTTAAGTCAACGTTATACGGTTGGTTTTCTGATGTCAATTTATAATATGATTTTAAAGTAATAAAAAGAACATGAAAATAAAAATATCAAAAAAACTTTCCTTCATGCTTTTACCAGGCTTTAGGATTGGCTACATTATTTTCAGTTTTTAGTATTTTGTGTCTTAATTTAAAATTACAAAATATACCAAAAGAGTGTAGATTTCAAAAGTTTAATACAAACACAAGAAATAAACTCAATTATTTGGATTCAACTAAAAATAGAAAAATGTGTACTTTAAAAATCAAACACAAAAACTTTTAAGTATTTATAAACACTTGTCCAAAAATTCTAGTTNTATTTTGTGTCTTAATTTAAAATTACAAAATATACCAAAAGAGTGTAGATTTCAAAAGTTTAATACAAACACAAGAAATAAACTCAATTATTTGGATTCAACTAAAAATAGAAAAATGTGTACTTTAAAAATCAAACACAAAAACTTTTAAGTATTTATAAACACTTGTCCAAAAATTCTAGTTCAAGGTCAAAGCGCGAGAAATTAAATTCAACGATGCAAATAGGCTATACTGCATTCAAGTTAGGGTCGAAAGTTGAAACTTCTTTCCTAAATTGTATCCTGCTGATACGCTAAGAATAATCTACAGACATATGTACTTAAATATAAGGTTTACAATTGTATGGATAATGCCTTTTTCTGTTTCATTCATCACTTGATATCCCTATCGTGCGCTCACTCACTCTGGCCGATTCGATACGAACCAAACGAATATTGCTGATATTCACGAATCGGTACGATACGCCGATGCGCATCACATCGAGCAATATCGTGTATCGGCTGATATCGTTTTATATAGATTTCGATTCACGAATCGGTACGATATGCCGACGCATCACATCGAGCAATATCGTGTATCGGCTGATATCGATATATAGATTTCGTGCGGGGCGATATCGGATTCAACGATATTGCTGCGATATATAGATATTGAATCTATATACGATTTATATCACCCACTCCTAACACTAATAACTTCTCTAGTGTTCTTTTTACCCTACTTATTTGCTGGTAGCTTAAGGGGCTGTTTCAGCTAGGGTGAGATAACAGGCTCAACCTGAGAGAATTTGCTAACAAATCTAGCCCTATCATAAGTAGGCAGCTGCACAAATAAACAGGGTGTAGGGGAATGATACCCCGCCCCGTTTAGCGGCTTACCATGCATTTATAGTAATGAGCAACATACGTTAGTCAGTCAGTGATTAACGTGCAGCGATTCACTGCGGTCGCTGACGCGAATAAACATGTAATTATTTCTTCTTCTTCTCAGTCGTTCACTCCTGGCGGAGTGGTCGTGGTTACGTAAGTCTTAATATTTGGTTGCGGCTTTTGAGAGACTTCTCCATCTTTCTCTATTTGTGGCGGTACGTGTACACTCCGTAAGGGAACACTTCGTAGACAACTTAACCAAGTCTGTCCACCTTGTGGGTGATCGGCCGCGAGAGCGTTGACCGTCTATTGTAATTATACGTAGTGTTTTATTGACCGCTCCGATGAGGTTTATGGAGGACAACACGCAACAAACAACCAACGCACACGCCTCTTCCTCCTTCATCTCCCAATAAACCTCACAAATGGTAATAGCCGTGCAAACCCACAAGACTACCACCAGTATTAATGTTTTAATTTTTTTTTTTTTTCAGGTAATGTATTCCTGAAGCACGGTTCAGAATTAAGATTGATCCCAAGGGACCGTGTCGGCTTCTCTCTCATTTAAGTACATAAATATGTTAAATCATTCCGTTATATTAAGCAGAATAATTTGTATATATTTTATAAGTATTGTTTTGATGTAATTAAATGTTTTTTTTCTACTTTTTTTGTTTACACCCAACCCGTCAGTCGATTGATGGACTCCATAGGTAATATCGTTTAGAGACTGACCAGTTTTTAAGAGAAATGCAGCCTGTTGTTAATAAGATCTACATGTAAATTCCTTGTTTAACTTAAAAAAAACTTCACTTTAAGTTAGACCAAATGTTTTCATACTACACAATCTATTTCTACAGCTGTCATATTCTTTATTGCTATAGCTATGAGCAGACGACAGCGCGTCGATGGCCCATGTGATGTTAGCTGATGTCGTAAATATCTGAATTATATTGAAATATTTAAATAGACAGAAATTTCAGGCTCTGGACTGGTTGAGCTTTGTAAAATTTGTTTAATAATATAAAATCCTGAGACACATGTAGTTCAATAAAAAAGAATATACAATTAATATTTACATTTAATTTTATTTATTGTTAATAATTATATTAATTAACACTTATGAACTAATGGAACATTTTGCGTCACTAACTAGAAAGACATTAACGGTTCGCACGCTCGAAGAAATGATTTCTCAAACTCCTTCACCGAGAAACGATCCACGGATGCACTGCAAACAAAATAAGATATCTAGTAATTACTTAATGCACACAATAAAAAGGTATTATATTAACAGATTGATCGGCCATTATAGAAAGTCGTTGTGGCCCAAAAGGATAAGACGTCCGGTGCATTAGTATGTAGCAATGCACCGGTGTTCGAATCCCGCAGACAGGTATCATTTTACTAATGAAATACGTACCTGACATACGTATAATAGCAATAAAGAATAAAGTTTTCTTAGTCATTAGTTAATCCACACGTTTCGCCTTCGTGACTATTTTTGCTTAGATGTGTGGACGAGCTCACAGCCCACCTGGTGTTAAGTGGTTACTGGAACCCATAGACAGCGTTAATGCGCCACACACCTTGAGATATAAGTTCTAAGGTCTCAGTATAGTTACAACGGCTGCCCCAACCTTCAAACCGAAACGCATTACTGTTTCACGGCAGAAATAAGCGGGGCGGTGGTACCTACCCGTGCGGACTCACAAGAGGTCCTACCACCAGTAATTACGTAAATGATAATTTTGCGGATTTGATTTTTATTACACGATGTTATTCCTTCACCGTGGGAGTCAATCGTTAACATTTGTTAAGTACGTATTTCATTAGAAAAATTGGTACCCGCCTGCGGGATTCGAACACCGTTGCATCGCTAGATACGAATGCACCGGACGTCTTATCCTTTAGGCCACGACGACTTGATTAACTAATGAAGGAACGGCCCATTTGCTGGGTGGGGGCACGCACCGCGCGGCGGCCACGAGGTCGGCGCGGCTGGCGGCGGACAGCGACAGCGCGTGCAGCAGCGCGGCGGCGTACTGCTCGGGCTCGGCGGCCAGGTAGCCGGCGTGCGGCGCCACGATGTCGGCGCGCGGCCCGCCCGAGCGGTGCGCCACCGTCACCAGCCCCGCCGCCATGCTCTCCACCACGCCTGCTCACACCAGCCCCAATTATTTATTTATTTTATTTATATTATACCTTTAAACGAGCAATTCTTGTATATTAATATAATCTTAATCTCGGAAACGGCTCCAACGATTTTGATAAAATTTAGTATACAGGGGATTTCGGGGCGATAAATCGATCTAGCTACGATTTATTTTCAGAAAATGTTGTTTTATTCGTGATTTCAATAATCAACTCTTCCCGACATCTATTGGCGAATAATAATACTATTTTTCTTAATTGAGGGCAACTAACCGCTTTAAAGACACAAAAAGATGGCGTTATCAAAAAAAAATTGAGCAAAGCTCGGTCATCATCTAGTTAATACTTTATGCACAAAACAAAACTTGTACACAGGCGGACCTAATGCCATGGGCATTCTCTTCCAGTCTACCATAGGGTGGTGCAGAGATAATGCATGGTAGGTGCATTAACAAAACAATAACAAACAACAACAACAAAACAAAAAAAGAACAAAATCAAAACAAAAATCTTCCTAAAAATAACATATCCGTATTATAGAATACACATAATGTTAAATATAGGTACTTATATAGATTACATATGACTTTGTATGCATAAATAAACATACTACAATTTAATATACTTACCTATATATAAAATAGTAAAATACATACATACATATAATTACACACAATATAATAATATACAAATACACATGAAAATACACAATTTAGTATTATAGTTAATAATGGCTAAAAGTAATAACAATAATAATAATAATTGAAAAATAAAATAAATTAGTTTGGAGATGATTCTTCCAGTTTTTTGTGGATGTATACGCGAACTTTGAGTTTAAAAGTAAAGCGATTGCTGGTCATCCTGATTTCTTTGGGAAGCGAATTCCATAATATTATGGATTGTACAAAGAAAGAATGTAAAAAATCTGAGCGATGGATAGGACATTGTAAGAGACGATTATGTGAAGAACGTAGACTTTTCTCATGGCTTGCGTTCAAGTATCTAAAATGCGATTTTAAGTAAGATTAACGATTAACAGCCTGACAACACTGTGTTAAGGTACGCGTCCATTGGCCCGCGTCGGACGCAACGCACGCAACGGATTTTATATTGCTTTGAATTTTTAATACGCTTTTATCAGCTTCAGACGTATGTATGTTTGTAACGGAATCTTTGAACATGATTTTGACCCCCTTGAAAACGTCGGATTAACTCGAAATTTGGTATACCTACTTATTAAGGTCCGATGACAATAAAGTATTTAAAAAAAAATATTGAAAGAATTGAAATTCAACTAAAAAATTAAAAATAAATAATATTTAAAAAAAAAATACAAAATACGCTTTTATAGAAAATCCAATTATAAAATAGAAAATTAATTTTAATAAATTTGGATTAAAAATAGTGTAAGAGATAATGATTTTATTGTAAAAAAGCGTGAGGTGCTTTTCAGGATATTATCAAAATAACCCTTCTACTTATATCTGTTCATAAAATATTTATAACTACTTATACCATGTACTCCACGCTTTTTTTACTCTAGGAGCTCCGTAACAACGCTCCGTAAACGCATACCAAAACTTTAAAATACTGACTGATTCCGAAGTGCTCATTCCACATGGCGTGAAGACCGATGAGGCTGGTCTGGTAAAGGTGCAAGAGTCGAGTGTACGTCACGTTCACCTCAAACTGCACGTTGTTTTCTAGGGACAAGTGCTTGGCCAGGTCCTTGAGGTGTCTCACGCGCTCCTCGTCTTCGGCATTGCGGCAGGAACCCGCCAGAACCAACTGGATCTGGAGATAAAAACAGCTGAGGTAACTCAAGCTGACGTCACCGGCAACCCTTGTTGAACGTGTGGTTTGTTATTTGTCCCTCGCATTGGCGGAATATTTTACTATGATCATATAAAAGTCAAACACACCAATTCAACAATATCTACAATGTGTACATGTACAATATTAAAATACTAGCGACCAGCCCTCGCTTCGCTTCGGAATCATTAAATTTTATCATCGATAGGCGAGGCCCGCCATATTGCGCGCGGTACGACAATAACTGCGGGTGACGCCGCGGGGCGAAACTAGTCTAAAAAAGTAGCCTAAGTTACTCCTTATATCATCAGCTACTAGTTTTAGTGTTTACTATTAGTGAAAGTCTCGTCAAAATCGGTCCAGCCGTTCCAGAGATTAGCCGGAACAAACAGACAGACAGACAAAAATTGTAAAAAATGTTATTTTGGTGTATCTATTGCAAATAACATTTATTACTTTTACAGTGTGTTAGTTTAATACATAGATATAAAACAATTTAAAGTATAAAAAGCTTATTCGAAGTGGTCTCCATTGGCTACAATACAGTCCTTTAAACGTTGAGGCCAGTTATCAATAGAAGCACGCACTCTTTCCTTGGGAAAAATTTTCACTGCTAATCGTACGGATTGTTTTAAGGACTCCAAATTATGATGGCGTTTAGAGCAAGTCGTACTCTCTAAAATTGACAATAAATCATAATCCAGCGGATTAAGATCGGGACTAGACGACGGCCAGTCTTCAGCTCTGATGAAGTCCGAAACGTTCGTTTCCAACCAAGACTGCGTAGACCGAGCTTTATGACCTGGCGCCGAGTCTTGCTGGAAGGACCATTCTTGATTATTGAACATGGTGTTGTTAAGGGGCTTCACTACCTTCTCAAGAATGGTATCTTGATANCGGATTAAGATCGGGACTAGACGACGGCCAGTCTTCAGCTCTGATGAAGTCCGAAACGTTCGTTTCCAACCAAGACTGCGTAGACCGAGCTTTATGACCTGGCGCCGAGTCTTGCTGGAAGGACCATTCTTGATTATTGAACATGGTGTTGTTAAGGGGCTTCACTACCTTCTCAAGAATGGTATCTTGATACACTTGTACCGATGTTTTGATACCTCTTTCACAAAAGTATGGCTCAGTCACTCCTTCATAGCTAATAACCCACCAAACCATCACTGAAGTCGGATAGTGCCCACGTTGCACTCTGTGGACTAACTGGGAAGCTTCCTTAGAGCTTTGAGCATAAATACGGTCATTTTGTTTGTTAAAATGTTGCTCAATTGTAAAAATTTTCTCATCCGTAAACAAAAGTTTTCCATGACCTCCCTTTGCGTACCGCTTCAGTAGTTGTTTCGATTTTACCACCCTATTATATTTTAAATTATCAGTTAAGAAATGACCAGTACGTCTCTTATAGGCTGCAAGTCTTAAGGCATCTTTTAAAATACGCGACATGGTTCTAGGTGCTATCTTTATACTGTTCTAGTGTATACGATGTTAGGCAATGATGCATGATGCTTAATGCTAGCAATGCCAGGCGCAGAGCCAAGCTGATGCTAACTCAGCGGCAGATTGAGTATCGTCAGCTTCCACTACCGCCTTTAATTCGTCGTTGTTGTCGTTAGTTTCCGGGCGACCGCGGGATTCATTTTTAGATCATAATTTCCATGTCGCAAGCGTTCAATCGAACCAATAAAAAGTCGTGCGTTTGTTGGTAGTGTTCACATTAATGTTGCGAACCGTTTCTACGGTATTAATTATCCGACTTAACTCGTATTTCATAATTACTCGTATTTTTATCGTGACCATATTGATGAAAAACATACAAATGTCGTGAACAAAAAACACCAATCAATAAACAAATGACAGAATTTAAAAATATAATTCCTTTTTTTTTTAAATAAAATTGACCGTTTTTTTTGTAGCTTAGATGGTTGGACGAACTCACGACCCACTTAGTGTTCTACATCTACAACGCCAATGCCGCTACCCACCTTGAGATATGAGTACTAAGGTCTCAGTATAGTTACAACGGCTGCCCCGCCCTTCAAACCGAAACGCATTACCGCTTCACGGCAGAAATCGGCAGGGGGGTGGTACCTACTCGTGCGGACACACAAGAGACCCTACCACCAGTAATTACGCAAGTTATAATTTTGCCGGTTTGATTTTTATTACACGATGTTGTTCCTTCACCGTGGGAGACAATGGTGAACATTTGTTAAGTACGTATTTCATTAGAAAAATTTGTACCCGCCTGCGGGATTCGAACACCGGTGCATCGTTGGAAACGAATGCACCGGACGTCTTATCCTGTAGGCCACGACGACTTCAAAAATGGAATTTAAAATTTATTGGCAGCCCTGCATAAATTACGTTACAATTGGCCAGTATTTTAAAACGATAACTTCACAGATAAACCTACGTTTGCCGCTAGGGGCGCTGTTCCAACTTGATACAAATTTGAGTTAACTTTTACGTTATCGAGAACATTACAAAACTCGCACTAAGCACACAGATCGCGGTTTAAATTATTTTTTATTTTTTTTATTGCTTACATGGGTGGACGAGCTCACAGCCCACCTGGTGTTAAGTGGTTACTGGAGTCCATAGACATCTACAATGTAAATGCCGCCACCCCCCACCATGAGATATGAGTTCTAAGGTCTATAAAGTTCCAAATTAAATTACGACACCATGTTTTAGTGTCCGGGTAAGGTATCTGATAGACGGTGCTACATTAAGTCTAAACGTTTCATCTAAGCTACCATTTGTATATAAATTTAAACAGCAATAAATGTTTGTCGTCTAGGCTTTCCTGACCTGTTGGTTGGTGAATAGTTTTTCATACAACTTTACCTAGGTTAGGTGTAGGTCAGTGATTCTCAACCACTGTTCCGCGGCACTTTTGTGTGCCGCCAAATTTTGCGAATATATAATAATGTTAATATTATTAAATTATATCATTTTAAAAGAAAAATATTTTAAACATGAATATATATTAAATCCACAAAAAAAAAATTATAGTATATTTTAGTTTATTTCGTATATTAAAAATTTTTGATAAACTATTTATGCAGTGTGTTGGAGTAAGTAAATAATTTTTATCTTTTTTTTTGTGTGCCGCCAAATTTTGAAATCGTTAAATATGTGCCGCAACAAAAAAAAAGGTTGAGAATCACTGGTGTAGGTTTACTGGTATGGTATATAAATAATAAATGTTTTGTCTATATCAGCAAAATACTATGAATATGTATGGACATAAGCTCAGAAAAATTTTAATGAAGCAAATGTTGGCATTCAAAATATTTACTCTAACCTTATTCCAAAGGAATTCATTCTTGGTCAACAGGCTCCTCAGCTCGTACATCGCCTGCAGCATCAGCGGATGATCTTTCTCCGGTCTGAACTGGGCGACCGACAGGATCCGGATAGGATCTGACTCTTTCACTAAAGAACGTAATTGTTTCAATTCTGTAACCTAAAAAGTTCACCTAAGTAAATTATTTAAATTATTTATAAAAACATAATTATTCGTAAATTATAAGTATAATCCATGTATGGTGGATGACATGAGGGTCAATCATCCGGCGAGCGGATGTCTATCATATCATCATATCGTATCAACTATATCACAATAAATATTTTAGCTTTGAATTTTTTTTTAATTTATTCTTAACTTAATCTATTATTATCTTATCTTCATTGTTGAAGGTCATGTCTAATCTGAAATGTGGAACACTCGATGCACAATGCTTCCCCACGTCTTCCTGTCCTCGGCGGTCTTTATAGCAGGCCGGTGAGCGTCTAATCAGTCAGATCAGATCAGCGGGTAGGTGAGCGTCCGCGTGATCTTCTCCCGTCAACCTGACCAACTACCATCAGCTTCTCTAAGCTATCGGGCCTCTACGAGCGTTGTGGCGATTTTTAGTTACAGGTAACTTATTCTTATATTACATACCTCACAAGGTGGGAAGACTTTGTAAGTGTTGTAAGGTTCCTTCCAAAGTTCATTGATATGTTCCTCTGTCCAAGTTCCATTTACCATTATAACGTCTGCACACCGACCCACAATACCGTATAGCTAAAAATTTATTTAATGTATAATTATTATTTTTCCACTTTCTGCTCATTGAGAGAGATTATTGGAGCCTATGGAAACCACAATGGAAATATCACCAGTCTCCCTGGAACAAGATCTCAGTCTCAATTGTATACAATTATAATAAATACTAAGACAAACAAAGTTATTTATGCTACAAATTAAATTAATAATTATTTAAATTTGTCATTTAATAAAATACTAGATGATGTTGTGTCTTTAAAGCAGTAAAAATAGTATTATTATTCGCCAATAGATGTCGGGAAGAGTCATAAAGTTGATTATCGATAAAGTTGATTATTGAAAACACGAATAAAACAACATTTTCTGAAAATAAATCATAACTAAATCGATTTATCGCCCCCGAAATCCCCTGTATACTAAATTTTATGAAAATCGTTGGAGCCGTTTCCGAGATTCAGATTATATATTATATACAAGAATTGCTCGTTTAAAGGTATAAGATATATTTTACCAAAAACACTCACCCAACCAAATATCTTATAATACAGCAACTTTATCCAAGTGTACAAAGGATTCCTGGCAATTATACCAGAATTGTTGTATGAAACTATCCTGTGTTTGACCCTGCGCATCATTGCTGTCGTTATGGTGGGATAATGGACGTAACATCCGACCCTGGACTGAGCCAAATAACGGAATATTGGGAACGTGAAGGCACATCCCATCGTGTCTATGTAAACATCTGCAATTTATTAATAGGGTGTAGATTCTTGGCTGAAGATTGAGTCAAGTACATTACTGGTGGTAGGACCTCTTGTGTGTTCGCGCGGGTGGGTACCACTACCCTGCCTATTTCTGCCGTGAAGCAGTAATGCGTTTCTGTTTGAAGAGTGGAGCAGCCGTTGTAACTATACTTGAGACCTTAGAACTTATATCTCAAAGTGGGTGGCGCATTAACGTTGTGGATGTCTATGGGCTTCAGTAACCACTTAACACCAGGTGGGCTGTGAGCTCGTCCACCCATAAAAGCAATAAAAAAAAAAATAAAAAAAAACTCTTTTAGAGTTTTTTACTTTTAGCGTTTTTCTTTCTCTTTTAGAAACTCTTTTAGAGTTTTTTACATCCTGCAAAACTAGAATTATAATAGCTCTAAAAAGGACAATAGAGAGAAACAAATTAACGAAAATTACCAGGATTTAGTTTCAAAAATGCTTCCATTCCGAGCACCATAGATCCAAGGCTTTGGAGCACTAAGGTAAAGTATGGGTATGTTTTTGCTTCAATCAAGATTTTCAAAGTAAGATGTACAAATGTTATCTTCTTCAAGTCCAATTTCACATTGAAGTGATTCTGTGCTTTATCTAGTATTTTTTGAGGTTCTTCTGTTTCCACTGTATAGATGAAAATATTTGAATCTGGATACCTGAAATAATCCGATCGTCTCCTTTTTACCATCACATCATCCGTGACCAAATCATATTTCATATTTACTACTTAAAGAGCCCCTGCATTAATCCACAGTTCAGGGATATTTTTCAAGTATTGCTGTCAAAAAAGTATTATTACTAAATTTTGATTGGGACATTGTAATAACTAAGTATTATTCGAAGAAGATATGAAATTGTTATCTCAAGCTCTAGAATTTCCTTCCACTACCCACATCCTACTTAAAGGTTTTAATAGCTCACTGACTTGGCAGATGTCCAATACTGAAACGAAATAAGAACCAAAGAGTAGACATAGTATAAGATGAACTCCACTATTGTTTAAAAATTATACACTATTGAAAAAACAAAGGGAAGCAATTTGATTTCTATAAATCTAATATATAAAATTCTCGTGTCACGGTGTGCGTGATTGAACTCCTCCAAAACGGCTCAACTGATTTTTGTGAATCTTAGCGTGCATATCGGTCAGGGTTGAGAATCAAACAACATTTATTTTTCATCCCCCTAAATGTTAAGGGTGGTCCACCCCAAACATTTATTATTTATTTTTATTTTTTGGATAATTTTTTTTGTTTATAATCAGGTATTATGTGGTTGAATGAGGTTTTTGAGAATTTTATATATTAGACTAGAATTTCCCTAGAAATTTATTTAAGGCAACACAACGTTTGCCAGGTCAGCTAGTAATTATATAACATGGTTTCTAGTATAGTAGACTATAATAAAGTTTAGGGGATCAAAGGTTATTTGCTTCAAGCGACATTTCAATTGATATGTGACATTTATCTTTATAATTAAATGTCTTTTATTTGGTATCAGTATCAACAATAAGATGTTTTTAATTGAACTTCAATTATGTTTATCCCATTCAGATAATTAGCTGAAGAAGTTTTCTTGTTAAAAATTTTTTTTTTCCAAATTTTATACTTGAAATTGCTATCCTGTAAGTTGCAAAAATGTTGCTTAAACCATAGCCTTAGACCTCATGATGTTATCTTTGGAAATGTGGTAGAGACCACAGCATTGTTTCAATACAAACCTGGTTAGGACAGCTTTGATGGCCACCCACAGTACTCTTTCACCCCCACCTCCAGCATTACAGTAGGGATGGAAGAATGCCACGTTTGGTCCATGTTGTTTCAATCTCTCCAGTTTCCGTTCTTTAATTCTCATGAACCATGACATAGAGATTACGGCTAGAGGTATAAGCACAACTGTGCTCACTATTACCACCGCTATAAAAACGGTAGGTAGAATTATGAGCGTTCTGTTAAAGAAATGATTTTGTTTATTTTCAAAATTATTAGTAACTTACGTACGCGGCAGGCAATTTTTTTTAAAATGTTCTTTGCTATACCGAGTAAAACCGGAGAAGAGATCAAACCGCTCCAATAAATTAAAAAAGTATGTACTTAATAAGAAATTACATTACTAATTTCAATTATGAAAGTACTTACAAAACCCATTGCCACAACATGCTAGTTTTTGGAACCACCAATCTAATGAATACCTATAGTGGCTATAGTAATACACGTTTAATTTTTTATACACCGTTCACCATTTTTATAAATATTGTTGATGTTTGACAGTTGACTTTTTTTTATGGGATTTTGTGACCTGGTAACTAAGACCTTTAAGTCATGTCTTATTTTAGTTTATATTCTTAATTTTATGAAAATATGGAGTGAAACGAAATTAAATGAAGATGATTAATTTGAGATATTAATCAACTGGGATGAAATTAAATAAAATGAGATGAAATATAATCTCAGTAGAATGGTGGTCATTTACTGAGATTTTTTCAGTGGACTTTTTGGAGGAACACGAGAAGTTACGTTTAGCGGCTTTGTTTCATTTTCCCATTTGTGGTCTGTTCGAACCAAATTCGAGCGTGTGTTAGTACTTTTACACCGCCCCTAGTGCATATCAGAACATAACCGAAGGGTGGTTGATGTAAACTTCTTAGTTGAAATTATCAGCCATAAGTTGACGTCATTGTCAATCTGTTTTATTCGTTATTTGTCAATGTATCTAATGTAATCACAGCAAATTTTACTGTTAATTTTAGCTTATTAAAACCTTATATTCAGTAAAGGTTTCATTCAATTTAATAAGCTAAATATATAAAAAATGGATAGATATCTCCGCCCTGAAAGGTTTGATATCGACCCGTCAGATAGCTCTAGTACGAGAGCTTGGATACATTGGCGTAAAACTTTCGAAAACTTCATTTTCATTTTGTTTCTTTTGTGGGGGTCAAATACATCCTCGTAAGAACTGCCCTGCCTTTGAAAAGACTTGTCAACTCTGTAACAAGAAGGGGCACTTTGCCACTGTTTGTAGAAGCTCTTCTAAATCTACAAATTCTGTGGTAGTAGGTACTGAAGATCTTTCCGCTTGTATCACAGCAGCGTCACCTTCTTCATTACGTAAAGCTACTGTACCCGCTTATATTCGAGGAATAAGAGCAGAAGCACTTCTCGACACCGGCAGCTCCATCAGTTTTATAAATGACAACTTTGCAAGACTATGCGGGTTAAAAAGAAAATCCTGCAATCAGACTATTTCTATGGCCTCTCTTAATTATACTTCACAAGTAGAAGGTCAAACTTGGCAAACCCTGAAAATCGGAAATCATAGATATGATAATGTGAATCTTCTTATCGTGAAAAATCTTTGTGCTGATATAATTATCGGCCATGACGTCCTCGAAGAACATTCATCGCTAGAGTTCTCTTTCGGTGGGCCAAAACATCCACTTCAAGTATGTAACGTAGCTGAAGCATCAGTACCAGCTGTACCGCTTTTTGCGAATGTATCTCCCAACTGCAAACCTATTNATCAAAAAGAAAAATATTGCGGGTAGAGAGTCCGTCTTTTGAAGAGGAAATAAATTCCCTGTTGCTAGCTTCGGACCAATCTGATAGCGAAGGTGATTTCGAAGATTGTATTATATCTGAGAGCAATCATTCACACCATCAGGAAAATGATCGAGTGGAAGATTCAGAGGAGAGTGGTAAATCCAGAAGATGGCCAATGGTAGTGTTTTACCGCATTTTGGATTTGAACAGCATGAAAGCTCATATACTGCACAACATGCACCAACCTAAGATTATAGAAAGGGGAGATTTCCTAAAGACTAGCTCGTTCGCTAGTTCTCCCATGGGGGACCAGACTACGCGTTTCTGAATATGGATTCAGAGACGCGTAGTCTGCAGTCAATTACCGAGGGAGTTACGCTTCGTGATAAAGCGAATTCTGGGTGACGATATGGTCGAAGAAGATGTCCAAAGTCATGAAACTAGCAAGGCAAAAGAAAGGCATGCAGGATTTGCCCACCCAAATTGCACAGAATGACTGTGTACACGTGTGTCGGCTGTTGCGATCCCGTATGTTTGCAATGTTCTCGCCCTTTGTGCAAAAATTGCCAGTAATGTATGCTGAATTGAGTCATTGTCAGAATTTTAATTTTTTGTTTTTGGGAATGACTATTTTGTTTTTTCGTTCCTTCTAGATTAGATTTTAAGTAAAAGATATAAACTTTATCGTTTTTCTCGCATAAGGTCGGCTGAAATGTGAAATGAGGATCTCATACCAATTAAAGCTGTAAAATACCCTTAAGTGTTATTACTCGATTCTCTCGATATTTTATAAAAAAACTTGGTTTGATTTACTAATGTGTTTTTCATTATATACCATTGATTGAATATTAAGGCAATTTTGAAACACTCAAGTTGATTTTCACAATAAAAATGAATTTACAAGTAGTAGTCTGTGAGACGTCATGTCCTTTATAGTGTTATAAATTTGGCGTGTCACCAGTTAAAGGTTAATTGAACTTCAATTATGTTTACCCCATTTAAATACTTAGCTGAAGAAGTTACCTTGTTAAAAAATATTTTTTTCCAAATTTTATACTTGAAATTGCTATCCTGTAAAGTTGCAAAAATGTCGTTTAAACCATAGCCTTAGACCTCACGATGTTATCTTTGGAAATGTGGTAGAGAATGAAGAGATGGTGAGGCAACTCTGTTAATTCTGCTCCAACAAATTATTTCGTAAGACCACAGCATTGTGTCAATACAAACCTGGTTAGGACAGCTTTGATGGCCACCCACAGTACTCTTTCACCCCCACCTCCAGCATTACAGTAGGGATGGAAGAATGCCACATTTGGTCCATGTTGTTTCAATCTCTCCAGTTTCCGTTCTTTGATTCTCATGAACCAGGACATAGAGATTACGGCTAGAGGTATGAGCACAAGTGTGCTCACTATTACCACCGCTATAAAAACGGTAGGTAGAATTATAAGCGTTCTGTTAAAGAAATGATTTTGTTTATTTTCAAAATTATTAGTAACTTACGTACGCGGCAGGCAATATTTTTTTTAAATGTTCTTCGCTATACCTAGTAAAACCGGAGAACAGATCAAACCGCTCCAATAAATTAAAAAAGTATGTACTTAATAAAAAATTACATTACTAATTTAAATTATGAAAATACTTACAAAACCCATTGCCACAACATGCTAGTTTTTGGAACCACCAATCTAATGAATACCTATAGTAATACACGTTTAATTTTTTAAACACCATTCACCATTTATCTAAATATTGTTGATGTTTGACATTTAACTTTTTTTTATGGGATTTTATGACCTGGTAACTAAGACCTTTAAGTCGTGTCTTATTTTAATTTATATTCTTAATTTTATGAAAATATGGAGTGAAATGAAATGAAATGAAGATGATTAATTTGAGATATTAATCAACTGGGATGAAATTAAATAAAATGAGATGAAATATAATCTCAGTAGAATGGTGGTCATTTACTGAGATTTTTTCAGTGGACTTTTTGGAGGAACACGAGAAGTTACGTTTAGCGGCTTTGTTTCATTTTCCCATTTGTGGTCTGTTCGAACCAAATTCGAGCGTGTGTTAGTACTTTTACAGCACTCCCAGTGCATATCGGAACATAGCCGAAGAGTGGTAGCTTATGGCGCTGTTTTTTAAATCTTTCAACCATGAAGTTAATCAGTACTTACAACTTCAACTTGATACTATGGCGCCACCTTAATTGGCTCTCTTTCAGCGGACACTTTAATATACTGATATATTACTCCTTATGTACTTCTACCTTCTTTATAATAAGTTAAGTGGATGAAATAGAACCACGACTAATTCAGAGATGCTTAATTGAATACTAAGTATTTTTCTAATAACAAACGTCTAATAACAAAAATAGTAGGGATGGTATGTAACAGGTGAAATTAGAGACCTATTCCATATGTTCCTGCTCCCGTGAAAGAACAGTTCCAGTAGCCTGTTCCAATATAACAGCCTGTTGTGTTGCAACAGGTTTAATAATGTTTTAAGTATAATACGTTCCACATAAAGGAACAGTCATAGATATGTAATGGTTTTATATATTTTTTGAAATGAAAACAATCCTTCATGTTTTCTCGGGCTTAGAACTGGCAACTTGATTTATTAATATTAATGATATGTGAAACTAGTTATGTCAAAACGTGCATGAATGTTATTGCTATCTTTTTCTATTACAGTAAGTGAGCTGGAGTCATGGTCCAGACGCCTGGCCGATCCTTCGGCTGGTCGTAGGACCGTCGAGGCGATTCGCCCGGTTCTTGTGAATTGGGTGAATCGTGACAGAGGACGCCTCACTTTCGCCGGCGCACGGCGCCATCTAGGCGGGCTTCAGATAGTCTGCCGACCGAGAGGACTGGTGGTCGTGGCGCCGACGACCGCCAGTCCGGCGTCCCGAGGGGGAGGGTGATGGGAGAGATGTCCTCCGCACTAAACGCTTCACTTTCCCCCTTTGCCTTTTCATGAGTTCTGTCTCATGCGAGGTTTGGATGCTGGTTGTTGAGCGACAGGAGGTTTTAGTCGGTTCAACTCCGACATGCCCCGCCCTCCATCCCCAGTGGAGGGCGGAAGTCCGGTGATTTCCTCCTGACAAAAAAAAAAAAAAATTGCAATAAGTGAAAGGAGAGAAGAGCATGTTACAAACTATTTGGGAACAGGATGTATATGCTATCTTTTTTTTTCTCTACCTAAACTGATGGTCTAGACTGTCTAGAGAGACCCTATCAGCGTAACCTTAACTATAGGAGAATTATTTTGTCCGTGCAGTTTGGGTCATAAAACATCGGAGCGGTAAAGCGAGTATTTCGCTCTCTCTTCCACTCACGAGCCTTATGGACGAGCATAGTGATGCACATTATTGTTGTCGATAAGCGTTATCGATAGTGTATTTAGTTTTGTCATTTTGTGGGTTAGTGATAAAAATCAAAGAAAAATCACTAATCGAACACTTACACCACATATCGCCGCAGCAAGTTAACGAGAACGGCAGAAATTAACACTTTGTAACTTTTCGGGATCTATTCTTATTTCAGGGAATTTTTTTAACACATTGTTGATAATAACACGTGCAAATCTTATTTTGAATAAATTCTGCCTTTTTGATACAAAACAAAGGAGTAGCCATTGTGTCACTAAAGAAATTCAGAGAACGAATGCATCAAAGCATTTCTCTTCGACATAATGTGCTATAATTTGCAGGTAAGTACAAGTGACTCTTAACATAACAATGTCTCACCACCCTTCGTATACCACCCCGTCGCCGTGTACCTGCCTTCGATGACTCATTTGTTTTTATCGATAAAGGCGTTGCGCCCGCGCAACATGTTGACCGCCCTATATAATTGGACTATGTTTTATGACCCAAACTGCACGGACAAAATAATTCTACTATAGTAGGTGAGCTCACGGGGTTCAAACCTGTCGATGTTGCTATAAGGCTTATTACACTTGGCTGAATTTAGTCGACTGAATTCAGAAGCAAATTTAGGAGCTTCTGATTACACTGTTTTATATTCAGTTACTGAATCAATTGTCAGTTTAAACGAGACAAAGTAAGACGTGTCGTGTGCGTAAAAGGATGGCCCCAGTATTGTCTAGACAAAATTTTTTTTTTTATTATTGTGATTTGTTTCAATTTCTCAAAAAAAAAAAAAAACCAAAGAATTCAGTAGCGACTGAATTCAGTCGACAAAATTCAGTCAAGTGTAATAAGCCTTTAATACGAGCCCTAGCAAGAGCCATGCTTCGCAGAATCTACCGCCGGATCGGAAACGCGACCCACTGAGAAGATCCGGCGAGAAACTCAGTGGCCTGTGTCTGTGGGTTAATTTACTCACCGAGCCCTTCGTCGCAAGCGACGGCTTCGACGAGAACGATGACCGGATCTTTTTCTATTTCTGTACGTGAAAAAGGAAAAGAGCTTGTTCCAAGCTGTTTCGTTTCTGGCTGTTTGCTTTGAAACGGAACAGCGCAACATATGGAATATTGTGGAACAGTCGGAACAGTTGTTTCGGTCCATATTAAAGACAACAAGCTCCAAGTTTTTTCATAGACGAACCTGTTCTGTTTGACTATTCCGATAAATACGCCTCACCCGTAGAAAGCAGCATAGATTATACACTTATTATATTTGAGAGTAAGTACCAAACAGGTCTATGGTACCAAAGTAAGTACCGCCATTAAAGGACTTTTTGGCGGGAACGCGAGGAGTGAAGTTGTGTGATTTGTTTTATTTTGTCTATTTAGTGTTTCTTCAGGTTTAAATGTGTAATAATGGTGGTTTATTAACTGTTTAATATCTGTGAAAGTGCACAAATGTGGGAAAATGAAACAAAGCTGCTGGACGTAACTTCTCGGGTTCCTCCAAAAAGTCCACTGAAAAAATNTGTTCACCATAATTACACGGAAACTTTCACGATTTTCGAAAAAAAACAAGCCACAAGCTGTATCAGTGCCCTTTTAACTTCGAACTACAAACGTAAATAGACGCCATTTTTCTTTTAATCCATTCATAGCTTTTTTTCGGTGATGCCAACAATTAATCTGGCTTCCCATCAAATTCAACATGAAAACCATCAGAAATCTACGTACTTACCATTAAATTTTCCATTAAACAGAGTTTTTATTAATATAGAACATTTTTTTTTTTGTTAATGAGCTTTATTAATATATGATGTTCTATTAAAAATCAATATATTTTATATCATATAATCAATACTTCTTATATAATTTATTTTAATAAATTGTCATCATCAGAAACTAATTTCACCATGACTTTGTACGTTTCTTTTGAACCAATTTAATTTTTGACGTTGATGGAAATTCTAAATTGTCGCAACATTTTCTAGTTAAGTTTAAGTCACATCGTTTAAATAATAAGTATTTAGATATATTATTGTCATAAAATGTTTAAAATGCTGTAAAGTAGATTGATTTTAACCTTTTCGATAATTTTCAACAACGCCCAAGCTACTAAAAAATCCACTAACCACTAAAGGCCATTTTTGATAACAAAGACAGCGGTCCAAATTACGAGATTTTGTGGAAAATCCTCTAAGCTAGCAACACTGCTTTTTGTTTGTAAAATGTGCGAGAGGGACACCACCACTTAATAATCATTCTCTTTTCAGACCGTTTTTCCTTACATCTTTTGCTACTTAAAAATTAACTTTAAGCCATAGGGATAAAGTATATTTTTAGTTTTTATGTCAAACGAAGTAAGCACTCCAGTTAGAATAGTAACTCTATGCGCGTACCTAACACGTAAGTGTACCGCATATTAAGTGTATAATCTATGGTGTACCGGCATTAAATGACATCGTTAAAATAAGACGTGACTTAAAGGTCTCAGTTACCAGGTCATAAAATCCCCTAAAAAAAAAATGACATCGATAGAAATTTGGAGAATATTTTATGTGTATTTTCTTTTCTGTGAGAAGTTAATTAAGGAAAAAGTGAAAAATTTATCGCCGTCAGGGTTAAACAATGATGTAGGTGTGGTAGTTTAGTCTCGCAATTTGGTTAGAGAAAACTCATAAATAGAGTTTTGCTTGCAAGTGTGTTTTGATATTCAAAGCACAACCCAATCCCATGATTGAATTGCCAAAACTACTTTTTTCAAAAATAGACATTTTATTCTTCCTCTGCTTTCCCGTTTGGCATTGGCAATACATTTGTGACAATTAGGACACTAGTAAGTTACAATACAATATAAAATATAGTCAAAATCTGTTATAATTACTTCGAAGGGACTACTCTTATTTAGTAATAACAACCGGTGATGTTTTGAGATATGAAGTCCTATTTTTTTATGAAGTATTTTTATGAAGTTGAACATGCGTGTACATATAAATCCATAGGTAATTATTGGAAAATATATTAATTTGGGATGTGCCGAAATTCCAACATTTATAGCACTTTAAATTTTAACAATACTTTATAACAAAACATACACTTGATACCATAACCAGTCTTTATTCTTAATCACCTCTACTTTTACATAATACTGAAAGCACAGGGGTGGTTGTGTTTATCAATATCACTATTTACCATTTCCTTTACAATGTATCGGTCATTTCCTTTACACTTTATGAGCTCGTATGGTCTGACATATTTTGGGTATAATTTGGCACTTGTGTTTTCTTTATGGCCAATAAAATAGGTCACCAATTTTGTTTAAGTTTGCTTTTTTTCTTTTTTTATTGTAATTTCTTATTTTTCTTCTTGTATTTTCTATA